GACTCTGGAGTAGAAGTTCTTGGAAATCACAGAAGTCGCATCCTCCTCTCTAGGAAGCAGAGGGACCGTCCTGTTGAATTTGTTCTCAGTGCCCAGTTCAGAGTAGCATCCCTGTAGCAGCTGTAAATTAGACTGAGATGAAGTCGTCCTCTGACAGAATAACATCCTGTCCTTTCAGCAGCTGAACTCTCTGAAGTTTTAATTTTTGATAATGAATGTGAACACAGTGAAAATGAGTCATCAGCAATTATTTTATGAGTTCTCAATATAAAAACATTAAACAGTACTTTGTCTGTAGTGATGGTGTGTTAAACTCTGCATGTGTATAAATAGAGGTTTGTCATATTGAGATGTTCAGATGGTATTAATAGTCTGCAGGATCAGCTCTGAGTTCAGCATCAATCAGCTCTGACCTCCAACCTTCAACGCTGTCTGCCCTTCCGCTGACACAGAGCACGTCTGTGTGTGTATGTGTGTTAAAGTGTTAAACGCTTATTCCTGAGAGTTAAAATATCTAAACTGAAGTGAATGTTTGCGCCCCAATAACCAATCTGCATGGAGATTATTCTCTATCACCTTATATAAAAAAAACACACACACACCACACGTATGTTTGTAAGTGCGTGTTTGTAAAAAGTGAGTTAGAGTTAGAGTTTCCTTAGACTCTCAGTCCTGTCCACAGCCTTCTTCATGAACATCTGAACCAAAAGTGAACCTGATCAGAGAACCAGGAACAATCTGAGACCTGATGGTCAGACACAGCGGTCTGAACCAACAAGCTGCTTTCGGAAGATTTTACATGTTTTTAATACACAAAGAAACCATCTGTTAACAGTTGAAGTGATTTTACAGCTTCAATTAACTAATTTTGAAACAGTGCTGGTACTAAGACAGACTGACATTAATTCAATATTTCTGTTAAAAATCCAATAATTTATTTAAGTGTCTTTTTTCTGGTTATCATTATCGAAAAGTTCAGTACAAATAAAATAAAAATATTTGATTGGTTTGAGTTAAGATCATAGACACTAACAAGCAAATATCTCCACTCTGTACCTGAGAATACCTGCTTTATATCATACCTCCAACATCTGACCTTTGACCTCTGACCCTGAACTCTGAACTCTGGAGCTGGACTCTGTCAATCTCCAACAAAACACCCGAGTGGGGGAACACCACATGGTTAGTTATTAACACCTTTATGGCTGTTTCACCATGACACCGCTGAACACAAACACACACGCACACACACACACACACACACACACACACACACACACACACACACACTGAAGGCTTTCCCCAGTGGAAAATCAGCACAGGGTGTTTTCATTATGCTGTCACAACTTTCCTTGGAAACAATGCATGACCCAGGGTGAAAGAAAACACACACGCATACACACACACACACATGTACGCACCTATGAGAACACATACGAACAAACACACACACACACACACACACAGGTGGAGGTTTCCAGGTCACTTATCTAATCACTCAGATGTAATTCTTACCAAGTTCAAACATCTTTGAAAACACTTTTGAATAACAGAGTTTCACATACCGTGTGTCCACTTCTGACCAATCAGATTGCGTGTTGTTGCGACGTCAGATTCACTGGTACATCCAACATGGCCGACCAGCTGATTGTTTACGTGTCGGAGAACAGAGTGTTTTTTGACAAAAGACACAAACATTACAAAGATAACGATCTGAAGGACAACTTGTGGAGAATCATAGCGTCAGATCTCTCATATGACGATAGTTTGTGTGTCTTTGTTTTAACTTTTTTCTGTGCTAACATAAGCTAACAGTACCATAGTTTCATGTGCTTCTCTTATCGCCTCTGACTGGTGATAAGTGCTGACTGTTTTGCTTGAGCATGTGATGACGTTTCCAGCTTTTCCAGCCAATCAGAGGCGAAGGAGGCGGGACTTTCCCCGCAGAAGCCTACCCCGGGATGCGTCATTTTCCCCCCTTGTCGGACCTTTAAAGTGAAATATTGTCCCAAACTTGCCTGTTGGAGGATTTCAGCTCTTTAACAGTTCAGGGGTTCCTTTGTCCTATTTTTGGTGTCATGATGCTCCAAATGTTTTCAATGGGGGACAAATCAGGACTGCAGATAGGCCAGCAGGACTCTTCTACTACAGAGCCATGATGTTGTAATCCCTGAAAGTCTTCCCTGCCAGGTCATTGTCTGGATGGCAGCAGATGTTGCTCCTAAACTTGTAGATATTGTTCAACATTAGTGGAGCCTTCACAGATGTTGAAGCTACCCATGACATGGACTCTGATGATCACCATACCATCAGGGATGGTCAGGGTTTCTGCTGATTCAGCCGCATCAGAGTTTCTAGAAAAAGCTGCAGGTTTGGAGAAAGAGGTCAAAGAAAGTCAAATTTTCTAAATTTCAACTCAGAAACAAGGACGGAGGAAAGACTGAGAGAGAAAGAAAGAAATGGTACGTTCGAGTCACCTTGGAAGTCAGATGTCGGAGCTGAAAATGACGTCACACCCAAGTTACCAGCGTTTCAATTACCAAGTTGGAAAAAAGCAAAATTGGAGGCCTGAAACAAGATGGCTACATCTTCCAAAGTTATTTTAGCGCTTGCCTTATATTCGGACAAGCATGAAAATAACTTTATAAGGTGTAGCCATCTTGTTTCCACCTCCAATTTTGCTTTTTCCAACTTGACTACATGAAACACTGGTAACTAGGGTGTGATGTCATTTTCAGCTCCGACATCTGACTTCTAAGGTGACTTGAACGCAACAAAAGAGTGAAAAAAGATTTTTTTAAGGTTCCTAATGACCGACATCAGAATAAACCCTCAAAGATAATCTGGTCATTTTTTCCATTTCCTTTCCATTGACTGTTTAAAGATTTCTGCCTGGCTCTTTTTCTGGTCTCTAAATAGAGGTACAGTTTATTTTAAAGGTGAAAACCCGCCCACTTAGGAAATCCCTGAGCATCTCAGCAGGTGAGCAAACAGGATAATCTGATTAGAACCAATTAAGATGCAGAATCCCCAGATCAGAATGAATCCACCTCGGAGTTCTCAGGACAACAGAGATTACCAACCAGAGTGAAACCTTCTTCTAAAATAAAACCAGACCTAACTCTGAAAAATCTGGACCAGCCGAGTTTAAATTAGAGTAAAAACATGAATATCTGACTCTGAAGTAACACGAAAAGAATGACTGAACCCTACATTTTTTTGTGCTTGAAAACACCAAAAGAAAACTGAAAACAAACAAACATAACCAGTGAGAATATTCAAAACAACAATAACAATAATCAAAGCAAAAAAATAAAAGTAAAAATAAATAAAAAATAATGATAATAATGCAAACCCAACATGTCCGTAAAGGGGTAGGATGAAGCATTATGCTTTTTTTTAAACCTACCCTTTCTCCTTTACTCAATAATATCAGTCAATTTCCAGGAAAATTAAATTACAATTTTGCTGGACTCTCAGGGGACTCTGGCCTCTGATCTGACCCCTGATCTGAACCGTGATTCTGAACCCTGGTCTGAACCTTGAATGTGAACCCTGACTCCAAACACTGAGACTCACACTGGTGGGTGTTTGTCGTTATTCATGGAGGAATGCCGGTTTCACTGGTTTATTTATTTGTGGTGTTGGGACAGATGAACCGGTAGAGGAGAGAAAAAGGACATGAGACAAGAAATGATGAGGAGGAGATAAAAGTAAAATTAAAGAGATATTCCGGTGTAAAATTAAGTTAGGGTCAAACACACCGTAACATGAAGTTAGACACCCCGTCGATAGATGAATGTTGCCAACCGCTTGCTTCTTTAGTTATACCAACTTCAGTAACGACCGCAGATAGCAATACACAGAGCCACGCGCTCAACCAAAAAGCCTTTCTTGTTTCACACAACTCACCCTCTCTCTTCCAGCAGCCGCTTGTTTGTACGGTGACCTCTGGGCCAGTCCATTACAGACTACAGTGGGTGACGCATCTCAAGGAAGAACATTTATGATCATTTCCCCATGGAAAAGCAATCAGACCAAGGCGCTAAGGCAGAATAACTACCACGTCTGCAGTGCAAATTGATTAACATGGTGATTATTACTTTCAGGACATGATGAAGAAATGATCATAGATGTTCTTCCTTGAGCTGCGTCCTCCACTGTAGTCTGTAATGGACTGGCCTGAGGTCTCGCTACAAACAAGCGGCTGCTGGAAGAGAGTATGTAAGTTGTGTTTAGTCTCTTTGCTAAAGAAATTAGGCAAAATTAAAAAGATGTTTGGTGGCTAGCACTACGGCTGGGACCCGAAATGTACTATTGATGAAGATAGGCGCTGTTCTGAGCATTATTTGTGGCTATAGAGTGGCGTTTTGGTTGAGGTTTGTTTATGGCTCCTCAACCCGCTGTGTATTGCTATCGTGCGGTCGTTACTAAAGTTGGTATAACTCGAGAAGCAAGCAGTCGGAAACATCGATCTCTCGATGGGGTGTCTAACTCGATGTTACGGTCTTAGACCCTTACTTAATTTTACGCCGGGATATCCCTTTAAGGTGAAAAAGAAAAGAAAAAAAATAAAGAAACAGATGAGGAGAAGAGGGAAGAAAAGGGGGATGAATGTAAACAAAAAAAGACAGAATGGAGGATAAGAGGAAAAAGGGGGGAGAAGAAAAATGGGAGAGGAAGTAAAAGGAGGAAAAGAAGAGGAAGAAAGGAATAGAAGGACAGATTGGACTAGGATGAGGAAAACAGAACAAGGAGGGGGGAAGGAAAGAGGGAGGGAAGAGAAGAGGGAAGGAAGGGGGAAGGAGGACGGGAGGGGGAGAGCAGCTTTGGGGTTGCTAGATTGCATCATCGCGAGATAATCCTTCTATTAATAGGTTGACGTCACTCTTAGAGCTCTGCTTCCAGCCCTCCCCCTCCTCTCTCTAGTAGCATTCCACGTTGCGTCACTAGACCACGCCCCCTGACCGAGTGATATAAATACGGGTGATGCAACGGTATGGGGAGAAGCGCAACTGAAGGCAAAAGGCGGACCGGAGGAAGCGATAGAGAGAGAGAGAGAAAGAAGGAGAAAATAAAAGAGGAGAAGTTTGCCCGGACACATCACCTCATCGGATCCTCAGACCTCACAGGTAAGACTCACGGCCCTGTGTCTGCGGTCTGCGGGTCAGAAACAGACACGGAGAACTGGCTGAACTCTGTCGGACAGGAATAGGGGGTGTGCCGGTGATTTCTGTTCCCGGAGTCCCGGGACACCTTATGGCTAGGGAGTCCAGCAACAAAAAAGTGTTTAATTTAACTTAACCGATATAAACGAGTGTTTAATTTAACTTATTCGTGAAAAAAAAGAGTTTTTATTTTAACTGTACCGAAAAGAACTTGTGTTCAATTCAACTTCACCGAAAAAAACGAGCGTTGAATCCAACTTTACTACCGATAAAAACGAGTGTTTGAATGAACTTGACCGGTAAAAATTAGATTATAATCCATCTTTACTGATAAAAACAACTTTTTAATTCAACTTTACCGAGAAAAACGAGCAGGCCATTTGATTCAACTTTACTGTTGAAAACGAGTGAATACTTCAAATTCACAGAGAAAAACGAGTCTTAATCCAACTCTACCAAGAAATACGAGTTTAATCAAACTTTGAATTCTTTTGACCGATTAAAACGGGTTTTAATTGAACTTTTGGGCTCTAATTTGACTACATTTTCAGATTTTTTTTAGATTTAATTTTAGTTGTCTAGCAATTTTGGGAGTGTTTTGTGTTTAATGGGACTTGACTGCTTTATAAACAAGAACATGTAGCACTTTGTAGGTTATAATAAGTGCAATTGAGCATCTTAAAAACTTTAAAACTTTTAAAGTTAGTGAAAAATCTTAAATATGAGCTCATTACTGTTAAAAACTAAATTAATTTCCCCGCTGAAACCCCTTTTAAAGTTAACAAAGCAGATTTTTCGTGTTTTATTCACTTTAATTCTTCAAAATGCTGAAAAATATGTTATTTTTCTCTTTTAAATGACAAAATAAACTTTTATTAGAAAAACTGAAAATACTGAATCTCAATAAAAACTGAGCATTCAGTCAAAAACTCAAATGTTTGTTATAGAAACACAGACAGACCTGTTTACTGTCTGCTCTGTAAAGGTGTGTTTTGTTTTGTTTTGGTTTTGTTTTGACAGCTGATATAATCCTCATAATCCAATCTTCACACTCATATTTCTCTCTTCTGATTGGATAACAACCTCAGACACTCTTGCTGCTGCTGATTGGCTGTAATTGATAAAGTTAAATATTAATTGAATTGAGGGTTTAAAGAGTAGACTTTAGGAGGCTTATTAACCTCCTGTTGAGTGACTGTTATCTTCTTCTAACAGCCCATAACATTTCTGTGTGTTTGTAGAATGATGCTGCAGCACTCAGGTCCCTCGCTGGCTGACATCAGCTGCTCCGCCCTCGTCCCCTGTCTCTCGCCACCCGGCACGCTCACGCTGGACGACTTCACCAATTTCACTCCCATCGTGAAGGAGGAGCTGCGGCTCGCCATCCAGACCAAGCGGCTGTCCAATGGACTGAGTGCCGATATAAGCTCAGATGGCGCCAGTTCCAGCTCAGATAGGGCTCCAGAGAACACGGCGTGTGGGACAGGCATGAAGAGAGAGGTGAGTAAGAGAAGATGACAACATGTAGTCATCTGTTCACATCACAGCAGGAATAATGTGGTTATTTTATTGGGAAAAAAAAACTCTAAAATAATCTTAATCATCTTCTGTTTTTACAGGTTAGTCCTCAGGAGTACGAGAGGAGGAAGAGGAGGAGGGAAAGGAACAAAGTCGCTGCTGCAAAGTGCCGAAACAAGAAGAAGGAGAAGACCGAGGGTCTACAGAAGGTACTTTTCCATTTAAGTCATTTTTAGATTTAAAAACACACCAAAACCCCTGCAATCAGAAACAGCAATGAGGCTTTAATTTTACAGCTTGACATTTTAAAAATACCAAAATCTGTTAATGATGTGAAAACAGTAGCCTGAGCCTGAGAAATATTATTTATCATGGATTCGTTTATCATTGTGTACCTCTTGCTCCTCTGCAGGAGTCAGAGAAGCTGGAGAGCGTGAATGCTGAGCTGAAGGCTCAGATTGAGGAGCTGAAGCAGCAGAAGCAGCAGCTGGTCTACATGCTGAACCTGCACAGACCCACCTGCATCGTCAGAGCCCAGAATGGCCAAACACCCGAGGACGAGAGGAACCTTTTCATCCAGCACATCAAAGAGAGCACCTTACAGCTGCAAAGCCTCACCTCTTCTTCGTCTTCTTCCACCTCCTCTTTATCCACTTTATCCACCTTATCTACGCCTCTCTCCACCTTATCTACGCCGCTCACCCTCGACCACCTTCACTGTCCCTCCCACTTATAACAGACCTGCCACACCTCCACCTGTTATTAGGTAGAGCTGCAACATTGATAGACCTGAGAATGACGGAGGCAGAATGAACGCCGCCTCCGGATGACTTCTCGGTCTCGCCAACGTCCAAAAAGCTGCTAAGCTAACAAAAACATGACTGAAGAGCCCTGAAACCCAAGCTGCTGACTGGACGAGGATCGGTGTCCCGGATGCTTCTTGCCACACAGCGTTTGTTTTTTCAGTCGAGGCCAAGAAGAGAAGCTGAAGCACTAAGAACAGGAACAGTCACAGTGTTCAAACATCAGCGTCTGATTAGGTATCTGATTTTGTACCAAAGTGTTTATTCACGGTGATTGAGGCGCAGATAGCCAAAACTAGAGACCTATTGTGTGAGTGTAAACGACGTAAACAATATAAGCGACGTAACCGAGTGTCTGAGTGACTTTAAAATCACTGTTGTTGTTGTTGTTTGTGTGTAGAGTAGATAAAGAGTATATTTATTAACTGCTGTATGTATGACGTGGACTCTGTATAGGCCCGTAAAACATTACCTGCTCAACTTGCTGCTATCACTAACCTCTCAGGATCTGCTCCGCTGTAAAAACCATATTTTCACAGTAAAAGTCTAAGATCCGCGCCACTGTCAGGTTGGTGTTTTCAGAGTAAAAATCCGCTTGCTTTGATAGGATCGGACTCTAAATGATGTTTACTTACAGTCAGGATCTGTTGGTCTGCACACAGAAAGCAGCATGATTAGAGAAATACTGTTTAATCCTGTATACGAATGATACTTTATTGACTTTATCTATACGGTCCAGAAAAACTGAAAGGAAAAATGTGTTTGTTTTGTATTTATCACTGCGTCCCTCTTAAGTCAAACCTAGTGCTTCTTTTCCATCTTCTGTGACGATGGAGCTGCACCAGTTCGGGTATTATTTTTCAGACGGTTTGGTTAATAATCAAAATCCTGTAAAATGACTTGATGACCATGTATTTTCTGTGTTTGCAAACATCAAATGCCTCAATGGTCTCAGCAAAAACACACAAAGATTGTAATTTTTAAAGTGTATTTTTTTTTTTTTTTTTTTTTAATGTTTTGGTTTAAGAGTTAAAGGTTTGGCGAATATCATTAGATAGGTCTGACATCTTCATCATCTGCTCCTTCACACCCTGAATAACTCTGACTCTGCAGGATGATCTGACTCTGACTTCAGTCTCTTGTGTCTTTTAATGTTGGCCCCTGCAGAGAAATGGGATTTGAGACTCAAATGAAAACTGAAAGCCATGAAGCTCTTATTTAAGGTTTCATTCTGAGTGTCCATCGGTGAAGGTTTGAAATTGTTTCCAGTAAATCACAGCCTGAAACTGAAGAGTGTGCAGCGTGTCAGCATCATGTTTTCATTCATTTAGTGTCAGAGGTTATCTGTATAAAGAAGTAATTTCAAAATAAAGTTAACGTCAGAGGAGTTTAGCACTAGACTGTTTGATGGTAAGGACTGAAGTGTTATATTTAATGTTTGCTCGGTTAAAGGTGTTTTTATTTGTGTGAAATGTGAAGAAAAGCTCTGAGAGTCACAGGGTTAAAGGGACGCCGGCGTCTTTGTGTGTTTGTGTTTTTAGGAATGAAATGTTCACTGTCTCGTTGTTGGTCTTGGATAATAGTTTGCTGATAAGCACTGGGGTGTGTTTGGTTTGTATCGTGCCTTCTTTGACTGGAGGCAGTTTTTTATCTTCTGTTGGAGCTTCATATCCTAAAAACCGACCATCAGGTTAAACTGCACTGCTACTACCAACGTGTACTTCATCTCTGTAAACTTTGTTTTTGATACTTTAATAATTAAAACATGTTTTGCAAATGCTACATCTTGTGGTTCTGTTTTTTTCTGGGGAAATCTTACATCATGAATAATAACATGGACCTTCTGTTCCCCTTTTAAAAACTAAAGACGGTTTATGCTGACTGAAGGCCATCAGATGTGGTATGATGGTAGGGGTTATATGACTGAGCTCAGCTCCTGGTGGGTTTGGAGTAGGAATAAGAATAACTTTATTAATCTCCGAAGGGAAATTCAATTGTCTGTTGTCTCACATAATATGTCTCCAAAAAGTTATCTACTATTTACTCAAGGGTTATAAAGTCTAATGGCTGTTGGTTCAAAAGATCTTCAGGCGTGTCCAAACTGTTCCATAAAAGGCCATATGGCTCAAAGTTTTCTTTCAAACCAACCAGCAGCACACCAGACTTCATTCATTTCATCAGCTAATCTCAGTCTTCAGACAGCTGATTGGTCAGACTGCTGCTCTTGATTGGTTGGAAACAAAAACCTGCAGCCACATGGCCCTTTGTGCACTAGTTTGGACATGCCTGGAGTCAAACAACAGACATCAGTGATTCAGCCCTGTGAGTCCTCTTCAGGTTTATATTTACCTAGTTTGATCTTTCTATGAGCCTTACAACACTTCATAAGGAAGCATTTGAACAAAACGTGAACTCTGCTCCAAAAACTCCCACAAACTTTCAACCCTGGAGCAGCTGAGTCTGATCAGGAGTAGAGTGGTACAAGACTGGACATGTGTCTGAACATGGAGGAGGTAATTACACGTTTAACCTGAAACCACCTCCTGTCAGGTGGTTTATCTCTGTGAGCTTGATCACGTCTCTCCTCCAGCACCTTCTGTGGTCAATATGTGGTGAAAACGTGGTTAATATCAATGTCAGAGCTGCTGTTTTATATTTCAATCCAGTCATACTCACCTGCTGTGGTTTGGCTGGAGCTAAACATTCATTAAATAACACCTAGATTTGATCGTTGGCTCGTATGTAAGTTCAAAGATGTTAATGAATGCCAATTGGTTGTGGATATGTGCTTCCTATGGACCAGCAAGAAGGAAGACAGAGGAAGAAAAAAGTTTCAGATGTGTAACAAGAAGTTATTTTGGTTGAAGTGGCGTCAAGAAAAAATATTTTGTTGACTCCTGTGAGTGGAGGTGTTCAGATCTCTGTTGATGCTCCAGCTGTGTGATTGAGACCCTTTAACTCCTGCTGGTTTGGTCGAGCCATCAGTGCAGAAGTAAAGTTGGTTCTGGGTCGAAGCGGAAGCAGAAGTAATGAGTTTTGACAGTCTGAGCGTCACTAAAATCAGAGTTCAGTGAGGTTTAGTCTTGGTTCATTGTCGAGTCAAACTGAGGTCACTTGGAGGCGAGCTGCGGTCGAACCAGGTTTCAGTCCAGGAAGTGATGACACTTTCACCTCTGATCACAAATGACTCTCATGAAGGTCAAACTCTGAGTCAGATGAGGATATCCTCTAGATATCAACTTTAACTTCAGCAGATGAACTGGATGGATGGATTATTGATGGACGATTAGATGATGGATGGATATAGTTGGATGGATGGGTGCAGTGGTTCATATGTTTCTCAGTGACAGTGTGTCTCCATCACTAAGCCATAGTCAGCACAGCGCCCCCCCGGCATAGATGCTTCTTACACAGTTTAATGCCCTTTGGTATCTCAGGTGATAGTGTCTGTCATTTATTTAAAGCATCTCACATTAACCTTCCTCCAGTGTTAGCTTTTACTACTCACCCACCATGTTAAGAGTCGGTTTTGACCCGTGTCTTCAATCAGCTGTAAATTACACTAAAAACATTTCTCTATCATCCAAGTTGGTTCTCATCTCTAGGTTACCTTGTTAGGCTTCATTATCCATGAAAATAATGCTTGTAACAGTTTTTGTTGTGGTCCTCTAGGCCTTTCTTTGTCAGTGTACCCCTCATACAGACATCTATACTGAACTGATCTCACATGTCTGGACATGCCCAACGTTGTTTTTTTTAGGCAAAAACATGGCAAAAATAAACTTTCCTAAATCTCACATGATTGTAAGAGGATCTGACTGTCAGTGTGGTGCCTGACAGTGCACTTATGATTTCAGTTTTTGCTTTAATTATTAGATATTAATCTAACCGGGTCAACAGTGACCCTGACACAACAAGAGCCATAATTTTGATAAGAGCATTTCATAATTTAGTCAATTTAAAAAAATATATTGTTGAATTTTGTTGAAATAGAGGTTCCTGACAAAGTCAAAAAGTCTTGATGCAAAAAAGCTTATTTAAGTTGTTCTTTTAAGCATTTAAAAACGGGTCGGTGCAGACCCTAACACAGGAGGAGGGTTAAGAGAAAGTAAAACCCAACAGCATCAGACCATCAGCGAGGGTTTTGGTCTCATTTTTATATAAACTGGCAGTTTCACTGAGTCAGCCTGGTGTTCAGATTTGAAGATGTTTTTAAAACTTGCTGTTTATTAAATTTATTTCTGATTAAGTTTTATTGTTCGATCCAGCCCAGTATTATTTCTGTTTATTTCACCTCTTCAAGCTGAATCACATAGAGCTAAAGCTGCTTTTATTTCTAATGAAAAAGATAAAGTCTCTCCGCTGATGTCTGCTTGGCCAGGGTCACATGGTGAGGTGTTGGTCAATATGAGAGCAGAGCACACACACTCACACACTCACACACATACAAAAGTTGCAGCGTCATCCTCTGTGTCGTGAAGATTCTGGTGAAACTCGGTCATGAGTTGTTCAAACTCACTGATGCAACAGCTGTGTCATAACAAGCAACTTCCTGTTTGTGAGGTCAAAAGTCACAGCTAAGCAGCACCTTATGGAGTTGGTTCATGAGGCGCTACAAAGGTACTGTTTCACATCCTGTAAGAGAACAAGGAAACAAGGAGTCATTTAAAGGAAGCTGAAAGGAAAGAGAAAGCTTCAGATAAATGATTGATAACGGGATCAAACTAACAGACTGACTAATAAAACATATAAGAAAACTAATCAAACTAGATCAATACAGCTGGAAAAACCAACATCACAGAGTAGGATCAGAGAGAAGGGCAGCAGTTTTACAGATTGTTGAAGTTTGTCAGTCACAGGAAAGAGTCAATACAGTCGTATTTGTTGTTTTTATAAGATGTTAAGAGTGTCTTCAAATGTTCACGGTGTCTCTAGGTGTTCTCTCTCAGTCTCTGACAGAGCTCTGCCACGCTAAGCAGGTTTGAGCAGCTTCAAGCAATAAAAGTTGATTTTTACCTGTTTGTGACTCAATAATATCTGATGACATTTATTCACAAACTCACTTAGTTTGTTTGTGCACTGTTTGCTCTGGTTTCTTGTCTGATTTTAAAGATAATAATTATAATAAAAATGAAACAATCATAAATAAATATTCATTATAAATCAATATAAATATCATTATGTTTTGTGTAAGGAGGTATTTGTTAATTAGGTGATTTATTGTGATATTATTTTATTGTTTGTAATTTAATTTTTTTTTTTTGCAGAGGAGTGTCATTGTTTATCGTAATGAAATTGTTTTTGTGCCACAGTGTGGTTCATGGTGAAGTAGATGGGAGCTATTTGTGTTTTCTATTTCTATATAGAAACTGCAGTTGCGTACATTTCTGCATTAGCGTCATGCTTTGACTCCGGTGGTGCTGCCTGGTTTCCTTGATCATTTGGCAGTTGTGTGGATTTTAGCTGCAGAGCAGTGAGGGCAGATTTAACTATAATTATTCATATCATAACTTAAACACACAGAATGATGGCAACAAATATTCTTTCCTGCTGCATTTGAAAGTCCAAGGTTCAAGTTTAAAGTTAAAGGGATATTCCGGTGTAAAATTAATTCAGGGTCAAACACACCACAACAATGCGTTAGATACCTCGTTGAGAGTTGAATGTTTCCGCTTGCTTCCTTAGTTATACCAACTTTAGTAACGACCACACGAAAGCAATACACAGCAGTCTGAGGAGCCACAACCAAACCTCAACCAAAAAGCCACTCTATAGCCACAAATAACGCTCAGAACAGCACCGAACTTCATCAACAGTACATATAGGGTCCCATCCATAGTACTAGCCACCAAACATCTTTTTAATTTTGCTTGATTTCTTTAGCAAAGAGACTAAACACAACTCATCTACTTTCTTCCAGCAGCTTCTTGTTTGTAGTGAGACCTCCGGGCCAGTCCATTATGGACTACAGCGGGGTGACGCAGCTCAAGGAAGAACATTTATGATCATTTCTTTATCATTTCCTTTAAGTAATAATCATCATATGTGGTGATGATGATGATCATAAATATTCCTCCTTGAGCTGCGTCCCCCCGCTGTAGTCCCTAATAAACTATCCTGAAGTCTCGCTACAAATAAGCGGCTGCTGGAAGAGAGTGGGTGAGTTGTGTTTAGTCTCTTTGCTAAAGAAATTAGTCAAAATTAAAAAGCTGTTTGGTGGCTAGTGCTTTGGCTGGGACCCTATATGTACTGTTAATGAAGTTAACAGTACATATAACTCGGTGTTACAGTGTGTTTGACCCTAAATTAATTTTATGCTGGAATATCTTTTTAAGGTGACCTCAGGTATCTGTCAGTGGACTAGGTTAACAGTGAGTAAGATGACCTCCTTTTACACACCAAACATTAAATAAAATAACATAAGACAGAAACGTGATCAAGTGACCAAAGTCCTCCTTCAGAAGAATTTTGGGTAATTTCCCCCCTCAAATAATCTGGGTCAGGGAGGTCCTCCTCTCATTCATGAATCTGTTTCTTTTTATTCTCAGAACCATAAAAGGTTTGTGAGGAACAACCATCAGAGCAGATTCCCAGAAATCTGCCGCAGTAAAATCTTCAGTTCCATATCTGTTGGTTTGTTTCCGCCTCTGACCATGGTGAACTTTTCATTCACTCAGCATGGAAGAGGAAGGAAAACTGAAAGAGAGTCCCTGCCTAGATAAAGTTGAATGTTTCTGTGGTCAAATAAAGGAACTATTATCTTCATTACTCACCCTCAAACGTAACCAGACCACACAGTCCCGATCGGATGTTACCATACAGGTTCATTTTTACATGTTTGTGGCTTTAAATGTTCTCAAAAAGTTCAGCAAAATGAGGTCACGTCCTGAAGAGCTTCTTGTGAAACATGCTGAATGATGGTGCACATGTCTACGGACACAGGGAAACTACCACAGACTGATGGATTTCTCTGTTTAAAACAGTCATAGCATCATAACATCACATGTTCTTAGTCTGTGGTTGGAAAGACCCCAATTATGTCTTTGTATGAAGGGGGGATTCATACACATTCATACATTTAAAATAAGATGAATTAACATACAGTTATAAATGGAGTTTTACTGAATATTTTTGCTTAATAATCAATAAATCTCTTTATATTCTGCAGATATCAGTAACTTTAAACTTTAGAGTAATTATGGGTAAAGTTATCTGTTAGTAAGCAGAGTCTAAATTCCGCTCCTCTCAGCTTGGTGCCGTTTGTCACAAACTGTTAATCAAACCGACTGTCATGAATTAAACTTAAAACTTTAAAAACAGACAAAAATGATCCCTGAGGGTGCTCTACTCCAAAAAAAAATTAAGCTCTTTAATGTCCTTTAGGTAGAAATATTTAATTTTCTGTAAAAAAAACAAAATATCAACAAAGTTAACCGTTGCTCACTGACTCCAATTATTTTATTTCATGACTTTGAAGATTATTTTAATTAGAGTTAAGTAATCTAAGAGAAATTGAAAGGGGAAAAAAACTATTAAAGCTCAGTGATGGTCATGATTTTATTTGGAAGATACAAATAAAAACACTTTTTTATTCAGCAAAAAACACACATGACAGATGAAGCTTTAATTTAAATTTCTATTCTTTGTACTGTTTTTATTTCTAACTATACAGGCACTTTATACTAGGGTCTGATAATCGGTTTTGGGGTGTTTTTAACATGTTTTCTTTGTTGTTTCACTTTTATAATCTTCTGATTTTTTAATTGAGGTAAGTGAAATATTTTAGTGATTCTTTAATATTTAGACATGATGTTAAAAAATTAAGTGATTGTATCTCTTCATCTTTTCAATTCAGTCTTCCTGTGGATTTGACTAACTGAATGTTGTACAGAGATTATAACCCCAGATTATTTTTTAAAACTTTATTCTCTGTAAAAATCTGATTTGTCATTACATTTTATGGTAAAGTTCAGACAAACACAAATACAGGAAACAGAGACATGAATCAAAATCAGCTCAAAGTGAATTTTCCTTTCATATCTAGACAAAAAAAATCACCACTTTTATCTTAAACTCCAGCTGTTGAGGAAAAAGATCTGTGTGTGAGACAGTAAAGAGTTAAATTTTCTGAGAGGTGAATCTGTTTATCAGTTTAAACCTTTAACCACCAGAGGCCGCTCTGCAGGCGGATAACTAAACCACCGTGACTTCAGCAGGTCTTAAATCTGCTCAGTTATTGCTCGGCCATTATATGGTAAATGACCCCCTCTGGAGGCTGGCTGCAGTACTCCACAGTGACTTTAGTAAACATAAACTGTTGATTCAGAGAGGTTATCCTGATTGTTCACAGATTATTTCCCTCCTTCACACTGAGACAGGAATTTATACACTGATAATTCAGTTTATTCCTCTCCTCAGACAGAGTGAGTCTCTATGGTGTCAGGCTGCAGACTGCAGGAGGATGCCAAGGAGCAATGCATGATGGGACAGAAAGGTTCATGAGCTTTCAGAGCATCGCTCAGCTCTCGCTGCTCCTCAGAGAGACAATCCACCTGCATGTTAAATACAGTATGTCATTAATTGACCTTCAGTGACTATTTTGTCTTAGTTTTTAAATCAGAGTTTCTAAATGTTCAAGAATAAAATCAGCCTTGATAGAGAGCAGAAACAGTCTGCAGATGGTGATTAAAGACTAATGAAATTAAAGGTTACCTCCCTCCTCAGCTTCCTGTTCCTCTGCTCCAGCAGCTCACAGGCCTGACAGAAAGGAGAGAGAAAAGAAAGAGATTTTGAATTCAGAGTCACATTTATTTGATCAAAATTTCTTCATGGACATAAAAAAACTAAATCAACAAAAGCGTTGAAATAAAATAAATTACAAAAACATCATAAACCTAAAAGTGTCCCAAAAACCAAAGAAATTTTTTTTCACAGAACACAAAACTCATACAAAACACTGAACACTTTTAAATTCCTCCACATTCTTGGTCATGTGATAAAAGAGTTCTTAATCTTATTCCTTTGACTAAGGTAACAGTAAACTGGTTTAAAAGTTATTTGTGTAATAGAAAGCAGTATGTTTTGTTTTTTTTATCATGGTAGCATTTCAAATGTGAACCAGTTGCAATGTGGTGTAGGGGAGAGTGGGGTAAGTTGACCCACCCCCTGTTGCTTGGAAATGGTAAAAGAAATTGATCATATGACCAAATATTTAGGACACATTAGGACATATTTAGGCATCAATTCTTGGAGTCTTTGAAGGTTAGAGGCACATGTGTGAAGGGGTTAGACATTTATTGCCAAAAAACATTTTTCACTCTTGAAAGTGAATTTTTTTAATTGTGTTCAGACGAAAAAAGATCATTTTAAATTTGTTTTATACATCAATTGTGGTATCTATGAGCTTACCCCATGCACAGGGTAAGTTGACCATAGGAGACCACTTTTTTTGGCATGTTATATTATCAAGGCAGTTTACACTCATTCTGTTGGTTTGCAGGGATGTACAATATCTTGAAATATAAGCAGATAAACTAGTTAGAGACAGAACTGTGATTGCCTTGATGTAGTGATCCAAAATATGAAAAATGGCTCATCTTACCCCACTCTCCCCTACTGTAAGGAAGCTGGGCTGTTTTTCTCTATATTCACAGAAGACCTTCCTCTTATTTTAAACAAAGCTAGTTATGTATGCAGATGACACTCTTTATCTACCAGCAGGGTCAGTTATGGATTTAGTTGTGGATACAGTTATCGATTTATCAAGCGCTTTAGGTGAGGAACTACAAGCAGTGGTTAATTTGGTTTGGAGTAATAAGCTTGTGTGTTGGATTGTGTTTGGATCATGGTATGATATTAGACAGCAGACTGAAGTGGTCATAGCAGATTGAGAAAACTTAGAAACCTTATTATTGTTTTTCTTTCTCTAAAGTATAAAGTGGTCTCTTACTTTGGCTTTCATGCTAAAACTGAGTATTTAATTTTAAATTCAAGGTGTACTAAATCATGTTTTTGCCTCCTTAGTCACTACAGAACCCCTTTAAACCTGTAAATACTTTCCCATAACTTTAACACGAAGTTTCAGATGGTGGAAATTAAAAAGTTAACTGGCTGTATTTCAGTCTGATGTCTTGACACACACACACAGACACACACCTGGTGCAGGTGGTCGGCTCTCTGTGTTTGTCTGTTTCTGCTCCTTCGGGCTGAAACTCTGTTTTTCTCTCTTCTCTTCAGCTTCCTGTTTTCATCCTCTAAGCCCTGAAACAAACACACACACACACACACACACACACAGTTTTTTCTGCTCACGTGAGGACATAAAGTAGATGCTCTTGGGATGTGGGGACCTGTAGATTTATTGGCCCTGGCGCTGTGAGCTCCTCATGGAAATCTAAGTGATCATCAGCTTAAGTGCAATTTAAACCAATTTGAATTTGTAAACTTTAATTACACTAACTTTAAAAAGTTTGTTTTGTTTCAGAAAAAAAGTAACATAAAAAACTCAGTCAAAACATGGTAAGCATCCTCTTAGAAACATTTGCAAACTCTGAGGTCCAGGATTTCACTCCTGAATATTTGCACACCCGTGACCTCTTACCTCCACTCTGATTTGGCAGCTGTTTGAACCATAATACTGTTTTTACACTGACAATAAGATAAAAATAGAGATAAATAAACAGCATGTTTTAGTTTCCTTACCTCCCACCCTTCACAGATGACGCTATTCCTGTTTATCTTCTGATGAAATCTGCAGGAAGAGTCACTGTCAGACATTGCTGATATCTGTGTCTGTATACCTATATTTCTGTGTGCATATATCTGTATTTCTGCAGTAAGAAAAGCAGGATGATCTGCTCTGTGTCTGCGTCAGGAGATAAAGTGAGCTGCCCAAGGACAGATTTTAAACTCAGAAAGTGAAAACAGTAGATATCGCCTGTTTTTCACTTCAGGTTTCTTTTCACTTTTCATTTTCACTGCCATGTTAGAAGAAACAGCGAGGACGGTTCACAGAAGTCACGTAACCTGTTCAGACTGTCAGAGGGTTTCATGATCCTCTGCAGCAGCAGCAGTGAAAGTGACACTGGATGAAGTCTCTTTATGTGAGTGTGTGTTGGCCTCGAGCACAGGAGAGCGTCTCGAGTTATTTTAGGGAGTAGAAGCAGAATAAAGCCGAGCTCAGCGGTTTAAAGGATGTGAAACAGAGCGGACACAGTGACTAAACAGCCCTCCATTACTGCGCTGCATCCCTATACACATATATATACACTACAGACCACTCTGCAAACATAGAGACGTTTCACCAAATTGCATTGGATTCAGCCAGTCAGAATTTAAAGTGTATTTCTATAAGGTGTAAGGAGTATAATTCCACTTCTTCTCTAGAATTTGTGTTTTTGCTCGTTTTCTCTTTTTCCTACCCCCAAATTACCTTCTTGAAGTTACTCTCTAGGTTTCTCTGGAAAGCTATTCTTCTATCCTATTTATATGGATTCATCCACACCAAGACTTGATTATTCATGCAACTTTCTACACACTCTCAGAGCAAATTTTAAGGTTTGTTACTTTGAAAAAAAATGTGATTGAAAAACTAAAATTTGAAATTGCAAGTCCCAAGGTTTTATCTTTAATTAAAAACATTTTTTTTTGCTATGCTGATCCTTTGCAGCTTTTAACACCGTAAAAATACATTTACCCGAGTATAACTCCATCACACCTTGAAGATTAATATCTGACATTTAATCTTCAGATTTAATCGTAAATTATGAAACGATCAGTGTAAGACTTCGATAAACAGCAGAGATTTATCACTCAAACCTGTTGGTGTTTTTTTTTTTAGAGATAACACAAAGCAGATGTTAGGTGATTAAGCCAGCCTCGTTATTTAGACAATAGAGCAAAATTAATTCATTTATTCATTTAGAAAAATGCTTTGTCATGTGAAGCTTAAAAAAGCTGAAATTTCTGCAAGTCATTATAAAAAGGCAAATACAATATAACATGTTCAGACAGAGTTTTATTGATCTCTGAGGAAACTTTTCAAAACACATTTTTATAAATAAGTTTCTATTAAAAAAGGAAAGGAAAAAGCATCATTTAAAATGTTTGTGTGTTGGCTGTACAGTTGGACAAAAAAGAAAAAAAGCGTTTAGTTTATGGGAGCTGACTCAATGTCTCACCTGAACTGTGTTTGATGAACGTCTGCAATGAAACAGCTTTTCTAATCAAACTCCCCGACTCAGCAATGTCACTTCTTTGTTTTCTGATTATGCGACATTATTTACTCCGTCTTTTCCCCTGCTGAAGGTTTCTTACTGAGAGGTACATAACAGTTTGCCACTGCTGCGTCCTCTACAGCTCTCTTGATTGGCTGCCTGCTCCCGGTCACTCCTTTCATAGGAAACAGGACAGTGTCTGATTTGCCGTTTGAAGCGAAAACCTCTGAGTGGATCTGCATGGAGGCGTGGCTTGTTTTCATGTCGAGGACTTGACAAAGGCCTTCAGCCTGTTTCTGCAGAGTACTGATGGACTAAAGACAACAGGTTTAACAGTCAGTAACCAGGATTAACAGTCAGTAAAACAGGGTTGTTTTATCTACATGAAGGTGTTTTTGCTGATAACGCTGAGAAAGATCTCACCTTGATAACCTGGACTGCCTGTTTCACTGCGCTGGGAGCTGCTGCTGTCAGATCCTTCATGATGCTCTCTGGGGGAAAACGAAAACCTTTTCACTTAGAGTAAACTGATGATTTCTGTTTGAATGTCTCTGATTATCATTTTTCTTTTGTTTAAACTGCAGATTATCTATAACCAGGTAAAGTTTGAACAGCAGGGAGGAGGTACAGCCAGTTTAACACAGACACAAAGCTGTCAGGAGTCAGAGTGAAAACAGAAAATTAAATACTAGATTTAAACTCCATAAACAGTTTCACTAAAGTTAAATGAGTGAGGGACCAAATTATTAGTTTGAATAAGTCATGTTTTGTATTTGATAAACCTGCAAATGGCACCGTCAGATCTACCACTTGCAGTATTCTGTGAGTGAACTTGAATTAGCTGAAGCTTTATTTATTTCCTACAATCCTCACAGAGCTCTGAAACTCGTAACAGGAAACATAAACTTTCAATAAACAATAAATAGACAATGAACTTTCAACTTTCAGTTGCAGAGAGAAGTAGATATTCCTGATTCATTCACAAGAACAGAAGGACAAAGCGGTCTCTGAAATGCAATGTCTGGATAATTACCTCCATCAGGATCTCTGAGCACTTCCTGAGGTTTGACGGCCTGCTCGTACAGACCCTGAAAAATGAAATAAAATGAGCAAAATAAGACAAAAATAAACCCATGACAAAGAGACAGCAGCTCCAGATGCAGCAGGATGTTTCTTCTGTTAAAATCTTATTGTTTTTAAAATGATTTTGATCGAATGGATTTCTTGTTCTGTAAAGTTGGAAGCGGGTTAGTATTTAAAAATATATAAAAGTTTGATAATTCAATTTTATTCAGTCAGAAAAGGAAAGTTCATTTTTATTTACTGACTCTGGTGAGGTTAAATTACAGTCACTTCTTTTCCACTTTACCATCATCAGGGTTTTGTGGCTCTTCGTTTTTAAAATAATTAAGAATGAATTAAGTCTGATTTTTTATTCTTTCTGTCTTTCTTTTGTTCAGGTTATACACCATGTCACAGGACTAAAATCATTCAAACAAAATCAGCATATCACATCAGGGCTGCTGAGACCCACCAGGAGTTTCCGCTCAGCTTTCAGGGCGTGCAGAACGTGTGGCAGGATCTTTCTTGGGTATGTGGAGCGCCTCCTGGTGGTCTCAACGATGGTGTCATCCAGCAGACTCTCCAGGTCCAAAGCCTCGCTTTCTAAGGCAGGAAATAAACATTAGACTATCGCCTTGAGCTCACTTTAAAAAAACTCATCTTCTAAGTCAAGATAAAGTGAAACATTTGCAAGAATCAAATCTCTTCAAACTAATTAAAAGATTAAATCACCCTCATCATCAGGTGCCTCCTCCCACTGTTTTCCATTTACAAGCAGGTTGTCCTTCACAGCCGCCTCAAAGTCCTGCACAGAGACACAGAGACTTTCAATGTTAAATGTAATAAATGACAGAACAGTCATTTCAGATTTAAAAAAGTTATCTCAATGCGCCGACTAAAGTGACACTCTGTTTACTTGTGTTAATAACAATAATTCATTGTCTCACACTTTGAATCCAAGAAGAAAACATAAAGCTTTTACTGCAGCTTGAGGATGTTTATTTTATCCTTTCAATAAATTATACTTTCAAACATACATTTTATATAGATGTACTTGCAGAACTGGACTATATAATAGTAGAAAAAATAAAAAACTTTAAGAGGTCAACAGATATATCGGCACCCTGCCTCCTCTCTCTCTGTACCAAGCAAACATATTCAAAGACAGACACACCCACACATGCACACCCATTACCCCTAAAGACAAGTAGGAAACACATCCCTACCTTTACAATGAGGATTTAAAGTTTTAATAAAGTGAACTGCAAAGAGATCTGTAAATGAATATTTTGGGTTATTAGTTCTGTTTACCTGAAGTAAACTACACTAAAGGTTCTTCTGTTGGTATCTGACAGGTTAGTAATTTACTTTAATTTTTAATGTACTTTAAACACTTTAAAAACAGTAAAAACATAAATATTTCATACTTGGTAGAATCTTGGTAGATCTGTAATGATCTCTGTCTTCAATACAAACACTTTTTAAACAGTCAAATAAAGTTTTATTTCATACAAACTCTAAGTGTATCTTTAATGATCTCTCTCTCTTATATAAACACTTTCAAAACAGTCAAATAAAGTTATATGTCGTACTCACCGACAGCAGATCTTGGATTATCTCTCCCTTTTTCTTTTCGTCGATGTTTTGTTGTCCATTCAAAGCTGTTTTTAAAATCTCTTTATATTTATTAATCTGCTCTGTGACTGTTTTCTTTGATGAAACTCTCACTCTGTACTCTGTTGTTTCGTCTGTTTGTCCGTTTTTATCTTTTAATTCCTCATTTTTATCGTTTTTATCTCTTTTTTCCTCATTGTTTTCCACTTTTCTCTCTTCGGGCTCCATCTTTCTTTACCGCCAACTATTTGACGGAACTTCCTGGTCCGACCAAAAGATTTACCCCGGAACTTAAAACAGTTCCGCTTGTCGGCGAGCTACGTTGTAAACACAGATTTCTGCTGTGGTTTTCTAGATTGCCATATAGTGATAATTATATGAGATGGAGTACGGCTTGGTTGACTGTCACTGTCATATATCGGCCGCTGAGTTTGAAGAGGTAGGAACCAAGTTATTCTTTGGTCACGAAAGTATAAGACCATAATAAATTATCTGTCTATCTTTAAATTCTGCACGTCAGTAGCTGGTCGATCAGTTACCTTTAAGTTCTGTATATAAGACTAAATTATACGTCTGTTATCTTTAATTTCTGCCCATGTTAGTCAGTTATCTGTCTGTTAAACTGTGTTTTCATGTGGGTTTTTTGTTGTCTTAAATTTGTGCTTAATTTGGTTTAAAACTTTGTTTTCAGGATGTGGATGAAGTGATTCAGAGGAGCAGAGAGGTCAGAGATTAGTTCAACTTTTACACAGATTTACAGTTTAATGATGTTTGAACAGAAAGTTTAACTTCAGTCAGATGACACTAAAAATACTTGCAGAGTTAGAAAAGAACTTTACAGCAGTGTGACTGTGTCTGATCATGTGTTTGTATGTCTGTCTCCGTCTATATGTGTGTTTGCAGGCTGGTGTTCAGGCTCTGGTTTCAGTCACAGAGGGATTTGAGGAGTTTTCTAGAGTCCTTGAGCTGCAGAGTCGGTCTGTCAAGTTTTTAAGCTCCTCAGCTTAATAAAGACATAGTTTGTGTGTTTCGACTTCCACCAATGTTTCCATCTGATCGATCAAACTAGAGTTTCTTCTACAACTATATTTAAATATCAGACTTTAATTTAATGAGGTACATTTTAAAAAAATACAACATTTTGAAACAGAGCTGAAAATGGTCTTTTCCTCTGCACTGTTTAAATGAAAAGTTTTGCTTCCTTCTGTTTATTTAAATCAAACTTTAAAAAGAACTTTAATCTCCATCTTTTAACTACAACTTTATCTGCATTTATGTTCAAATTCATCATTATAAGCTACAGTAAATCATCTGATAAGGGTATTATTATTACTCTCAGTTTCTGTTTAATTGATTAATCATTAAATGTAATTGAACATTTATTGTTATTTTGAAATCAATTTATCTTTTATCAATCATAATTGTATTTTAATGTTATCTTTATTATTTATGGTGGATTTTTAATTAATTTACTGTTTTTTTACTTCTATATGTACGGTGGATATTTATTCATTTTTTTATATTTAATGTTTCATAATATGAATAATTCATACTTGATATTTTTGAATATTCAATTTCGTATTTATTTTCATTATTGGTGGTCAATACTCTCTCACACAGGTTTCCAGACCTGGTGGCTCCATGTTTCGGGGTTCATCCTCTGCAGGTCAGCGGGGGCTCCGATCAGCACAGCGTCAAATGTCAGGTAGGAAAACAGTCTGTTCCTCATTTGTTTTTGCAGAGTTTTTCTTTATTGTTCCTGAGAAACTTAATCTGACACACTCAGCAGTGGGGGGAGGGTCTCAGAGAGAGAGAGAGAGAGCTAAGGGTGAGTATATCTGAGACCTCAGGAGGAGGTGGAGATGTTTGAACTTATTTAACGTTCATAGTGAAAAAAGAAAATATCCTCAGAACCTTACACTTTAGCACAAAGAAACTTTATCTGACATTCTCAGCAGACTCCTTCGGGTGGGGTGGGGGGGTTAGAAAAAGAGAAAGAGCGAGAGAGAGAAAGGAGGGTAAAAAACATCAGAGGAGAATGTGGAGATGTGTTTTCCTCTCAAGTTAATACAGAAAGGACAGTCCTTTTCTACAGTTCCTTGTTGTTGATTCAGCAGGTTAGAAACTTTGGTGTTTGATTTCTTTCTTTTTTTATTGATGAACTTTTTGTGAAAGTAAACACACTGACACAAAGAGAGAAATGGACCATTGCAGCAAAGAAAGTACAAACTAAGAACAATAACATTAGAAATAATAAGCCAAACCTCAAAGGGAAAAAGAAATAGTGTACATGTCAGTCACATGACGATTTTTCTCTGTCTGCAGACAGAAAAGTGATCAGCTGGTTCATCAGCTGTTTTATCAGCTGGTTTGAAGTGAAGGTCACAGCAAAGTGTAAATTTAATCTTCCTGAGAGTCTGAGCGACAATTTTCTCAGGCTGCTGACTGAATCTGATCGTTTGTAATCTGCTAGTAGTGAGTCAGCTGATCGAGGATTAACTCTGGTTTAACCCTTCAGACTGAAACAAATTTCTGACAGCCTGTGAACGAATTTACGACTTGACAAATTGGAAGTGAATAGAAGGTTTTTAAATTAATTTTGATATTGTTTTTGTTTCAATTATTTTCATCTGAGATACACTTCATTATTTTTTTAAAAAGTGATGTTCACTGTTTTTCTCAACACACCATAAATATGTTTTTCACTGCTTTACAAATTTCCTCTTGAAGATAAGAAAACTTTTCTTTTTATGGAAAATGAAGGTAAGATGTGTAAAAAAATTACAGACAGACCATCTGAGAAGTCAAAACCAGAGTAAGATTTCAACTTCTCATGCAACTTTTCTCACTCTAGCCGACGATGTCACCCACTCTGGCAAGATTACACACAATACACACCCATTATAATCCCAAAAAATGATCATGGTCCTTGAACAGTGAGCAATCAAAAACTATCAAAACGTGGATCAATACACCAATAGAAAAGACTTGTGTCTACATTTTAAGTTTAAATGGAGTCTCTAGAGAAAAGTTTGCCAGAGTGGTAGATGTTTGAAAAATTCCAACAATTTTCTCTCTTTTTTTTGCTTGTCCCCTAGAATTAAATGCAAAATTTTTGCATCACTAAAAATGTATATATTATAGAGAAAAGTAAAAGCACACAGATCCAGATCAAACTGCACATTTTGATACATAATTTGTCCAACAACTCTTCAAATTGTAGGACTAGTAGCGAATCAAGAATTAGGAATAAGAAAAAATCCACAGTATAACAATAGTGCCTTGGTGCGTTTGCCCCGTGGCCCTAATTAAATCTATAACAATTTATTAATTAAATCTTTAACAGTTTAATAATTAAATCTATAGCAGGATTCGTGTTAAACTTTCACATTTCTTCACCATCTTCAAACATGTTTCTTCTGATTTTTTCAGGACCTCGACTCTGCGCTGCCACTTTTCTACAAACACAGAGAACGCCTGGTTGCTGTTGGAGAGGTAAGATAAGAAAAGAAGAATTTTATTTATTCCCGAAGAGAAATTCAACAGTAGTAGTAGTACTCTGTCTATATACTCACACCCCTGTGTAATACACATTACTATATACTACATATCTGTACTGTCTTTATCTATTTACAGATGAAATCACAGACATACATGTTTTTTTTCTAAATACTAAAACAGGGTCTATTTCCTCCTTTAATACTTTTATCAGACCCCTTTAAATTTAAAGCCCACCCCCTCTTCTCTCACAACCTTTACCTGCTGCTGAACCTGGTCCTCTAATCTAACACTCGAGAACTTTCTGTCCAAACCCTCCAGAGGGAGAGACAGTCTTCACCTTCAGGCTCTGACTCTCTAATTGGTCTGCACAAAGATAGAAAGTCGAGTTCAGTCTTAGAAAATCTGACTGAAGTTTGAATAAATAAGATTAAGACGGATTTCAGACCTGCTCGCCTCCTAAATCCCCTCTGTTAGCCGAATTAATAAGGCCTGTCAGGATCACTCTCCATCACTCGAACACACACACAGAGCTGTTATTCTGCAGTGCTGTGTGAGAGCAGAGTGTTTTTTCAGGTGCTCTCTGCAAAATTTTAGTATATCTCAAGTTTACCTGACTGTGCTTTTCATACAAAGATCCTAACAGTGTGAAGTCTCACCTGTGAGACTGTGATATGCTGCTGTGTTCTCACCTGAGCTTCCCTGGACTCTACCTTGAAATGACACCAGGGGGCATCAGGAAATATTGGGGTGAAAACTGGTCTGTGTGTGTTCACATGTAAGACTTTACCCACTGGGGAATTTCAGGAAATTTTCAGGAACTTTGTGTTTGTCTGACAGAGACTTTAGTAAGTGAGATTTCAGGCTCTGAGCAGAGCAAACAGTCCCACGCTCTGCTCTCCATCAGCCTGTTATTCACACAGATCAGGTTAAAATCACAGAGGGGTCTGTTTGTCTCTTCTATAACCTCTCAGCTCTGCTTTCACTCTCTTTCACCTTTTTGCCTCACTAATTCCATGCAGGAATTCATGGCAAAGACAAGGGTTGGCTAAGTGAGGGACAATATTTGTACTGTGCCAATTCACAACAAGTGTTATCCAAAGACCCTTCAGGGCAAGAGGGAGATGCAGAAAGAGTTTACTTTGTGGTTTGATGAATAAAATATTTTTTTCTGTATTTTTTAAGATTGGTCTGGACTTCACCCCCTGGTGTGCTCCCACTCAGCAGGATAAAGATGATCAGATGGAGGTTTTTATCAGACAGCTCAGCATCGCAAAGGAGTTCGACCTCCCTGTGTGAGAACGAAATTGTGATATGTGCAACACCGGGATTCTTGAGGAGGAGACTCTTAATTCACAGAGAGTTAAACTTTATATAAACTAAATGTTTTCTCTGCAGGTGATGTGAACATATAACTGTTTTCTCACACAGTAATGTCCACTCTCGGTCAGCTGCTAAGGTTACCATTTCCATCATGCAGGATCAGGGTGAGTTTATTACCTCTTATTGTCAGCCGAACAAGTGATGTTAATGATGTGTTCAAGTTACCTCGGAAGTCAGAAGTCCAAGGAATAGAGCAAAATCGGAGGCCTGAAACAAGATGGCTACATCTACGAAAGCTATTTTTGCGCTTGCCTTATATTCGGACAAGGCAAGACTTCTGAGGTCACTTGAACGCAGCGTAATGCTTCACAATTTTCTGATTTCTCATCAGGAATCACTCGAGCTCTTCTACATAACTTTGCGGGGAAACCATCAGTAGCCATGGAGGGAGTGAAGGCTGGATACTTCTTCTCTTTCCCTCCTGCAGTCTGCAGGAAAAGAGAGGTAACAGAGAGCTTGAACATGGTTGTTGTTTGTCAGACTTCGGTGGTTGTTGTTTGTCAAACGTTGATGGTTGTTGCTTATTTGACTATGATGGTTGTCGTTTGTCAGACTTTGATGATTGTTGTTTGTCATACGTTGGTGGATTTTGTTTATTTGACTGTGATGGTTGTTGTTTATCAAACGTTGGTGGTTGTTGTTTATTTGACTGTTATGGATGTTGTTTGTCAAACGTCGATGGTTGTTGTTTGTCAAACGTTGATGATTGTTGTTTGTCAAACGTTGATGGTTGTTTGTCAAACGTTGATGGTTGTTTGTCAAACGTCGATGATTGTTGTTTGTCAAACGTTGGTGGTTGTTGTTTGTCAGACTGTGATGGTTGTCGTTGTGAGACCTTGTATCTCTTTTCTTTCTGTATTGTCAATTTACTACTTGAGGTGTCATAGTGATAGTATGAACTCTAAATCCCTCCACACAGAGAGACAAACTGATCCGGCAGATCCCTCTGGAGCACATCTGTCTGGAAACCGACTCTCCTGCACTTGGACCAGAGAAACATGTGAGTAACCGGAAATAAAAGTCAATCAATGGTCCAATTTAGGGAATGAACTGTTTGCTGCTTATCTTCTTTAGATCTTTTATCTCTTCAGGTGTGTTGCTGTCTTTCAGGTGAGGAATGAGCCCTGTAACATCCTCCTGTCCTGTCGCCACATCGCTGAAATCAAAGGTGTATCTCCAGAAACAGTTCAACTTGTTACGACACAAAATGCTTTCAGACTTTTCCCCAAAGCGGTCGCTCACTGAGGCTCACTGAGGATCTGAATCACAGTGAATTAGATCCATCATCCAGAGACTCTGAATGAGAAGTGAATGCAAAAGAGGATCAAAACACTGTTTCATAGTGAATCTGAGGAGGTTCGTGATTTATTCAGGGCGGAGACTCTGTAAGCTGCTGCATCTGTTTGCCCCTTCTTGAACTCATCAGGTTTGTTTTTTATTTTGTTTTGATTGTTTTGTATATAGAAGTTATGAAGACAATTTTGCATCTTCATTTGTATCCAAATATTGTGGATGTGTTCAATCAATGAAGGTTTTAAGGTAAAGACTCACTCTGGAGATATTCTGGAGTTACTTTTATTGAACTGAAGTTTAACAGACATTTAACATTTGAAACACTTTTTAAAACTGGTGGAGTTACATTTACTGTTTGATGTTTGATAATCAGACATTGAGAGTCAGGATATTGAATTAAAAACACTGCAGTGATCTGTATGTGTGTATTTGTGGTATTTGTAACAGTAGCACTGCTGGTGTTGTCTGTCTGCAGGCGTCTAAACCAGGTGCGATTTATCTGAAAGAAAAGAAAAGAGGCGTTTAGACAGTCTCACACACCCACAGTTGAAATGGATTATGAAGCAGCATGACTCTTTCCACCTAAATTCACCTGAATACTCTACAAACATTTTTAATTTTCAAAATGCTGAACTAAAATATAGAATCCTTAGAACCCATTTCTTCAGACACATACAGCGTTCCAGCTTTGTTTTCACACAGACACTTTCTATCCTTGCTCTCCCACCCAGCTCTCTTACTGAATCTGTTTGGGATCTCAGTACCTGCTCCAAAGGAATTATTGAAAAAGTCTACTCTTTACTTAATCTTACGATCAACAAACCCTGGTGCAACTGAAGAGACAATGGGAACAGGATTTAGATACAAAACCTTTTCTGTAAAATCTACAAAATCTTTCTTACAGCTCTCTTCAAAGTGTCTCCTCTCCACCAGCTTGATCGGGGCCAGAGTGTCTCTGCAGACTGGCCTTTGCTGTGATCCAGCGGTCATGGTGGTGAGGGCCGGGCTGGTCCTTAGGTGGCTCTTAAAGTGTCTCCTCTGGGTCCTCTCCCAAAACTGTTTGGGGTTCGACTCTACCTGACACCAGGTGTCTCTCTGCAGGTTCAGCTCCTTTAGGCTCCGCCCCTCAGACCCTGACATCCTTATTTTTAACCTGATTCTATAGTTTTTACAGTTAAACTTCACTGTGACCAGTTATTCAGACTGTGAGCAGCTGTGACACTAGTGTAACTATGACAACAGGTAACCTAAGAGGCTCACCTGATAGACAAAGATCTACTGTCTATACAGGAGGTTTCACTCTCACCTGCACAGCAAAGATCCTTTGTGTTTACAGGAGGATAAATTCATAATTAACAAATATGAAGACTGTAAACATTTAAACATTTTCACACTCCTTAGTTGACACCAAACCAGGATTCTTCATAATATTTAATATTTTATCCCTGTAGCACTGAAATGTGTGTTTTGTTTGTCTCTAAACTGCGGTTAGCCTCCCTCCACTAGTCGTAGCTGTAGCTCTGGTGAATGTCCACTGCCACCATACGACAAAGCTTTATTACCCAGATATTAACAGTCACAGCTGATAGAGGTTGTAGTTTGTTGTGGTTTGTTGGAATGTGGATCTATACATGGAAATAAAATTGAAGGTGGGCTATGTGTGGTTAAACTACTCAACCGGAGCCATGAGTGACCAGGACAGTCATTAGGAGATTAACCTTTTTAGTAGGACTGGAGGCTGGTGGTGCTAGCTCTACTAGCTTTAGCCACACTGACTCTCTCAGACTCTGCGTTAATTGAATGCTGCTCAGTTTTCTGATCTCCAGACCGGTCAGTTAGTTTGACTTTAAATAACGTTTTATTCGCTCTAAAATGAATGACCCATCTCTTTATCTCCATTATGTTTTTTTTTTTTTTTTTTGCTGACAAACTGTGATGTGATGCTGCTGTTCTTGTCGAGACTTAGTCCTCTTCTAGTTAGGGAGAACCCTCTGTAATCCTTTTTTGGTACCTGAAAACAGCGACTGAGTGAGAGCTCATCTCGTCTCTGCAAAGACACTGAAGGTTTTTAGGTCAAAGGTCATTTGATCCTCTTGAAATGTTGTGGTGTAAATACAGCAGGAGCAGCTCTATGAAATGACTAAATCTGATCAGTAAAAGGGGCAAATTGTCTTTTTGGGGAGTTTTTACTCGTATTTTTTTACTAAATAAAAACACAAATTAAAAGATTTAATGACTTTGCCTGATGGGAAAATGGCCTTTAGTGTGACCTCTTAAATCTCACTATAAAGACCAAGCCATATATAGCTGATTTGAGTCATCTGTAGAGGCCATCAGAGATCAGGGTGTCCGAGCTCTTTAATGTTTAAGATTTTTCCAAGTTTAGAGTCTAATCTATTTTTCTATTGATAGAACAGTGAAAAAATTGGGGGTAACAGGTGTGAATCACTTGCAGAAGAGTCTACACAGGATCAGATGATGATTAGGATTAGAGCAGATAACAGGGCTGGTATATTAACAGATTATTAGTGACTGAGCAGGAAGCTCTGAGAAAGGTAGTGTCAGACATTCAGGTGTATTTTTGTTTATTTAGACCTGAAATTAAAAGAGATGTTTCAATTAAAAAGGTGTATTAACACTAAAATTTAGTAAAAAGTGGTAACAAAATTTTTTTTATCATTGGGCTTAATGGGGATGTACTCACATTGGGTGTTAGCCCCCTTGCGGCCACTGGGTGAACTTTTTTTCTTTTGATAGTTTCCACCTCAGCATCATTTCTGGTCCAATACTGAGTCAGAATTTGACTGACAAACTGTATTAGATTTTACCTTGTGGTTTATGGACTGTAATATTGGTTATAGGAAAATATTGAGCCTCTTTGGTGTTTTCTGTTATCAGAATTACAAACATTATTTTTATTATGCTGTTAAGGACTGGATGACAAACAGTAAAGTTGGGTTGCTGAGTTATATTTTACTTTACTGGTTGTTGCATCATGCTTCCCTTCTCATTGTAAGGGATTACCGTTTACTCACTTCTCTGGTGACGGGTGTGAGACACTACAGGCTGTATCTGCGCTCTTATTGGCTCATCAGCATCGGAAGGCCGGCAGTGTGGGCTGAACAAAGAGGATCTTCAGAGAGGAAACGGGGAGGGGGGAGCAGATAACAGCGTGTAGAGGCAGACAACGCGGAGGAGCAGCACCGTGTGGCCCAGTGTTTCAGTCGGGGGTTTAAGGGTTTATTTAGACCCAGTCTGGATGTTGATTAGTCCCTGAATGCTTCGCAGAGTCTCTCTCAGTCCCCGCTGGACGGACCCGCTCTGCGCGGCACATCTCCGTTTCCTGCCTCGCCCTCATTTCCACCTGCCGGTTCATCAGAGACAGTGGGAAGCGCACGGGCGCCATGGTTGCCGGTGAGCTCGTGCAGGAGCATTTACGCGCAGATACTGGCGCACCTGACGACATCACGGTGTGCAGGAAGACCGTGGAGCTGCAAGGAGCGGCTGCGGATCTGGGACACGGAGCGGAGCGGAGCTACGAGCCAGCCTGCACCGATCAGGAGCAGGAGGCGCCGCCGGATGAAAAGGAGGTGATGCTGCCGAACGGAGGAGGAGAGGAGGCGGAGGAGAGGGACGGGAAGATGCCGGAGACGAGACTATACCGGCGCCGGTTCGCCGTGCTGACTGTGTTCAGCCTGTACTCTCTGGTGAACGCCTTTCAGTGGATCCAGTACAGCATCATCACCAATGTCTTCATGAGCTTCTATGGAGTCTCCAGCGACAAGGTGGACTGGCTCTCCATCGTCTACATGGTCGCTTACGTGCCGCTCATCTTTCCTGCCACCTGGCTGCTGGACCAGAAAGGTCTGCGGCTCACGGCCCTTCTGGGCTCCGGCCTCAACTGCGCCGGCGCGTGGCTGAAGTGCGCCAGCGTGAGTCCGGAGCTGTTCGGAGTCACCATCACCGCGCAGGTCATCTGCTCGGTGGCACAAGTCTTCATTCTCGGCCTGCCGTCCCGCGTCGCCTCGGTGTGGTTCGGACCACGAGAAGTTTCCACCGCATGTGCTACAGCTGTGCTGGGCAACCAGGTGGGGATATGGGGATATGCACGTGCCATCATTTACCTGTCTGATAGCAAGGTTATGGTAGTCAATCTGTGCCAAATTATGTGTAAAAAATTGTCTCTCAAAATATACATTTAGTAAAAATTCAACTTAAAAAAAAAACCTAAAAAAAATTCAATATAAAAAATCCAGTGTCAAATATATATATCCAGTATATCCAGTGTTAAATATATATGTATGTGTGTATATATATATATATATATATATATATATATATAGCAGTCATGCAGAATCTATGATGAATCAAGCATAAATCTCAAAGATAGGGAGGATATACATCACTACAGAACAACAAACTGTACAATATGATATGTAGTGACTGATGCCTGGTCACTGGAGCAATTACAATGCTACACACTCTAGCTGTGTTTATAACAGTACTATTAGTGTGTATAACAATAGTGCCAGTGTCTACAACATGTATAACATAAAAAAATTAAAGAATAAGTGTTTCAACAATTAAAGAATAGGTTTTTTAATAGCATCTATAAGATTTGTGATAGTATATATAATGAAAAAGCTAACATCTTTTTTTTATTGGTATTATCAGAGTTAATATTAAAAGCTGTTTAAGACATTTAATGAAGAATTAATAACAATGATAGCAGTGTTCCTAACATTAACCCTCTCTCTCTCTCTCTCTCTCTCTTTCGTGTTTAGCTGGGAACAGCCATCGGTTTTCTCTTGCCTCCAGTTTTGGTTCCTATGACTCCAGATGATATTAAACTGATGGGTCACAACATCAGTGTCATGTTTTATGGAACAGCTGTCGTCTCTACGGTCCTCTTCCTTCTCACAGTCATAGGTAAACACACACACGCACACAAACACACTAACTTCTCACACTGTGGCGTGAAGCAGCGTTCACCTCCATCTGGTGCAGGAGCTCTGGGATTCACGGTTTAGTTGGTCGAGATGACAGCAGATGTACCTCAGTGTGTTTTCTCTCCTTTTGAAGGTCTGATTTTCTCACAGGGTGGAAATATTCCAGAAATCTTCAAACCCAGAAACTTAAGTCTCCTCTTATTAAGATTAGTGTAGGGGTGGGTTCGGGTTAAGTCAAGACCCCGGGTAATAAGTCAGGGGTTTATTATTTGAAGGTATGTATGGTATTCTAGAGAGCAGACAGAGCTGTGTTATTGTCGAGTGGAGAAGTTGAAATAGCTGAGCTTATGTTAAACTGAGGTAACAACCATTTGAAAACATGATAGAGTTAAATTGACTTAAGAGATTAAATGACTGAAGAGTTATAGGTACTAAACCACAGAGTAAAAAAGGGCCAGATGTAGCTTTCCATGTACAACAATATGAGTATTCATCGTCTATTCGTGTGCTTAGTCTTTCATCCAGGCTTTGTTTGTAGGGAGACAAACAGGAGTCCTTCTGTTCACACGTGGTGAAACTTTTGTTTGTTTCTGTGTGTTTTTTAGTCATTAAGGACCGCCCTCACCTCCCTCCCAGCCATGCACAGGCTGTCCTACCGGACTGTCCTCCTGAGGATTACTCCTACCGACAGTCCATCTTCAACCTCGCCAAGAATAAAGCATTTGTCCTTCTTCTCATCAGTTATGGTGAGGCTAAAATGTTCCTTGATAACACTGAAGTTTAACTTAGCTTTGAGATCAGGCAGTGTTACATGGGCTTTACATAGAATAGCTCACTTTTGGAACCAGCCTCAAGTGGCCATTCAAGAAACTGCAGCTTTTTAAACTTTTGTTTTGGCAACCAATTCTATAATTCAATTCTAGAATAATACAATCCAAATGAAGACTGCCTGGTGTTTTTGTTAACTTTAAGTGACATTATTTCCACAGTAAACCTTGTTCTTGCTCTGCAGTATTTTGCTCACAGTCAGGGTTACAGCTTTAATGTTTTCAGGGCCTTTCTCACTTTAACCCTCAGTAGAGTCATCAATGGATTGTAGAAAAGCTGGAACTAAAGTAACTTTTTGTCTGTCTGCAGGTATAATGACCGGTTCCTTCTACTCAGTCTCAACTCTTCTAAACCAGATGATCATGACCTGCTATGAGGTAAACCACACAGACACACAGACAGCTGAGAGGAAATGTGACCTGCTGGTGATGATTATGACATTTAAAGGGCTTGTGTGCCCCAGTTTATGGGTTAGCAGAGAGATTATCTATTACTGAACATGTACTCACACCAAAGTGCTGCTTGGGTACAGGACTTCCGGTATGGTGTATTGGACTGATTGCATGCAACTACTTGAGTAATTTTTGTGCATAACTTGCTTATTGCTCAAAGTTTAAAAAATAAATTGAAATATAAAAAAAAAAACCTTGGAAATCCATAAAATCCACACAGCTGGGAGATGGAACCAGAGCACACAGATCATGCGTTTCCAATTATGACAGCCGGAACATCACATGACAAGCAAGAAGTAGAAGATCCACCACTGACATTAAGGTCTCCAGAGTGGAAACACTACAGTGTCCCTGTGATATATAACAGTGGACAAAGACAACTGGATAACACCAAAGCAGTTTGACGGCACTGTTCGGCAATAACCTTGGATTTTGCTGACAACACCCCCAATTGTCAACACATTTGAAGCAGCGCCACACAGACGTAAACCTAACTGCTTACAGGAAAAAGACTCTGCTGTTCAAACGCAGCTGCTTCTGATATTTAAACAGCCTTTACCTGGTAATTCAGAGCTAAAGCACCAGACAGTAACAGACACTGTCAGGGTTTTTATGTTTCCCTATTACCATACTGTCAGGAATTACTGTCCAGACTGTAACTTAAAAACTGAGGAACATACCAAACCAGGGTTTTTGTGTACCGGTACACACCTACTGAGCTGACATCTCTCTTCTCTCCCTTATGTCATTTCCTTTCCTCCTATCCTCTCTCCTTTTATCCTCCTCTCTTCTCTTCCTCATGTCCTTTCCTCTCCTCCTCTCTTCTCTCCCCACCCCTCCTCTCCTTCCCTCCTCAGAATCAGGAGTTGAATGCTGGGAGGATTGGTCTCACTCTGGTTGTTGCTGGAATGGTCGGCTCCATACTCTGTGGCTTGTGGCTGGACCACACAAAGACCTACAAGTAGGCAACACCACCACACACATTGTCACACAAACATACACATACACACACAAACATAATATGACACAAGATTTGTGCCAGTTGCATACTCAACTCAACTAATGTAAGCATACTCTTGACAGTGCGCCCGAGTTACGCTCCAGAGGTTACAGACACTTTCATTTTGCTCAATGACTTTGTGTGTCAAAAAGGTGTATGTGAAATGCAAACACAAGAGTGGAACTCATGTTGTGTTCACACCAAGTGCAAATAAAATCATTTACTTGCTCCATATGTGTGTATCTGGACATGTGAACAACGTGTACTCACTTAATTAGCGTGAATGACTCACCTAATTGGCTTGTTTGTACACAGTTTGTAGAGCGTCCAATCACAGATGAGGTTAAAGAGAGGAGATATAGAGAAGAGAGGTTCCTGCAAGTCAGGTCAGTCTGTTTCCGTAGACCATAGCAGAGGTTGAGACTTGTTGAGTTTAAATAACATAGCAGATAATCAGACTTCTTCAGACTTTTTCCTCCAGCTGAGTTTTTTTTTTATTCTTGTCTCAGAGTCACAGATGAGTTTTATCCTCCGGCTCAGGTTGTCTCATACTGTCATGATTTTTAATCCTCCATTTTTTTCGTGATTGAATCTCTGCTGGTCTGTTGTTGACATACGTCACTGGGATACCTCCATGCTGATTGGTTGAGTTCAGATTCGGGTTGCCGGGATAGAATGCCTGTGTATAGCATCTTTGCATCGACTTGACTTGCCAAAATGATTTTATTTGCATTGGTTATGAACATAAAATGAGGCAATGATCACACAAGCGTATGTTTGTGCGTTGTATGTGTACCTGGCACATATCCTGAGCCATATACATACACACATTTGCACACAAACACTCACTCATCATATTTTTACTTAATGTAAGTTGATTCAGTAAAATTAACTAACTTTTCAGGGTTGTGCTCAGAGTGGCACTCTGATTTAAGGTGAAATAAAAGCATCTCTGCCTCTGACTCTCTGCTGCCTTAGGATCACCACACTGATCGTTTACATCCTGTCTTTTCTGGGGATGGTGGTTTTCACCTTCACTCTGGACCTGAACAACATCTACCTGGTCTTCTTCACTGCTGGAGTCTTGGGGTAAGCAAAGCAACACTCACTGGACTCTTTCCCCTGTTACACCATAGATTCCCAATGTCATGAGACTCAACAAGGAGACGAAGAAAATATGTAATTATTAAAAAAAGTCAAGGGAAAATAACAAAAAAGTAATAATAGATGATGTATCTAAGATACATTTATACGGACAGAGATGGTGGAGTAAAAAAACTCAATGTGATAAAAGCATATCAGTCTGAGTCTGGTATCACTCATTTGATCCATGTTAAACTCTGCACTGCTGTGACTTACCTGTCTGTCGTCTGATCCTCAGGTTCTTCATGACGGGTTACCTTCCTCTGGGCTTTGAGTTCGGTGTGGAGATCACCTATCCGGAGTCTGAGGGAACCTCGTCTGGACTCCTCAATGCTTTCGCTCAGGTAATAAATAATAAATGCGTTAAACCATGTTAGAGCATTAAGCTGAATTTTTTAGTGTCAGTTTATAATAATAATTTTGATTTTAAATACGACTTTTTATTTTATTACAATTTTCATAAAACTAATCTATTTCTTTTTATTCTTCAAGATATTCACTTAGTGCAGTTTTCTGTGTGATGTTTCCCTGTAACCACATTATAATATGTGTGTGTGTGTGTGTGTGTGTGTGTGTGTGTGTGTGTGTTGATGCAGATATTTGGGATCATCTTCACTCTAATTCAGGGCAAAATGACCACCGATCACGGTCCGCTAATTGGAAATCTCTTCCTCTGCGCCTGGATCTTCCTGGGAATCCTGCTCACTGGTAGGCTGTGTGTGTGCGTGTGTGCGTGCATGCGTGCGTGTGGGCGTGTGAGAAAGTGTGGGAGTGGGAATCTCTTTCTGGATGTATTCCAAATATTTAATGGGTTTCTTTGTTTTTTGTTTCAGCTTTAATAAAGTCGGAGCTGAAAAGACACAATGTTAACATCAGAGCAAACGGCAACCTGCAGGCAGTGAGTGCACACACACACTCACACAAATACCCACATACACACAGACACACAAACACACGCATAACAGATGCTTGTCTCGACTCGGGTAAGACGTATGTAAGTCTTTGCCAACCCCAACTCATAGACCCCACCCCTCACTGTGGAGGCTGCAGTGGCAGAAAAATCTGCCCATCCCTTTTAGATTGATTCACCTCTTCTTTTGTCAGGATCGGCCTTTACAGAGGACACAGTCAGTCCAAGTCTTTGTTCAGTTTTTCCTCCTGCTGGCGTCTCATACAGTTTCACCTTTTCCCAAACAGTGGCTTCTTTTCAGGCTGGACGTTAAATCTTGAGTGTCCTGGCAGAATTATTCTCGTCTCCACAAACATGGCTGTAAACTCTTTTCTTTTTTTTTTTTTACTTGACCTTACCACCAGTTGATTATGTCTGACGAGTCTTAAAGCCTCCCAACAAATCAGCCCTCAGACAAGCAGATCATTCACCCTGCAGCTGGACTTTTCTGTCTGATCTACCTTTTTTTCTGATCTGGGGGGTCTGAGGCTCTTGTTGTGGAAGATCCAGCATAAACTTAGTGAAACAATGCACAGGAGACAGGATGACATCTGAAGAACAGCCTGGGCGTCTTTTATTGTACAGATGTAGAAATCAGATAACAAACTGAGTCTTGACCAAACCCGAGGAAAACCTCTTAAAGCTTTTCTTCTACTCCCTTTTATACTGTCTGGTGTGTATCTGAATACAGTCATTGTGTACTGCTTGTACCTCTGATATGTGCGTGGGTGTGTGTGTGTGTTTGTGGGTAGGTGCACGAGTCTTCCGTCATCATGGGTACATCATATCTATCCTTCAGGAGGCTACCCATGATGACGTGTTGTACTGTTCTGAAACTCAACACTTTGTTTAGATTAGTCTTAACTCTCCCAGAGATTAGCTCTAAATGTTCTAACAGACAGATAGTTTTGGTCCCTGCAAAACAGCCTTGCTTGCAACACAAGTAGGCCAACCCATATAACTTTTAACACCTTAATAAAAGATAATCACTCTATATTTCTTAACCTAAATGTATGAAAAGATTCTACTACACTCCTAACCACTTAGTACAGATTACTACTTTTCCTACCATTTGGCGCCCTCTGGTGCTGAGAAGAATGACACCTAGAAATATGCACTAAGGGAGAAGAATTTTTTTCATTGAGGGCTTTTGTCTTTCATTTTCTTCCTAATAATTAAAACTGGAATAGGAAAAGAACTTCACATACTAACATTTTATGTGTTTTTATTATGATTCTTTAATTTCATTTATTTTTTTCTCAGACAGCGTTTTATGTTCTATGTTTGAACTTATTTTACCACACTGTCACTTTGCTTAACTTGATTGTTTTTTTTTTTAAGGTGCTATATTAATAAAGTGGATTGGACAGGATTGGAGAGTTGTACAGACCAAACATGTAATAGCAGGTTTTTGTATATTTGGGAAAAACAGTTAATATAGATGACAAATGCAGAAGAAATACAACCCTCCATAATGACATCCATCACTCATTGGCAATAATTGAATTTCTCTGTAAAGTAATGTACAGTGTGACACAAAATTAAAGCTGTAATTGGCCAAAAAAAAAAAAGTTTCTCCATTTAAAGTCTTTCTGACGTGTCTGTGTTGCTTGAGTAATTGTCTTCCTTTGTCTTTCTCAAAGCTTCCTTCTGAGTGCCCTGGAGACGACCCTTCAGAGAAAACCAACGGACTGAAACTGGAGCCCTCGGTCAGCTTCTCCCGTGAAACCTCACTGTGAGCCTGCCAACTCTCTGGACCTCAGAAATCACACAAAGGTCTCCCTGCTGCCTGGGATACATGCTGGCACAACACTGAACTACCTGAAGGCGCACAAGTTTTTTGTTTGCAAAGCATAGCCTCTCTGGAAGGCTGCAGGTCTGGGTGGAAACCAAGTCTAATCAAGCACAGCCACAATCTGCAGAGGACTGAAGCCAGGTGGGTGACAAAGAGACGAGAGAGCCAATATCTCCTCAGACTTTATGACTCCTTCGATGCTCCTCTGCAGTTGGAGCAGGATAATGCTGTCAAACACTGGCGTAGATGAAGGATTACCTTCAGCTGAGTTAAAGAGAATGCTAGCAGAGGAGCACACTTTATTTTTTACTGTAGGTGCAGCATGAAACTGCTGCTGTGATTTATATGTGTTCATTGGGTTACAAAGTGAGAGGTTGGTTCACGAGATTCCAACCATTATGAAGTTTTCCGTTTAGAAAAAAGAAGCTCCTGGGATTATGTTTTGGTCTCAGCAGTGGGTGAAGTGTCAGGTGAGTCTCCAGGTTAGAGAAGAATTACTAGAGAGCCATTCTGTTGGGTTTTGTACTTTGCCCTCAGCAAGGGTCTGACATTTCCTGAGTTTACTTGAAATATCACTCTTTTTTGCTAGACTGAAATTTTTGTTGGTACTGGTCTTAAGAGACTGTATTTTATATGAATTGGTTATCAATTTGAAATTTGACATTTAGACTCCATTTGAAGCGTCCCCAGACGTGGACAGTGGATGCGGCACACAAATCAGATAATCCACGAAGCAGATGGAAATAACTATGTTAGTGTTGTCGACTGCATACAGTAAATCCTTAGAGGTCTTACTGAAGATTTTAAACGTAAGTGGGTCACACCAAACTAACTATAACTTGGATGTTTGTAGTTAGTATTCCTTCTTGTATCTATCTAATGTGCTATGGCTGATACATAACCAACACAATTTGAAGCCTGTTCTGAATAATGGATTATTTAAAGACAGGAGAAATTTTACAAAAGACTTCACATTCAGGAATCATGTTGGGTGTAAAGCAAAAAATTTTAAACTTCTAGGTCATTAGCCCTTCAAAAGAAAGAAAACAGATGGTATCACAGGTGCTAAAGGGTACCTCCAAACAGACTCTGACAAACTGTGTCCATGAATATCTGTATGATACAGTACAAAAGAGGGGGCTTGGGGTGTCCGTTTAGCTTAGTGGTTAAATTATGCACCCCATATCAAGAGTCTCGGTCCTCAAAACAGGTGGTCCCAAGATTAAAACCAGTGCACAGCTTTGTTATCTTAATTCCCCTCTTTTTCTTCCTAGGTTCCTACTCTACCCACCGTCCTATCCCCCAAATAAAAGCACGAAAAACTCAAAAACATCCACAAAGAAAAAGATAAGGCGAGTTAAACAAAAGCAGTCATATTTGGAAGCCTTAAATGAGGATGTGTACTTTAAGAAAATGTCCTTGAAAGGTTATTTCAGGGTGATTTTGCCTCTTTTAACAGACAGTTGTAGAGGGAAACAAGGAAAGTAGACATTCAGGGAAGATATTTGGCTACATTTGGTTTTCCACTGAGACAGCTGACGCCCCAACACTTTTTAACCTTACCATTAATACCTTCTTTCCTTCCTTTAAGTCACTACCACATAATAACAAGGGGAGAAAGTGTAGTTGCACTGGACTTAACTGATAACTAGAATTATAACCAGGGATGCACTACTGATGAAAGTCGATGCTTGAAACTGATGTTTCAAACAACCTGTACTACCACAAAATAACAAGAGGGGAGAAAGTGTAGTTGCTCTGGACTTGACTGATAACTAGAATTAAAATGATCGATCTAACCAGGGATGCACTGATGATGAAAGCTGATGCTTGTTTAAACCTGTTACATGTTTTATTTATAACCTCTTTGCAATTTTTCACATGTTTTTAACTGAGCTGTGAAGTTTTAAGTATTTATGTTCTTAGTGTCAGGTCCTTCCCTTGTTTCTGGAACACGTTGTACACTGCAAATCGACCATCCTTCTCAGAAGGTGTGTCACACTCCCATATTTCCAACACTTCCTTCAGCTATTAACCATGGAAACACAGATAATGTTTGTCCATCAGGTGACTCCTCTGCCCAGTCAAAACTCTCCTCTGAGTCAGCAGTAAGGTGTCCTGGCTTTTTGGCATCAAAATTGATGTGAACCAAAGTTACAGATCAGCCGCTGACTTTAGCATCTGCAGGTGTTTGTCAAAATGGCCAAAAGCAACTGATATTAACCAATACATCAGTGCTAATACTAATGACTTATTCTACAAATATTGATGATAACCATAATTATTTTATTTATTTTCTTTGATTATTTATCACTGTTAATCCCCGATGGTTAAAGTTACAGACTTGTAGTGACCGTATGACTCTGGCAGGATGAAGAAGGTCGTTACATGAGAAATACCTGTATTAATATTATAAATTGTACACTGTATGTCTGAAAATCATATTGCAGTTTTTTCTTGCACAAACCACAGCGGACCAAACAGATTGTGAACATGTCGTTCTGAGTTCAGTGCACAAAAAGAAACAAACGCACAACTGCAAGTTTTATACTGAAAAGCATGATGTCAAACCTGTTTGAATGACGTCTTTTGTCCGTTATAAGACATAGATTATTACTATTTGGGGAAAATTTCCAGGATTAATAGTATATTTGTGTCTTTATTTCTCAGTTTGTAGAGCTCCAGTTTATTAAATATTCAGATAAGGCTGAAGCTCAATGATATCCTGAGGACTGAAAAAGACAGGATGTTTTATTTATGTTACAGAAAAGAAAAAAAATTACTTTAAGAGCCATCTTTTTTTTTCTTTTACCTTCAACATAAGCACATAAGACATTAAAAACACTCTGCTTGCCTAATTTTATTTAAAAACATTTCATTTGAAAACATTTTATTTTATTCTGTTTTTGGAAAAAACATTTTGTTTTCTTGTTTATGTCTCTTTGCAAGTTATAATCAAACCTTTTTTGTATTTATCTCTTAAACTTTTACAGAGCACTTATAAAATGTTATTTTTGTTTTGTTTAGTTGGGTTATTTATTTATCTGTGTGAATAAGTTATTAGAAAATAGGACAGAAAAGTATGGAGGATGAAGTAACACCAGATTAAAACAGATTTTAATGTACGAGATGACTTCACTAAAACATTCTCATACATGTTTGTTTTTTTAACAGTCTTTATATGTCATGTTGTTGAACCACATATTTTGTTTTCACTGTTTTAAACATTTCTTTGAACATGAACATGAATTACAACAGGTCTGTTTATTAAAAAACAAGTTTTTCCTGATCTAACAAAGAACTGGGACTATAAAATCTTATGGTGAGCTGAAACAGCACTGGATATACTATCACTTGTTTAAGACTGTCTTTGTTTAAATGTACCTCATCATTTTAGGAGGCAAATGTTTGATGGTGGCAAATGTCTTCTTCTGATACTGAATAACTGCACTGAGAGGCATAACTGGATTTTATCTGATGGTTAATTCATGACAGTATCATGTCTGATGATATTTAACGAGTAAAGGAATAATGTGATGACAATGACATGATGATGGCACAGCTCATGGTTTGTCAAAGTGTATGATAATTTGATCTCTTTCATTCTGTATAAAAATTAACATGCAGATATCCTGAGATGGATAAGGTACCTTCAACTAAAACTGAGCAGAGAAAACTTTTGATTGAGAAAAATGGCTGTGTGGTCAGAAATATGTCTTACTTCAACTCTAAAGTTTAACCTCTGGTCAAAGCACATACAGAATACAAAAGTTTAAATATAAGAGTTGAAATCACACCATTAGTTTTATGTCAAACATGTGGAGCTGCTGTTGAATTCAAGTTTTTTTCATATGCAATCTATTTACTTCAAGAGGTGATGTGTCATAAAACTGAAACCCCTCGAAACAGGTGACTAAACTCTGTATGTTTCTGTTGGTTTTAAGATATACAGAGTAAAACCGCAACAGTAAAAGCATTTAATATCAAAATGTTTGTGTCTCTTTGTTTTCTCACTCAACAAAAAATCACAGTGACACATTGCAGCAAAAACCTGCATTTGATAGCTGAGACCAACACTTTTTCTTTTTATATACATACTTATTCCCTTCAAACCTTCTTTGCGTGGGTATTTATCATTATTTATTGAGCAAAAACTCAGTTACTATTTTCCATTATTTTTTCCCCTAACTGCAGAGACTACAGAGTCTACTTTTATGGAATAACACATTTTTGGCTTCTTCTGTTGTGATTGGTCAATGGCAAATCCCTCCATCAGTAATTTCAACCATTCATCCCATCTACGGTAGCACAAAGCAAAGTTGGTGGTAGTCACTATCCCTACAAAAAAAGAGGATTTGTAGCCTCATGACAGTGCCTTAGACCTCTAGTTTTGACTTCCATCTGCACCATGGACTTTTAACAACACTTGATAGGCAAGTCACTGCTCTCATATTTTTATTCTTCACATTGATATCTAACACTTTAAATACATTAATTGTTTTCACTCACGTACTTTTATGTACTTTTTTAAACCGCATGGTTTTTAAATTTTTTTTTTTATTATTGTTTTTAAATAAATCACTTAATGTTTTCCATATGAAACTTAACATCTACAAATAACTTTTCTGTTTGTCTGTGACTCATGAAAAAAAGGGATTAAGGACTTAAGGACTATTTAATCATAAAATTCTCTTAGAAGTCAAACGAGCATTGTTTAAATGACAGGCTGGAATAAGTAAAAAGAAAGAAAGAAATGAAGTATTACAGAAAACTATCATAAGCATTTGAATTCAGAGGAAAGACAATCTCTGTCCTTTAAATTTCAACCCCGAGTGTCAATTCAGTTGTCTGCATAAGACTACAGACAACTGAATTGACCCTCGGGGATCACTGAAGTTCTTCTTATCTTATATTGAACTTTGTCTCATTCATTCATTTGTAGTTGTGATGCGAGAAGTCATGTGACGCTTTTTACGGTCCCCTGCCACACACACAGTGATCACAATGGTTCCTTCTTGTCGGCTATTATCCACAGGTGCATCCATTGTTGATTATTCACGCTTATGTCCTGTTATTTAATTTTTTTTTTCTAGTTTGACTTAACAGCAATCTTTCACAAACGATTGAAATTGACTTGTATATATATATATATATACATATTGTAAATATATAAGTGGAGAAAATTATTAGCATTAGCCATGAACAAACAGGTATTATAAACTTGAAAAAAGCGTACAAAGTTCTTTTATATCAAGGGTAGGCCTGTTTGTTCCACAGCATGAATGACATCCTCATTATATTGCATCTGTCACATCTTACTTTTGGTTTTTGTTACTCATAATGTTTTTAAACAGCTGAAACTGTGGTTCCTGAGATGTGGTTTATCATATTATATTGTTGGAACACGGGAGGGCGCCATTTTCCCCCCGCCTGTAAACTGCAGACACTTCCTGTTCACTGTAACGCGTCAGTTGACTGTAACAGACAGAGGTCTCACTCTGCCCTTAATATTTGATACTAAGAACACCAACGACATTACCTTCTTTGATGGCTTCAGTGTGGCATTCAGGTTATTTTGACATAAGTAAAAATGACAGGAAAATTTTGTGTTGCATATCCATTTCATGTTTCATTTGAGCAATTAATTAATCTTTATCTAGCACTAATTCTCAACCAATGTTGTCTAAAGATGTTTTACATAAGAGGTGGTCGAGATAATAGTTTTCATCATAATTACTCATTGAAAATGCTTGCTTTTTTAAAAGTTATTTTTAAAAAAAGTATATCTTTTATTTCTTATCCGATATAGATTATTAATGTAACAGTTATTGCAAAGTCAGTGGAAGCACAGAAGTGCAATAACCCCCCATAAGTGTCATGTAGTGTTCACTAATATATAATTTATTGCAAGAAAATAGGGTGAGAACTAGAGAAATTTTTATTCAGATTTTTGATTATCTTAATTCTGAGTTATCTTAATTTTACTAACTGGGAAAAAGACGACAGAAAATGTGATCAGAAACAATCTTAGGAGTCTAGGAAAAATTTCTCACTAATTCAAAAACATGTTTGGAAAGTTTTACAATTAAACAACTTATTCAGTTAATTAGTGTGGAGAATTTATAAAAAGAAAAAGTAATTATTCTCTCTTGTTTGTGTAGGAAAAAGTGTATTGTTTTCTCTTAGATGAATGCAGTTCTATGTGAGTAAGCTGTGTTCACCTAAGAACAACAGAACAGAAAAATGATCTTATAATCTTGAGATAAATGGTAAATAGACCATTTAAAAATGGTAAGCAGATAGTTTACCATTTATCTATTTACCATTTATAAATTATGGTTATTTTCTCTTTAATTCAAGAACAGGGCAGCTTTTTTTCTGAAGTTAATGTAACCAGTTGAGTTCACACGGAAGAGTGCTTACCACTATTACGGTTTTAAGATTAAAAAGTCACCTTAATGTTCTATTAAATGAGACCCAATGTCCATCTGAGGCTTCTGTACCGCTTGAGGACACTGAGTGAGCCCTCTTCGCAATAGACGATCTTTGCAGTCGTCAGTCACCTATACCTTCGTTGTTAGCATATGGTCGGCGGCAGAAGCAGGGATACCTATTCTCACTACCGGAACCATCCAGCTGCTGTTACGATGACTGTCTCTGGTTTAACGCGGTCGACCTAAAACATCTTCACACTGGAGGCCTAACAACGACAAAGCAGCCTATTAAACCGCTGACAGTTGTCGTTGTCCGTCCGCCGAGGCTCCTAACAGCGTCAAATCACCACCACCACCACAACCAGCAGAGGCGTTTATAGGAACACACCGACAGGTATGTCTTCATCCGCTGCCAGAGACACCGTGGTCAAAAAGAAGCACGTCCGTTTCGCCAGCATGGAGGACGACGACGACGACAACGACGACCAGGAGGAGGACACTCTGTTTGACAAGAGGAAGGACACCAGGAGGGGGCTGAAAAGTGCGCTAAAGGCGGGGAAGAGGACCGTTAAACCGGGATGCGACGACCGGTTGGAGGTGGTCGGTGGAGGCAGGGGCGGGTCCGGTGCGTGCGGGCGCTGGATGATCACCCTGGCGCTGTGTGCATCCTTCCTGGGCTTGGTAATGTCAGCAGCAGAGCCTAAGTCAACCTCATTTCAAACCTGAGTAAACGTGCCTCATATAACATCATAATAATCATGATTGTGTCACACTGTACTCACAATTACTCTTAGCAGCAAATCCAAACAATCTGAGTGAATATCTGCACACCAAACGTTTTATTTGTTGATTTATTCCTGTGTGGTTACCTGGTTTTGGTCCTAAGCTCACATAGTAGACACCTGCCTGAATGAATGGGTTTATAATCATAGATAAGCACTAAATAATGAGCTATAATCAGATGATCAGCACGGTTATTTGCATGCCTTTTGTTCTGTATGTGGTTTTAGGCCATTTTCCCCTGAATTGAACCCAGCTAAGAGGTTTAACTATACTCAGAAAAATTTTATTTTTCCTTCTGTATCAGTGACTTTACAGATTGTTTTAGCTGCAAAAACAGCTCTTTACATACTTTAAATACACAGCAGCTATATAAAAATGGGAAATCTGGTCACTCTGACTTTGGATAAGTAGTTACTGCCTTTAAAAAGCCTACTTATCAATCAAGAGCAGCCCAGCTGTAATACACGGAAACGAATGCCTCAGTATCCCGTGCAGGCAGGATTTAGAGTCTTGCAAAACCTGCTCTACAACCACAATATCCGCATCAAATTACTGACATCCATCAGCATACACCTGTGGGGCTACTGTCATCAGGGACGTTAAAGTTTCCTTGTCTACTTTCTCCACACGTACACTTTGCTTTTCAAGTAACACCCCGGATTAATTCCAAACTAAGCACTAAGTAATCACATAAATGGTAAATAGTCACCATACCATTTATGGGTAGTCATGCAGAACTATTTTGTGTTTGATCAGTTAAATCCATCAGAGACAAAGCAGGCACAGCCCTCAATCTCTTACATACAAACTGCAGGTGATGCAGGTTGAAAAGCTGTCACACACAGTAACTTCATCCTCTCATGGTGAACGTGTGCTCTCTGTTTCAGGGGATGAGTATCTCCGTTCTGGGGCCTACCTTTGAGGACCTAGCTGTCAATGTGAAGCAGAACATCAGCAACATTTCCTACATCTTCGTCGGCCGCTCTGCCGGTTACATCGGGGGATCGCTGTTAGGAGGCATCCTCTTTGACTGCATGAACCCTCACCTCCTCCTAGGTAACCTTTCACCCACATTGAGGTGTGGAAATACAGTGAGTGTGGAAATGTTAAAACTTTCCTGCTCTGTCCCTGTGAGACATAAGGCTGGTGTGTTAGCTGTGGTGTGTTTGCCTTCTCCACATGAACCCGTAGTCTCTCTTGACTTTTCCCTGTGGATTTAATAACAAGTTCTCTCTGGTGGGTCTTTGTCTGCAGGCTTGTCCATGCTGGTCACAGCGTTCGGGATGTGTGCAATCCCTTTCTGTAAGCAGGCTCTGATCCTCACTGGCCTCATGTCCAGCATCGGGATGTCAATGGGTATTTTGGATACAGGTAATGTTTCAGAAAATGGAGTTATGAGTGAACAATACTGCAAGTAGTTCAGTTTCAGCTTTTAAAATAAAGATTCATACATGCAGCTATACAGGTATACAACTGCCTTAAAGAGATATTCCAGCGTAAAATTAATTTAGGGCCAAAAACACTGTAACACTGAGTTAGACACCCCCTCGAGAGATGAATGTTGCTGACTGCTTGCTTCTCTAGTTATATGAACTTTACTAATGATTGCAGGATAGCGATACACAGCGGTCTGAGGAGCCATAAACAAACCTCAACCAAAATGCTACTCTATAGGCACAAATAATGCTTAACTTCATCAACAGTACATACAGGGTCCTAGCCACAGCACTAGCCACCAAACATCATTTTAACTTTGCTTAATTTCTTGAGCAAAGAGACTAAACACAACTCACCTACTCTCTTCCAGCAGCTGCTTGTTTGTACGGAGACCTCAGAGTCCATCACCGACACACAGCTCAAGGAAGAACATTTATGATCAATACTTTATCATTTCCTTGAAGTAACAATCATCATATTTATCATTTTGCACTGCAGACACGGTAGTTCTTCTGCCTTTGTGTCTCGGTCTGATTGCATTTCCATGAAGAAATGATCATAAATGTTCTTCCTTGAGCTGCGTCACCCCGCAGCAGTCTGTAATGGACTGGCCTGAGGTCTCGCTACAAACAGGCGGCTGCTGGAAGAGAGTGGGTGAGTTGTGTTTAGTCTCTTTGCAAAAAAATTGGGCAAAGTTAAAAAGATGTTTGGTGGCTAGTGCTGTGGCTGGGACCCTATATGTACTGTTGATGAAGTTAGGAGCTGTTCTGCGCATTATTTGTGGCAATAGAATGGCTTTTTGGTTGTGCGCGTGGCTCTCTGTATTGCTATTGTGCGTTGGTTACTAAAGTTGGTAAAACTAGAGAAGCAAGCGATCAGCAACATTTATCTCTTGAGGGGGTGTCTAACCTGGTGTTACGGTGTGTTTGACCTTAACTTAATTTTACGCCAGAATATCCCTTTAAGTCCTAGGAACATGTCAGCCACCAGGTCTCTATATGTTTCGCCTCTGACTGTTGTCTTTGTTCTCCAGGAGGGAACGTCCTCATCCTGAACACCTGGGGCAAGCAGGCTGGCCCTCACATGCAGGCTCTACACTTCAGCTTTGCTGCTGGGGCCTTTGCATCACCGATCATTGCAAAGTTGGTGTTTGGGGCTGGAATCCCGTCCAACAGCTCCACAACCCCCATCGTTACAGAGCAAACCACCAAAGCCCCTGCCGCTCATACCATGATGCGCTACGTCCACAGCAGGACCAGCACCCTCAAGTCCATGTGGGCGTATATTGTGATCAGCGGCTTCATCTTACTCACCTCCTTACTCTTCTTCATCCTCTTCTCTCGTGGCAGCAAGTCACGGGAAAAAGCCCGCGTGGCGTCAGGGAAGCCCTTGGTGGCCAAACATCACACGGCTCTAGTCACTCTGCTTGTCTTCTTCTTCTTCGCCTACGTGGGTGCTGAAGTGGCATATGGCTCTTTCATCTTCACGTTTGCCAAGGACTACGCCCACATGCAGCTGGCCCAGGCAGCCGGGCTCAATTCGCTGTTCTGGGCCACGTTCGCCGCCTGCAGAGGTCTGGCCATCTTCTTCGCTGCCTGCATGTACCCAGCCACCATGATCCTGCTCAGCCTGGTGGGCACCACTTTGTCCTCACTGCTCCTCTGCCTCTTCAGCAAAGAGCATGCAGCACTCTGGGTCTGCACCGCTCTGTACGGGGCCTCCATGGCCACCATCTTTCCCAGCGGCATCTCCTGGTTGGAGCAGTACACCACGGTGACTGGCCACACGGCGTCTGCCTTTGTCGTGGGGGCGGCGCTGGGTGAGATGGTGCTGCCTGCTCTAGTGGGGTTCCTAATGGGAAGGTTTCCGGACCACCCCCTGCTCATGTACCTGTCCCTCATTGCCGCCACCTTTACCTCCATCCTCTTCCCTGTCATGTACAAGCTGGCTTCAACCCCCAGTGGCCAGAGCAGGAAACCCCACGCCAGGAGCCGGCCTGACACGGATGACAGCGAGTTCCGGCAGGCGCTGCTGGACTCAGAAGCCAATGAGGAAGAGGAGGAGGAAGAGGAGACGGAGCAGGACGAGGCCGATCAGTGGAACGATGCAGACTTTGAAGTTATCGAGATGGATGACGCATCCAGTCCCATCAGCTCTCCGAGCAAGGCGTCCTCTTCTCCAGACGTCACGGGTGTAACAGGAAGCTCTGCCGCCTCCAGCATGCCGCTGACGGATCTCGCGAGTGCAATCCCCGACACTGTGATCCTGGGCGGAGACTCGCCCAGGCGCAAACTGCTGCTGAGTCTGGATAGAGAGAAGAAGGACTGAAAGCTCCCCTTGCTGGTCGAGAGTCAAATCTGAAGGTTTACTGAGCAGTCAACGAGATGCTAGACACTGACGGACTGACACACCTGTGAGGGTGATCAACAGACTCACACCGACATATACAGGTGATCAATACAGACACCTGTTTGTGGTGAATGTCGAGCTCGTCCTCAGCCTCTCCTGCATCTGTGCTAACGGACACAAACACTTCCTCTTCAGGTTTTTGTGAATATTCGTTTGATTTGCTTTAAGGAGTCTGTGTTTGCCTGCCATTTTTCCTAGTGAGGTCAAAGGTCAGTGCCTTGCTTAAGGACACACAGACAGAGAGGACAAAGTAAAGCAGGGATAGTCATCTTCCTCCTCCTCCTCCTCAGCACCTCATCAGGCTGTCACAAAGATGATTGAACATGTGATTTCAGTTTGCACTATTGCAGTGATTTAAAGCTGGGAAGGAAACGTGTGAGATGATCGAATGATTTTATCTTCTTGAGGCACTTTTGTGAAGATTAGATTTTTAATTTTGTATGTTTGTCTGACGCTGTACTCTGAATTTTGCTGGTTGAATCAGCTTTTGTTTTTCCTGTCTCCAGCTGTCCGTCTCAGTCATAAACATCAGTAAACAGAGATGTCTTAAGTCAGCTCTGTGATCCTCATCTGACTTCTGAGTATCCACTTGTGTTCGCTGATACGAAGTTCTGATCCAGTACTTTGTATTTCCAGAGGTTAAAGAGTTGCACAATAAGTTTACTGCATTGATCACACGCACATGATAAGTGATATTGCACGCCATGAAGAAGCTTAGACATGTCAACTGAGGTATCAGAAAACAGAGAGCGAAGAGTGAAGAAGAGTTAAACAACAGTGATGTAAGTCTGCATGAGCTTGGCACATGTGACATCCTCAATAGAACCACATGTTTCTGAAAAGTAAAGAAAAAGTGTTAAAGCCATTAAAACCTGTCAGGAGCTTTTTACTTCAGTCATCCAACAAAGCTCAGAAATAAAGCAAAGACTGAATTTATGAGTGTTTAATAAAAAAATTATGATACATTTATGGTTTACAGCGGAATAAAGTGTTGCTTTGTGTCGGTTTATGAAACTGTGGAAGGAATATTAATTGTTTATGGTATCAGCCAAAGAGTTAATTTAAGATATCAGCAAAACCCCATAAACATGCATCCTTATTTTTAAAATATTTTGTATGTTTTTGTCTTCCCAGATATGCTATAAGCTAAAGAGAGGAAATGTTTTTAAGGTTTTAACACGTCAATTCTAGACCCATTTTACATCCATACTGGCAAAGAAGTTCAAAAGACATGAAGGGAATTCGGAACATTTTACACGACTTCAAATCAATCTTTATTCGTATGGCACTTCATTCATTTGTAAGTAAATGTAATACTTTTTTAAGACCTTTTAAAATCGTATTAAAGACATTTTATGAGATTTTAAGAGAATTATAGACAGTTTAAGACCTTAAATTTAAGTTATTGTATATTTGACGTTTTAAGACTTTTTAAGACCCCACAGATACCCTGAATAAAGAGTCGAATAGCAAAAGATGGTGGCCGGCAGTCAAACCAGAAACAACTGAAACCAGGACTAAATTTGGTGTGTTGATACGTACCGAGCAGAACCAGCGCCTCAAATTCTGCTTGAGAATCAGAAAAGTTGGTAGAAAATATGAGTTAGAAGAAATCTGTGCAGAAAATTCGTCTTTGAGAAAAGAGAAGTTTACGTCAGTGTCTCCTGCTGATACTCTTAATGCAAAATGATGCAGACATAGAAACAAATCTGCTAAAAAGACTTAACTGACAAGAACCGAATCAGCATCATTTCTGTGACTGATAAAGTACTTTTAGAGGGCAGCATTTCTGTGTTTCATGTTCTCGTGCATCCGGTGTTTTCTCTGTGATTTGTTTGATTTCTCAAGCTGAATGATGGAACAAAAGATGTTTTCATACATTGGCTTTTTATTATATCAATTTCAAACCTCCACCCACAGCAATGTCCATTAAAAACAGAGAAAAAACACCTCCCTCATCTGTAGATTTTTTACAATTGTACAAATACACAGGCCCTGTGTAAGTATGTCTTTGAGGAGACTGAAGCTCAGTCTGAACATGAGTGTTGGCTTTTTTTTCTTTTGCACAGAAAAATAAGAGAATGTACACAAAACCAGAAACGCACAAGGAAATAATAGACTCTGCATGACATAAATGATCAAAACACAGTATTGCAACAGTCCCATGAGATTTTGAGAACTGAAATCGTTTCCAGTTCAAACACTGAAGTGTCAAATCTGCTAAAGTGGACATCGATAGGACCATGGAGAAGTAGCATCCTTTTACAGAATGTATAGATTTGACTTCATTCATTGTCGGAGCTGCAGGTGCTTTTTTTAATGTTAATGTACTATGAGTTCATAGATGGAGCTGTACAGGGTTATTTACAAAAAGACTGCGTGGGGTATAAAAAGCTGTAGAGTCAGTTAGTGGTTTTAAGGTTGTCCATCTTCAGGAAGATCCTTAAAGAGAGTCTGAACTGTCAAACGAGAAACAACACATCAAGTGTGTGTCTGCACTCAGGTCAGGTGCAGACACAGGCGGTCTGTGATGTAACACTGCAACGCCACAAACCTCAGTTTCACTCAGCACACAGACCTCTCAGATCGAGAGGGCGGAGAACAAATATGAAGACGTACAGGAAGAGGAGGAAGAGAGACGACCTCCTCACAGGAGGCTCAAAAAGCAGACGAACACTAAACAACATTCAGAGACAGGATGAGGCTCCATCAAAGCACCATTTCAACATTTACAACTGAACAGTGGAAACACAGGTGAAGAAGAGGAGGAGGAGGGCTGACCGAGGGGCAGCCGTTAGCACCGAGGGTCCAGGAGCGCATCAGAACTGCTCCAGCAGCTGTCGGAGGTAGGGGGCCTTGGAGATCTGTCTGTTGATCCGGGACAGCTTGTAAAGGACAGGACAGTCCAGAGACACACAGGGGACCCGACGCTCAGCATGGCCGCTGCAGTTCCCGCAGATCTGAACACACACACACACACACACGTTAGAGATAGTCTTCAAGCTGAGCTACTTAGTTACATGGCAGAAAAGCTGAGCTGAGTCTGCAGAACAGTTAGTGTGCAGGTTAAAGTTGCTCTAAAACAGGGCTTGAAGACCTCTGGCTCGGAGCAAGAAAAAAAGCCCAAGTTAGTTAGATCTGGATATGACTAGTATCGGGCAGCATTAGGCTGGATAGCATACAGCCTGCCAGAGAAGAAGAAGAAGAAGAAGCACCAGCGAACGGCAAGTTTGAAACGATGGATTCCAGGTACATCAAACCAGGAGAAGAAACTGCGATATTGGAAGTAGGGCTGAAAAACAAGTTGTGCTGAGCCTAAGCAGAGGAGGCTGGAAAAGATGGAAAACCTCGCAGAAGCTGGTGGGGAAAACTGTAGAGTAAAGTGCCTGTTTTTGTGTGCAGTGCACCAGAGAGCTTATATATGGCAGCAGTGGGAAAAAGTTCAGTAAAGTTGGAGAGATTTTCACAGATTCGGACTTCTGGGATCAATAACTGAGACATTATCCAAACACAAATGATGCCTCTTACACGTCGTAATAGCACAGACTTCTAGCCACAAGAATAAAAAAATTTTTTTTGTTTTTTTAAAAACAAGCCGTTCTTAGAGCTGGATGAATAACATTGATCTTTATGCACAGCCAGTAGCTGGGCGAGTGTGCAGGGACCGTCTGCAAATTGCATGATGCTTTAGCAAACTAAAATCAATAGCTCCACTGTTATACATTACAGAGACTCCAAAATCACAACACACAACTAGGTCATGGTCAGACTAAAACAGCTGTTTTGGAGAAATGTGCCTTTTCATAAGTTTGGTGAATTTTTATCATTATGAATAATCAATATCTTGCAATATTAATCAATAGCTCAGTCAGCGCTCTATATGACTGATATAAACAGCTAATTTTACTGCAGAAATGAAAAATATTTCACACACAGTTTCGGTCCTTTTCTGTAAAAGCTCACCTTCAGCAGCTGGTCCTGCTGTCTCTCCCACTGCCTCATGTCCTGGTAGAGAGTGACGGCGACTTTCTGCGGCTCGGCGCGGCACCAAGAACACACGCCTAGCTGGGTCAGCTCGTCGCAAACAGGGCAGTGAAGAGTGGTGAAGTACTGAGAGATGGTTCCCTTCCTCCCTGCCTCCTCTCCACCCACCGCAGAGGAGCAGGACGCCTTCTGGACCTGAGGGGAGACACAATGAGCTACATCATCAGAATCACCTCTCAAAGGACGGACACAGAAACACATAATCTACGTCTAATCCACATCATTATTACACAAAACACTTCATCTGGTTTAAAATCCAGTATTTATATCGTATAGTATAGACAGATCCGCAAATTAAAGATACCTTCCTGTCAGTTTTCTTGATTTTGTGCAGATCTATCTCATTCATTTTTAGTCTGTTCTACCAGCAGGTGGCGTGTGTTCTCTGTTAGTAAACTGAAGCGTTAACACAGTGGCAGAGGCGGCAGCTGCTCTGAAGTTTGATGAGACTCAGTGGATCCTCAGCAGGTAGCGGGACAGAGATTTTCTCTGCCTCCTTTGTTCCTTTTCTCCTGAATTAAATTGTGCTTTTATTTTGGCGAATAAGGGAAACAACAAACTAATCAACCGCGTCTGTTTTTCAAACAATCAGAGAAATGAATCACACAAACTGATCCTCAATCATACTCTGCCCTCTTTCCTTTATTTATTTTATACTGAGGGTGTTCCAGAGTTGTTATTAGTGATGCCTCGATGGTTAAAGGTAATGTAAATACAGCTGATTAACAGGTGATGACAATACAGTGGATTTATATCTGATATATGCAAATCCAGCTGGTAATCTACATACAGGTCATGTGACAGCGACACTTTACTCACCCTGGGTAGCTCCCGGTACCAGCTGGGCACGTCAACGCCGATCAGTTGGAATATGCGAGCGAGCGGTGGCAGGATCTGTTTGGTGATGTAGTAGGTGGCGTTGAGACGGAGGCTCGGGTCCTGCAGCACCTCCATGGGCCGCCGCACCAGTTGGATGAGGGGCAGGCCAGGCATCCCGTACACTATCACGTAAGGCACCCGCTGACCAACACGGGGCTCCAGGCGACGGTCATATGCCATCATCTGCCTGTTAGGGGATGGGACATCAATTGATATGTTCTCACATGGAGATCTTCAATGGAAAACACTAATAAACATGTGGACAGTTTTTCTCTTACATCGTGATCATCACTCCTTTGTTTGAAAATGTAACAGCACTGTATAAAATCAGCTACATCAGGACTCAGCTGTCTGATAAAAACACACAAGATAAATCCCTCCTGCTGCTCATGAATGAGCTGGAATATTTCCCTCTGAAATAGCGGCTTTTTTCCTCGTCCATTAAGAGCTGGGTTGCCTAGTAACAGACTCAGCTACTGTACATGCAGGTGAGTGCAGCCAGACAATGAGCGCTGTGGGGAGGATGTAATTGGATTCACACCGACTACTGTAACTGTAGTCCACAGGAAGCTCTGCTCTCATTCTGCTGCTGCTGCACAAACACACACACACACATGAACAGTACAAAAGCAAATGTTCCTCCTCTTTGCTTCAGCGTGATGGCTGAGAGGAGAAAAACAGAGAAATAAACAGGACAAACATGAGTCTTCAATGGAAAGCTGAATTTTAAAATTAGTGTCGATGGGTTCTAATTTACACAAAACAGTAGATCTGAAGGGGAGGAGTCTGAGTTTTTATGTAAATTTTGACTTTAACTTTGAATTTTTCGACTTTTTTTCTACTCAGTTTTAGGAACATAATGACAGAAAATAAGAAAGTTTCCTTGAGATATGGCTGAGCTGTACAAACATAACTATGACCAGTTGGGGACAAGAATCAAACAAGACTTGAACAGGTGGAGCTTAGTATCATTATTCGAAAGAATCTATTCTATTAAAATGAAAATCCTCCCAATATATCTATTTCTATCAAAAACACTACCTTTATATGTTAGCTCCACAACCATAAAAAGCCAAGAGTCGAAATAAAGACATTAAAACTGGCCAAAAGATCTTGATCCTTGATCTGCTGAAGGTCCGTGTATTAACCGTACATTCAATTATTCCATTTAATCTAGTAAATGAAAAATGAAAAAACAAGTCAATATTTTTTTGATTTTTTTTCTGTGTAACCAAAAAAATCAAAAATAGTGTTTGTTTTTGTATTTTCAGCTCAAAACAGAATATATAATAGAGAAGGAAACGAAAACAAAATAATAAATCTTATGTACAAATATTGATTTTGAGTGCGCCTGTTTTGAGCATACGTGCATGGAGGTTACATTGGCCTTCCCATGATCCTCAGCGACAGTTACCGTGGCGAAAGATGCGACAGAGCGGTTCGAGCGCCAAAGTCTTACGTTGTAACAGAGCTCTGGTTGTAATTTTTTCTACAGTCATATCTTCCTCCTTCAGCTTGACCCTCCTGGCGGCTTTGAATAATACGTAGGATGCGTCCATCTCCATGACAGCAGGTTAGCCTTTCTCTACCGCTCTGGTCAGTTTTTGGTCCACGTTGTTGGCTACTCTGTTGTGCAATGTGCATGTGCGAATAGTAGAAAGGCAGCATGGAAAATGGGGTCATCAATAACCCGAAAACAAAAAGTAGATTTATTATTTTGTTTTCGTTTCCTTCTCTTTTATATATTCTGTTTTGAACTGAAAATACAAAAACAAAAACTAATCTTTTATTTTTTTGGTTATATAGAAAAACAAATAAACAAAATATTGACTTGTTTTTTCGTTTTTTGTTTACTAGATTGAATGGAATAATTGAATGGATGGATAATACACGGACTGCTTAACTACTATAATGCAGCCCAGATACAAACTTTACAATCATGGCTAAATAATGATACATGAAGAGAAATAAGGAATGACCCTGACTTTACCCCAAACAGAGGCTAAAGTTTGTTTAAGACATGGTACAATAAAGGGTTGATCATATATGGACAGTTCATCGATGACAAAGAGATTGTTAAGTTTGAATCCTTATAAAAATAATATGGCATCTTTTAGATTCTTACAAGTAATACGATGTGTTTAGGGCCAAGCTGGGTATTTGGGCCAAACAGCAAAAAAAAACGAGAGGCTGACGCACTTCTCCAACCCGAAGAAAATGTCACATACCACTTCAAACAAGGATGCATTTAATCCTGAGCAGAATTGTCCCTTACTTATCGTTTCGGGTAGTTAGACGTCATGGACATTGCTGATTTTCTCCCTTTTGATGCACAACAGTTAACAACCAGATTCCAGTTCTTGATTTTTTGATATTTGACCTGAGGCCGTCACTGAGAATCATCTTTGGTGAAGGGTAACCTTTCCCTCTAACAGTGTGCTGTTGTTCTTTCTCTATCTTTTTTTATCATATTCACACAGACCTGGTGAGCTCCAGGGCGGGTACACAGGCCCCGGGTCGGTACGAGCTGCTGCCTCGGTACTCCTTGGCGAAGGTCAGGTCCTGCATGCTGGCCTGGCCATCCAGGACCTTCATACACTGACGCTGCACGTACTGCTTCACCTGGCTGATGTCCCGAGTCTCAAAGAGCAGCTTGATGGAGCGCTCCAGGATCTGGGAGGAGATGGCCAAAGAGAGAGAGTGATACAGAAACTCTAATACATAAATCTGGCGACTTATTCTCACTTTCTGATTGGACCTTTTTTGTGTTGTTGTTTTTTGTGATCAGTGATTGTACAGTAACTTATTTTCTTTCATGTTATCTGTCAAAGTAGAATAAGGGGACTTTTAAAAACCCTCTAAGAGAAACCAGAACTGCTCTGATGGGAGAGGGAGGAGGGTCAGTTTGCCTGTTACCTTGGAAACAGCGGGGCAGCCGTCACGGCGCACTGTCTCGATCCCTTTGGCATCAAACACAGGCTCCTTCTGGTCCAGACTCTCGTACATGTAACCCACATACCGTTTCTTTGTCTGCAGCACACAGGGAAGGTACACCTGGAAAAGCACGCACATACACACAAACACATACAGACACACACATCCCTAATTAGCTCTGATTGACACCTGGAGATGAAGGTGTAACTCAGCACAGACTGACACTACGGAGCGGGATTTGTGCCAGTGTGATTATTTCACTACAGTGTATATGTTACACATGCAGCGACACTTCTGGATACATGCACATACCCCCCCCCCCCCCTCGATAATTAACCGAGGTGCATTTGTTGTTAATATGGTACACGTCTCCTCAGCTTCTGTAGAACTCATAGCCCTGCTCAGTAACTTTTGACTTTGAAGTAGAAAACAGGGTTTCAAATACCTGCTGCCTCTTCCTTCTCCTCTTTGTTGTGTTATTTTCTATCATGCATTTCAGAAGTATTTCATTATAACCCTTATATGGTTTTAAAAATATGATAATAATAATAATACAAAACTCAAAGAATTGCATATGATGTGTAAAAATAAACATTTGTTTCAGAGGCAAGGTATTGAACATGATGTAAAATAGATTAAAAAATACCAATAAATATACTCAAAAATACTACAAATTTACCTACAAATACCTACAAACGTACGTAAAAATGCAAATGAATATACCTAAAAGTAAATATCAATATCTAATGCCCAGCTAATAATAATTATCCAAGTGGCGGTAAGTATTTATTGAAAAATGAATCCACTTTAGGTGATCCTCATTTAGTGTTCTCTTGGCTTTATCATTCTGATCACCCTCCTTTGTCTGTCTCTGTTTGTATGTTTGGCAGTCAGATAATGTCAGTCCCTTGTTTTGTTTCTTGTCAATTATCAATCTGTTATTTTCTCCAGTGCTTCTGTAAAACTTCAATGGAGGACAAGCAGTGCTGATGGAGATCCTACCAAATAAAATCATATCAGGGCAAGTCGGGGACAGCAACATCACACACACACAGATAGGCTATTAAAGTATGGCTAAACTTTGGTAGAGCTTGTGAGGAAAAAAGTGCATTGTGTGTGTGTGTGTGTGTGTGTGTGTGTGTGTGTGTGTGTGTGTGTGTGTGTTACCTTCTCAAACTTAAGCTTGACAGGTTTTGGGTTGGTTGCAGTCACTGCCTCCGCAATATCATTACCAATCTTGAACGCCTGCTCTTTGGTGGCTCCTTTCAGTAATACAAACAGGCTGCAAACACATACAAAACAAACTCATTATTGTCAATTCGTGTTTTGCATCATCAGCTCTACAAATGCAACCTAGGATTTTAAGTGAGAGACGTGGATTTGTTTCTGATATATCCTGCTGAATCTCTCACAATAACATTTTTGAAAGCTGCACGGCTGAAACCCAGAGCAATGCAGAATAGTACAGTGGCTTTAAAAGTCAACTGTACAAACTGTTAGTTAGCAAAAGATTCAATAAAATGCATTAAATTCAACTGCACAAAAACAAGTAGAACCTCGCTCCCACCCTCCTTTTTCTTGAGAAAAGCAACCTAAAGGATTAAAATACCTTACCATCATCAACTTATCTTACTTTCAAATTTCGCTGCTGGGATATTTTTCCTTTAACAAATTGTAAAACAGATAAAAGTCCATTCCTGTGGTTTAAAAACTCACACCTTCTCTAACTGAAACACTACAGGAACAGAAAAGAAGAAGTGATGCCAGCACAGAGCAGCGTCACCTCCACAGATCAGCCTTCAAAACAAATGCAGGCTGAGATTTAGAAGCTGAAGCTGCTTCAGGCTGATATGGATCTGTATCAGTCATCAGAGAGAAAGAAGAAACAGCTCACCTGTCAGTGTCTCCGTACACGACTCTTGCTCCCCACTTTTTGGTGTCGTTGACCAGCTTGATGGCTCTCTCCAGGGTTTCTCTGGCTTTGTGAACGATGCTATCTCCAACCTGAGAACCACAGAGGCGAGATAAACAAACTACATTTGAAGCAAAATAAATCATGAAGGATTATTATACAAGTGTGACTGATGAGAAAGTAAAACATTTGGAAAAACTGATTTAATAGTATAGCCTGAAATGACAACCCTCTTATGAAATACTAGTTCAGCTGTTTGGTGAGCGCTAATTTTTCAAGAAATAGAAAAGAATCCATGGTCTGGGTCATTTGAGTTAAACGCAATGCAACCCAAAAATATTCATAAAGTCTATATTATGAGATTAATATTTTCTATCAAAGCACAGAACCAGCACTAAGCCGCAGTCCTAGTCTTTGAGGTCTGGTAGGACTCAGTAGACTGTAGACTGCCACCCTCTTTCTTCCTCACTGTGAGGAGCTCACCTCCACGCTCGGCATGCGTCCAGAGTAGTTGGCAGCGGTGTACCCAAAGGTGACGTTGGCGATGAGCTTGAGTCCGAGCTGCCGAGCGCCCAGCAGTTTCATTAAGGCTTTGTCTTCCTTATAGGCCTTCATGGACTGCTTCACCATGATCCTGGTGCTCAGGATTTCTTCCAGCATGCAGGGCAGGACTCCTTTCCGGACTGAGGACTAAAAATCAACATGCGGATCATGAGTCTGGATCTAAAATGGTTGATACAAAATAACATCAGCATGGTGCACATCTTCTAAAATCTGAAAATCATGATTTGGTCATTTTGAAATGAAGTCAGAATTTTGAAATGAGAATTCAAGCTTTAGATATGAGATTGATTTAATATTGTTAAAATGCTTAGTTTCCCAATTTAACTTTTGTTCTTTTCCCACATCTGTGCAGCTCTTGGAGTCCAAGAAAATTTCCCTAGTGGGACAATAAAGTGTATTGTATCGTATCGCATCACATTGTATTGTTATGTATCTTATTGTATTATATAGTATTGTATTGTATTGTATCGTATTGCATCGCATCATATAGTATCGTATAGTATTGTATTGTATCGTATTGCATTGCATCGTATTGTATCGTATCGTACAGAATTGTATTGTATCGTATAGTATTGTATTGTATTGTATCGTATCGTACAGTATTGTATCGTATTGTATCGTATTGTATCGTATCGCATCGTATCATATCATATTGTATCGCATCGTATTGTATCGTATCGTATTTTATTGTATTGTATTGCATCGTATTGCCCTATGTTATTGTATCGTCTGGTATCATATCGGATCACTACTAAAAGGTGGGTGAGGCCCCTTTTAAAACGTGACAAAAATGACATAATTTGAGATTATTATCAAATTTATCATAAATTCAAATCACTCTAACAGTCAGCTTTAAACATCAGCTGGTTTCCACCTCCGTTAAGACATAGACAGTCTGAATCTGAGGCTGAACAAACCTGACTACATCTTGTGTCTTTAAATAACCTCCCTACAAACCAGCATTCAGCACACTGCAGCCATTGACTGTGTGTGCGGCTGAGTGTGTGTGTTTAGTGTGTGTTTGTGCTCAGTGTTACATAACTGCAGGCCTGGGAAGAGAAGAGTGAGTGAATGAATAAAAAGGATGAATGAAGGAAGTGGAGCGTGGAGTATGGGGAGGGTTTTCTGCAGAGGAGCTGATTGTGGCTGATGAAGCAGCTGAAGGACTTTGAGAGGGAAGAGCAAGCTCAGGAGAAGGGGTCTTAAGGGAGAGGAGAAGTGTGAGGTGAGGTCAGAGGGTGCCTTACCTTCACAAAGGCTACGCCATTTGGCGACACTGTGATGTCATTGCGAAGCTGGTAGAGGAGCTCAGGAGGAACCCTCAGGGAGGTGCAGCCGAACTTAAACTCATCAGGCCTGAAACAAAGACAGGAGGGTTACAGTGTTTCCACCATAAAGGGGACATAATTATTCTTCTTCTGTATATTTTAATTCCCTTAAAGGGCTTCTAAAAAAACAGATGTCTGATTTGAACAGAGATGCTGCAAAGGAAGAGAGAGAGAGGGATCACAGAGGGAGAAGAAGGAGTATTTTCTGTACCTGATTCTTTTGGAATTATAACAACTTTTTTTTAACAATCACTGCAAGCTCAGATAAGAGAACTGTGCAAATGACTTCAGTCACTAAATGACCGTCATGGGCACACCTCCAGAAATTAAAGCTTTGTAGGAAAACAAGGGGGGGTCTTTCACTTTAAATTATGATGTGCGTGTAAACAGATTGGTCCATTCAGACCTTTGGTGTGTGCCGTTTGGATCTCAGCCTATTATACTCCAAAAAATAATTAACTGAGGGCAGCATTTGCCCTGCATCAGCTGTGTGTTTGTGTGTTTCATTACTGGATGCTTTTCAAATTGTTTCAAGCCCATCATGCCAGTGCCAGGGTAGAGCACAGTCGCACAAAGACTAGGGTTTACTGAACCAAACTGGACTAAACTGGAGTGAACCAAATTGGACTGCTTGGTGCAAACACACCATTGATGTCTCCCTCCCACTCTCCTGCTCTCCCTCACCCTCTCTAAAGGGAAGTTTGCCCCTGTCACCATAACTTGCTAAACACTCCAAAGTGCTTAACTCACATTGGTTCAAGACGGGTTAAGAATGGATCTTATTTCTAGATGGAAATCAATCTTTTCCCATCTTGAGGTTCGGTCTTTGTAATATATCAAACAAAGAGTTTGGTCTAGACCTGCTCTATTGGAATGATTCTTGAGACAAAGATTGTTGTGATTTGGTGCTACATATATAAAAATCAAATGACTCGGACATACTTTTGCATGTTACAGGGTCTAAATGACTTCAGGGACATAATTTTTTAACAATCAGGGAATCAAGAGGGACTATTTTTTATGCAGAGATAATTATGTCGATCATGATCCCTACACTGTTTAACCGAACCCCTCCACTTTGTGTTGTGGTCCTGGTCCTGTTCGTGTAATTTGCTTTGATCACCAAAAATTGAATGGCTAACAGCTTTGTTTGAAACAGCCCTGAATAAATAAACCAATCACAGCTGCTGGAGATGTTTTTTTGTTAAACTCCTTAAATTTCCACCCTGCTAACTTTCAGAGAGAGCATGAAGCTGTCTATTTGTATTTCTCTAACCGTGGAATATTTGACTTATACTGTTCGAGGAATGTGCTCAGGCTTGCTGCTGTTGCTATGCAACTACAGAAACCCTTTAAAAAAAACACACATTAAAATCCATCCTGAAATGAGCGCTGGCTGCTTGGGCTGTGAGCAGCATGCAGAGCTCTTAGTGAATCTGCTCTGCGCTGTCTTTCCTGCCTGGTGAACGTGCTGTGGTTGTGGGTCTGTTATGTCCTTACGTTCCCTGGCTGTCCACGTGGCCCAGGCAGGTGGAGTAGCAGTAGTTGTAGGCGATGACGATGGAGGGATAAAGCGACTGGAAGTCCAGCACGATAACTGAGTTACTGTAGAACCGAGACTCTGGCTCCATCACTAGAGGGATGCACTGCGGCGCCCTGGCCTGAGCTCGCTGCTGGATGCTGGGCGTCACTGGAATGTAGTTCAGTGGCTTGGCTGTACGCAGCATCATGGACTCAACGCGGTACTGAGGAGACACAAAGCAGAGACAGGACAAATTTTAGCGAAGTAAACCTAACGTTAAATTACTGGCTTGTTATATTTGATCTCCCAAGTGTCAGTGACGCCTAAAAAGTTGTTAAGTCATAATGCTGTAATTTAAAATTCTTATTCTTTAGATGCTCATCTTGTTATTTCTAATCCAGCCCTGTTATAAACCATCTGTTTAGCATAACATCAGGTTAGAGTTATATTTCAGTCCAATCTGAATCATAGACTGATCTGATCTGCAGCCTTTAAACATCACTGTTACTGTCTTCAACATATACTGTATATCTATAGGATGTCATCGAGAACGGCACCCCCTGGTGACTGGTTGCAGTATAGGTCATAACCCCGCCTCCTCCAGTAAAAAAATTGAGTTGTGTAGGGACTTTATAAACTGAATAAATCATAAACATATTTTTGTATTTTAAAAAGTTAATAGGAGTTATAAAAACAGGATATGATGTCATATTTTCTATGATTGACCCTTGCCGTTCTTACAAAGTTCTTTTGAGAATATCAGGACTGCGTGGGGATTATGTGTCTTTTACTAAAGATGGATGAGAATTCGATCTTTGCATGTGTGTTGGTACCTGTGAGCCTCGGGTCAGGACGTGAAAGAACTGAATCCCAAACACTCGAGCAAGCTCGCTGGTTTTGCCCACGACGTCGAGTTGTTGGAGGAGCTGCATGCTGCCCCGCACACGGCTCACGTAGTGGTCCACCATCTTCCACCTGACATACACACACACGTACAAACACACACATTTGAAAAATTCAGGGTCAAGGTCTGCAGATAAAGATTGAGAGAGTGTGGTGTGAGGTTTAAAAAGATATCACACCATCCAAAAGAAAAATAAACAAGGTTTCAAGTCAGCCTTGTTTATCTCCCTGTTGGATTGCATCTGAGTGTTATATGACCTGTAGAGGTCGGTATTGTGGTCGAACCAGTCGGACAGCATTCGAGGACTGTACGTGGGAAAACGCTGATGGAGGACGTGGAAAGCGACGTTCTCAAAGGTGTAGCTGGTCAACGTCACCTAGAGGAAAAAATTAACACACAGTTTAAAAGATTTACTATTGTATCTCTGATGCTTAGAGTTTGACCTCACATGTTCATTTGGAGAACATTATTAGAAACTACAAAGATGTAAAAGTACACACAAAAAACAAAACATGGATTTAAGTTAACAAGTCATTTTTTAAAATTATTTTATGACCTTTGTGGGTTCCTCACACCTCCAGGTCAGGTCTGTTGAATTAATTGTTTAACATGTTCTCAAAGAACTAAAATGTCGTCTATAAATGATCGAAATGTTGTTAATATGATTTATCCAAACTGTAGAAAAAGACATGTGAGAGAAGACGTCTCAGTGTGGCATGGTTTGTCAGTATTTTTAACTCGAACAAGTTATCTGTGGGCTGTGTCTGCTTAAAAAGGTTAAACTGGTACAGTTTAATCTTTTCTTTTCCCCCATAATGTTTATTGATGTTTCCTAATTAATACAGTAAATAAATAATATCACAAATATTTGCAATAACATATAAAATCAACAAGTACAAATACAAACCAACAAATCAAAACAAAACCAAACAGACAGCTGAATTAAACACAGAGATCCAGGCAATTATCAATTGTGTGGTTACAACAGGTCACAATCCAGGCTCAAGAAATTTCCTTTATATAATTAATCTTTGATTAACACTTCTGAAGTCTAATTAATGTTAATTAACATCCTATTGGTATTTATGACAGCTATATTAATTGCTGACACGTCTCTAATTGAAGCCTGTAAGTCTGTTTTAAGCTGTAAAAAATGCTTTTATTAACACAATAACATTTGTTAATGTTTTTAAGTGCCTTATATCATCTTGTAACTGACTTATTAACTGTAAATAATGCTTATTACAAGGACTGTTTTATTTTCCTCAATGTAATGTGGTAATTATACAATATAGTCCACTAAAAAACAGGTTTCAATCAGGTGGAAAAGAGGAAGGGGGAACTTGGAGGAGCATCTTGTCTTGTGAAAGGACCAAAGGAGCGAGAAAGTGGGCCACAAACTTTAACATCCAGTGCTGATGGTTATTGTGTGTGTGCATGTGTGTGTGTGTGTGTGTGTGTGTGTGTGTGTGTGAGGGTTACAGCTCATGTGGGAAAACCTGCCTCAGTTTTCATCACCCTCCACAGGTTGAGGGTGATGCGTCCAATGATGCTGATCTCGGTCATGGTGTCGGCTCCGTACTCGTCCCTCTCTGCAGCGAAGTGGTTCTCCTTGGAGTCAACTGAGGACAGGAAGAGAGCCAGACAGGCAGCCAATTACAAAGGAGAACCAGGAACCACTGGAGGCTCTCCATTCAGCTGATTCGCATACAAAAACACACAAAGTACTAAAAGGGGAAAACAGAAGAGAGACCAGGTAAGAGTCCTCAAACAAGGTCTGCAAATCAACCACTGCAAGGTGGCCTTGTCCATGTACCAGCTACAATCAATTTTAGGCAATTATACGCACCAGAAAGAAACACAGCAGGTTATTCAAATGGAAAAACAACAAATACACACAGAAAACAGTCAGAGGGAAGCTCTCTGTAACAAAAGAGCTTTCCTCTGATTAACCGCTAACACCTTTGATCAGAGGAGATGACAGAATTATGACATTCAGCTTCCTGGACATCAACTGGGTGTTTGAAGTTATCCTCCTCTGAGTGAGGACTTGGATTTTTCCATACTTTCCAAAGGCATTTTCACAGCCTTGTATTTGGCTTTGGATTTATTCTTAAAATTGTATACGTTGTGTGGTTTGTCTATTTTCTGAGCATATTTGTTGTTTTTCCATTTGAATAACCTGCTGTGGTTTTTATGTGTTTGGGGCCTTTTAGTACATTTTTCTCCTGATTCCAAGAGCAGCTAAAACATAAAAGGGCCACATGTTTGTATTTGCAGGAACTCACAGCATTCACACAAACATACAAACACATACTTTTTACTTTAAACTGGGTGTTAGGATTTTCTTCAACAAGAAAGACAAGGCAAGCTGCTCAGGAACAAACTTTAGCTTTAAGGGGAAAAAAAGCTGCACACACACACCGTTGGTGTCAGACAGACTTTTTCCTCAAACTGTCACAACCAATCAATGGTTGATAATACCCAGAATAGATTCCTGCACATGTTCAATATGCAACTCAAAACTAAACAACGAAAAATATGGATGAATGGATTTTTCCTTTATGTGGCACAGAAAGCTGAGCTGCAGCTGTGGTCATATCAAAGATCATGAATCAGAGTGCAGAGAGCTTTCAAAGTGAACTCAACAAAGCAGACGTATTCAGAGTGTGATAACATATAAGTAGGTGATACAAACAAACAAACACCTCTTGGGTCACGGCCCACCTGAGCATCTCCATCAGATTTATTTGACCTCCATCACAAACCTGTGTGTCACTGCTGCCTTACACTCAACCCTGTTGAAAGAGCTGACCTGTTTAAACTGGTCTCAAGTTAAATCTGTGAAAGCTCGAGTCTCCAGTCTGTCCTTAATAATGTTATATAGACTGTGAGATTAGTCAAAACCCCTTGGTAGTTGACATTTCTGTGGGTAAAGGGCTTTGCTAAAGCTGTGTTTTTTGGACGCATTTTCAGATCTGGTCTCTGATAATTAAATGTCACACACACCCTTTTTCTGAAAAATTAACTTTGCAAAAATTAAAGTCATCAAGCTGTGAAGGGGATTTTGTGGGAAAAGAAAAACAAAAACACCAGCTTCACCTGCTCCTGAATACAAGATGAGAGTGAGGAGAGTTTCACCAGCTGAGAAAGCAGCTGCAGTTTGATCACATGCAGGTTTATTCCAGGATGTCAGCAGTTCAGATTGATATTATTCCAGCCAAACTGAGACCATACATTAAGAACCACTGCCAGTGTGTTTGATGGAGGGACACAAGCAAATAAACCAAAATGTGTGATTGGAAGAGTGTGCTTGGACAGCTGGATCTGTGGATATCCAGATAGGATCACGGTTGTCCATATTTTTTCACAGCACAGTGTGGAGCTCATCAGTCAGACATAGAATACACAGAAAACCAAAGACGACAGGAAAAGTTTCAGATGCAGCATGAAAACGTGACTTTCTCTTTTAAACATGGAGCAATTTTGGACGACTATAAACCATCTCAGTGTGGGAATACAAACCCCTATTCAAATAGGGGTGGGATGTTGTGTAATACATGAATAAAAACAGAAACAGCTGTATGGTCTTAATTGTACCTGGAACTCGAGACAGCTGCTGACACAAGTTGACCCCGAGCGCTGAGGCTCTCTGCAGGAGGTAACCCCAGGACTGCATCTGGACCTCATAGCCTACCAGGATGTCTGGGTCGTACCTGCCAGGACAGACACACACACACAATAGAGCCAGAGATGGACAGTTAGGAGCAATACCATGGAGTTGTAATCACAGACATGCAAAACGTTATGGAAATATACTGTCTGCTTTTGTGAAACACACATATGGGTCTTAAGAGCTGAAGAAACACCCTGAACACACACCTCCTAATGATGGTGACCAGCTCCTGGAACAGCTCCTTCTCATCAGCGGCATACGTCACCTGCAGCCCTGAGATGCCCGACCTGACCAGCAGGGGCGCTGTTCTTGTCTGACCTGCTGGAGGCATAAAAACACGCTCATCATGGCAGGACTGACTGATTTTTATATTTAATTCCAGATGCTTTAGAGATCGGCAAAACAAGTAAATAAGAAAACTCAAGCAATTTTTTCTGATTTCAAAGAAAAAGAATAGTGCACATAACAGTGGGTCTATGATTATATTGTCATTAATCGTCTATTTCAACAGGTAAACAACAGGGAATGTAGAAATTTACAGAAACATAACATTGAGGTTTTCCATCAGTCCCCCTCAGATATTGTTGGTTTCTACCTTGCTCACAGCTCTGATGGTCTTTGTCCACCACGATGGCGCCCGTCAGCTGGCTGCCGTCCTCGTCTGGCAGCGGAGCATCTGAGCTCAGGCAGAAAAATAAGGCACATATAGGGTCAAACTCAGGGTCGGGCTCGAGGTCGTGGCGAGATCTCGCATGGAGCTCCATGCCCATCAGGGTGAGGTACTGGACCTGAGGGGTGAGGACAGAAACATGAGCCATGAACTGAAATGATCGCTTCAAGTCATAAATCATTTCTAATCAATATTGATTATTTGATAGTGTAGAAAAAAAGACCAGGACTTTAATCTATCTTACATTATCCCTGGTTTATAACTTCAAACTGAATACTGAACATCTCTAGCCTAGCATGTTGAATTAGTCCGAAGAGAGGCTGGGATGGTGTCATTCAGCTCACCTCATGTAGAGCTTTGGCCTCCTGCAAGTTCTGCATGCTGACTCTGAAGCCGTAGGAGTTCGCTATACTGGGCCCTTCAATCTGAGACGTCTCTTTCTTTGGCATCTTCAAAGCAGCAAACTGGTTCTATGAATGAAAAACAGACAAGAAGACTGTGATCGTTTTTTTTTAAAGGGAAACAGGAAAAGTCAGAGAAGGTATCTGTATGATAAATGTATTTTTCTGATCAGGGTAGATGAACGGTAGGTCTGAAGTCAGCAGAGATGATCTGACCTTCATCTGTGTGTTCAGTAAGACTCTCCTCAGAGGGTCGGCTTGACTCCTCCTCCTCTGCTGGAGTCGCTGGGAAACAGGCTCTGCTGAAAACAGAGAGGAGGTGACTGCACAGGTAACAGACTTTCAAAATGTTATATTTCATATGTTATATTTCTCACTATAAACAGTGGTGTATGTTAAACGTTAGTGGTGCAGACACAGTCAAACCCCACCTTTCTTACCTCCAGATATGGGAGTGCTGCACACTGGCTCCAGGTCTTCTTTGCTCCTCCGCCGCCTCCTTAGAAAGGGTGTGCTGGAAAGGGGGAACGGACTGGTCCTACCCTCCTCCTTTGTAGGAACATGGATGATTGAGGAGCTGAGACTCCCCCCTGCTCTCTGTGGTGAGGTGGAGAGCTGGGGGGACTGTGGTTCTGGAGAGTTCTGTCTGTTGCTGAGCCATTCTGGTCCTGAGGGGCTGGACTGAGCGGACTGTTGCCAGCTTGGCAGCTCCGGAGAATCTAGATCATTATTTTCATTCTTTTCTCTTCCTTCGATATCAGTTCCTCTGTCCTCTGACTCTGGGCTGACTTCTGTAGATTGGCTGTGGAGGTCTGTACTCCTCACAGGAGTCAGGGTTAAGGACAGGTGATGTTTCCTTCTCCTCTGGCTCTTGATGCTAGAGGCTTGCTCACACAGCTCCACCTTCACCGCTGGAGGCTCAGGCTTCTCCTGCTGTCCCTCCACAACCACACCTTTCCTCTGCAGCCCTCTCTGTAAACTCTCATACTGCCTACGAGCCTCTAGCCACAGCTGCACCCGTTCCCTGCTGGGTGGGCTTCTGCAGGGCAACAGGATGACCATTTTGTCGCCATCTGAGAAAGGGTTCAGCTTGGTATGATCTTTCCCCTCCTCTGAGGACTTGGCCCCTCTTTTTTGTGGGGATGAGGTGACGGTGGTAGCAGGATGTGCCATGGCTGAGAACGCTGTTTGCCAGAAATGGAGACCCTCCTGAGCCAAGTCTCCACCGAACTCTGGCAGCTCCTTTGCCAGTCTGGTACCCACCGTGAGCTTACGGGTGCCCACCTCCCTGAGGAAAACACAGGATGTAATTCCTTTAATTATATGGATCAAAGTTTCAGAAATTCATCACAGCTTCAAAATGCAACAACAAGTTTCATGCATAAATCAGATGGTATTTTTATGAAGTGTTTGAAAATAGTGGTATGGTTTAGCAGCATTATGATTTCATGTTTATGTTGACATGCCACTTACAAATAACACAGATAATTTTTAAATATTTGTTTGAACATTTGAAGCAAACTCCTTGTTGTACAAATGATGGTGTATTGCTTTCAACCAACCAGTAACAAGTAATAAGATTAAGTGCGTTCGATCTGGCTAAATTATGACACAAAACACTGAAGTGGAAAAAAGGCATAAAATAATATTTTCAACTAGGGCTGGGCGGTATGGGAAAAATTTATCACGATCTATTTTTTTTCATATCAGTCGATATCGATATATACCATGATATAAAAAATGAAATTTAACAGTGCTTATTGGTAGCATGTCTTTTGCAATACAATAAGTTACTGCATCTGTGAGGTCTTTGTGTCTCTTGGACGTTTTGTCGTAAGGCGTTGCGCTACAGAAAGCAAACTGAATGGTCGGCTGTTTCGGCTGCACAGGCGCCATGGGCTCCTTGCTCCGTTCGGGGTTTGAAACATTTTGCGTTGCGCATGCTCTGCCGCGTGGCACTGCTTAAGGTGGTGAAAAAAGATTTGAGGTATTCCCCGACTTTGCGAGAGCATGTACTTGACATAAATTGCAGTGCACATTACTCTGCTCCATGTCCGACCTCAAAAAACCAAAATACCAAAATTTGCATTTCTGTCAGGGGTAGCACTCATTTTCTTTATTTCTCACTGACAGTGCTGTCGGCCTCACCTTTTAAAGTGCTATGGTTGCGTGTAGCTGCAGCCTGCTACTACGCAGTTGTTTGCTACTTGGTTCTAAGTCAGCACGATTGGTTCAGTGCGAAGCGGACATGGAGCAACTCCCCTATAGTCTACCAAAACATGGCAGAATGCCGGCTATTGAAAAGGATACTGACCATGTTTCATATTGATATTGACGGAAATTAAGTTTTGATATATATCGTTATCGTTTTATCGCCCAGCCCTATTTCCAACACATTTCCAATTCTTAGATTCATGATTTCAGATGCATGTTAATCTATGTGCATGAACCTGTTTGCATGCTATCACATGACATGATTAATACATTGGATGAATTAGTAATAAGCTTGGGCAGCTAAGGCTGTCACTCCTACATTGGCTTCCCTGGTGCATCAGAGGGGTTGCTGAAGAAGGGCTCCTGGAAGGTGGCCTCTGACATCTCCAGGTCCAGCAAGGTGCTGAGGATCTCCTCCCGACTTGGGGGGGACATTAGGGGCTTGAGGATGTGGGCTCCGCCTCCTGTCCCCCGCAGCAGCTGGCTGGCCCTCACCTGGGACAGAGAGCTGATGGAGCGTGGAGAGCTGCTGGGCGTTGTGGAGGTTAGCCCATCGATGCCCTCCAGAGGCTCTCCTGTCGATGAGCCGTCATGGTTGACCAGCGAGGCAGAGCTTAGAGGCAAAGGCAGGACGGGGTCGAAGACGGAGAAGAGCAGCTCTTTCCGCTCACAGTGAAAATCCTGAAAGGGGCTGAGAGTATGAGCTTTACCCAGAGAGAAGTCCCAGTCTCTGCTCTTCACCTTCTCTGAGTCCAGGAGAGCGCGATGGTTCGGTAAACACTCCCCATTATCCGTTCTGTCAAAAAGATCAGGGCTAGCAGGTTTCGGTTTGTCTGAGTCCTCTCCAGATCCTGAGTGCCAGTCCAGCTTCTTCTCCACGCCTGGCGCCTGAGCTGAGACCGCCTCCTGGCTGACGTCACTCAGAAACTTGACAGGAAGGATCTTATCGGTCAGGACGAACTGGTTGCCGCTGTAGGGGCTGGAGAACTCGGTCTGATCGATAGCGTTAATGTCGAAGCTGTAGTTATGGGGCAGCTCAGGAGACAGGCTGTCCTCGATGAAGTTGCAGCTGTCCATGCCGGGGTCTGACAGGAAGACGGGGAAGTCATCTGACAGGCTGCCTTCCGGCTTCACCGACACAGGCTGGGTGCTGCTTGCCTTGCCTTTCAAGACCCTTGGCTTCTTCTCTTTTGAGGCGGTGGGTTTTGGGGCCCTGGGTTTCCGAGGAGTGGTAGCGACGGGAGCTCTTTTTGCTTTGGTTGCTTTGTTTGCTGGATCCAGCGGAGCCATGGTCTTATCAAAGGTGGCAGTGTGGCTGTCTGTACCGACTGCCTGCAGAGGAAGAGCCTGTCCCTGCTGCCGTCTCTGGAGGAGCTGTTTTAGGACGGCTAAACCAGACGGGGTCTCTGAGAGGGCAGGGGTCTCTCCGTTTTTAGGGCCTGAGTTTGGAGGAGCTAAGGATACTTTGTCTTTCAGAGATGGAGGAGTCCGAGGAGTCTGATGAGCTGAATCCTCCTGTGAAGGCTCCATCTTCACCACGTGGGTCTGACAGCCCTGCTGCCTGAGCTGAACCTGCACTGACAGACTTTGATTGACCTCCATGATGGATGTCTCACAGTCCTCCATCTTTAGCTCCACGGGCTGGGCGGCTGGGTTACAGTTTGACACAGATGCATTTTGGGAACTGCTCTGGCTCTTTCTATCTGAGCTCCTGGGCTGCTGGGATAGAGGGAGCTCCTGAGTAGAACCTTTAGATGGAGACACCTTATCCTCTTGGAACAGGAGCTGGGACTCATCCTGGCTCTTTGGTTCCTCGCTCTTCTTCCTGCTGCGGGGCTTCCTTGTCCTTGTGGGAGTCGTGGAGCTGCTTTCAGATCCTTCAGCTCCCTCTTTAGCTCTCTTCCTCTGCCTGGCAGCAGCACCACAGCCTCCTTGTTGTCTTTCCTTCCTGGGTTTCTCTTCCTCTGGCGTCTTACTCGCTCTCCTCTTAGTGTCAGAGTTTTTCTTGGGTTTGGCAGTTTGGCGCCTCCTTTGTGCTGCTTTGGTTGAAGGCGCGGAGTCTTCTTTAAGAAAGGCGGAGCTGAGACAGGGGTCGCTAAGTGGGTTTATCAGCTGATCTAAGCTGGGGTCCATGACGGGGTCGCTCGGGGACCAACATCGAGGCGGTGTCGAGTCCACAGAGCTGGGGTATCTATCAGAGAGGTATCCTAACTCGACCATGACGTCACTGTACTCTGCTCTGTGATCATCAGCCAGCTCGCAGTAACAAGGCCGAGGGGGGGGCAGGGAGGGGAGGTTGAGGCCTCTCTGACAGCCTTTGACCTTTCGGGCTCTCTTGCCCTGTCTGACCTGAACTGCGGATGGTTTGCTGACTATTTTCTTGTTCGTGAAGTTGACCTTTACTTTTTTCTTGGGGTGCTTCTTGACCTTTGGCCCAGTGACAGGAAACTTGACGGCGGTGGACTCTGGTACTTTTGGCCAGAAGTCCTTCAGGGGGGCTAGTCTCTGGTACTGCGCCAGCTTGTCAGGTGTTAATAAGACCACCTGCTCGTCTGAGCTCACCTTGGACATCTTTACCAGCATGTTCTTCTCTCCTTTGAACCTATTGATAATGATGTACTTGATGATGATTGGCGGCTCTTTCTTGCGCCGTTTCTGGTATTTGACATCCAGACTGGCAGACAAGTTTGAGTCCTTCAGCTGGTCCTTGGTGGAGGTGTGGTTTTTCGAACGAGTGGCCCCTGAGAATTCTCCGTCCTCGCCATCGTAATACATCTTCCGTTTGGTCCTCAGGGTGTATTTACTCCCAGGCAGGGAGGAGGGATTGGTGCAGGTGAGTTTGGCGGACAGATCCTGCAGAGGGCTTAACCTGTCCTCTGCTGACTCGGCGGCATCTTCGGAGATAGAGGTAACCACGGTGATCGGCTCGGATGGTGACTCTTCGTTCCCAGACCCTGCCTCACTTTCCGCCTCCTGCTTTCTGATTGGCTCTGCCGTAGTGGTCTGCTCATCTTTGACGGGCTCTGCCTCTATTGCTTGTGTGTCCCCTGAATCAGACACCTCCGAGTCCGCGCTCACCTGACTGGCCGGTGTTCCTGAGGTGAGGCCTGAGTTCACCTGGCTGTTGGAGGGGGAGCTTACACCTGTGTTGACTGCAGCCCTGGCTCCCACCATGCCCAACCTCTTTTTGTTCATTTTCACCCTGGACCTGCGCGGCAGCGTCTGCGTCTGCTCCAGCTCGCTGCAGGTGTCGGTCAGCTTCTTGCCCCCCACCTTCTTCCTGCTGAGGCAGTTGGAGAGGATGACACTGGGGAAGAACTTGTAGTGAGCTTCCTGCTGGGCCACTATTGTTCTCTCAGTCTTATTTTCCTGATAGTCCTCATACCTGATTTTAAGCTCACCAACATCCCCCTCCTTGCTGTCCCTGCCCATCTCCTCTTCCTGAGGGTCCAGGAACTCGTCTTTATTGTCCATGGGGGAGGAGGCTGAGGAGATGTTCATCAAGAGCGGGCTCTTCCTGTCCCTCTGACTCAGCTCCAGTTCTGTTTTGGCCGAGCAGTTCCTCAACTCGGAGTAGCAGAGGGAGAAGGTCCTGTGGTTCTGCAGGATGGACAGACAGTTTGTCTCGACATTCTTCATGCTGCTATACTTCTTCCTGCTCTTACTGACCTTCCTGTTACCAAAGGTGAAACTATCCAGCTCTGTTTTATCTAGAGCTATGGAGGACTTCTTCTCATATGAGTAGAGGGGTGGTATGTCCTCTTTGTTCACACAGATGGGAGGCGCCTCAGGGTGGTCTGCTATCTTACAGGGGATAGGGTGTTTGACAGGGGGGATGTAGGGGATCTCTTTATTGACCTTGAACCCTGTCGAACATTCACTGCTGCTGTCCTGGCTGCTTTTTGATTGAAAGTGCTTGCTTTGTGGTTCCTCTGTGTCTAATACATGTCCTGGCCTGTGGTCCAAGTGTTTGAACTCTAAGAGGGTCTTAGCTGAGGAGAGCGGCTCTGGATGAATCGTCTCCTGGGGGAAGGGGTTTCTTTTCACCAGCATCTTCTCTGTGGCTACGAGAGAGGACTGGGTCCTGGAGCCGCTGTCTGTTAGGGATGAATCTACAGACACAATAGAAGAGAAAAACCATGAGATAATGTAGAAAAGAGACATTAGTTTGACGCTTTTAATTGTTTTTTAAATTACTTGTGACGTTTTCTTAACTGGGGAAAAAACTGGAGGTAATTTCAAAGCCCTTATTAACAAACAATTCAGGATAATTTAAGGAACAATTTATCCTAAACAATGAATTATTGATTGTAAAAAGTACTTTATTATGTTCTGTGTATTCTTTTATTTTTAGAGAGATTCATGTTTGTTTGTTTTTTTTGTTTTTTGTTTTTTTTTTTGGGGGGGGGGGGGGGTCTGTTGGAAACGAATTGGAAAAAAAATGACTTTTGTAATACACAATGACATTAAAAGCTGTCTGTAAAATGTGAAAATAAAGTCAATCAAGCTATCATTATCTTACCTATTTTACTCTATCTTACCTGTCATATGTTGAAATTGAAAAAAGGTTTATATTTGATGAAAGATTTGTGCTCATTTTAAATTTGACTTGATAACAAAATAAATAAAAAAAATGTAAAAAGTTAAGTTAGGCTTAAAAAGAGAACAGGACTCTGTAGTGAAAGTCACTGCATTGGCTCAAATCAACACAAAACACCACTGAATGTGAGCACAGTTCATCACTGCATCCACAAATTCTACACCCACAGACTTCTCTGGACCGGAGGCTGCAGCCTGTGTTTTTTTAGTTTCATCATTTGGTATGTTGTCATTGCTCTACTTTTCAATTAAAGAGAGGCTTGAAATGCTTTGGAAACCATCAAAATCTGTTTTTATCAATATCTTACGAAGCTCATTTACATCTTGTCTTGACTACAAACCCTGTGGCTGTGAAACTGCAAACACTGCAGTGATAACTTGGGAACGCCACAGGCAGTCTTGTGCCTACGACTGAACTCCAGCAGTGCTTACCTCCTACATCACTCCCATTCATGTGATATGACTTAAAATCTACATAATATGTCCACAAGTTACCTTTTTTTGGGCATATTCCCAAATAAATGCTTCTGATGAACTGAAACTGAAGTAACACTTGCAGAGATTAATACAACACTGACCTTTAAAGGAACAAAATGTAAAACAACAGTTATATAATATTGCAGGAAAGGGACACAAAGGCCGTTCACCATCTCTCCACAACAACCTCTGCTTTCGGAGTGATGTTGATTATTACAGATAACTGATACTAAAGCTGGGAAATCTATTACAGTCCCATCTTCTTCTCTATGATTGAATCACATCCCCCTCATAATCAAATAGGATCATACAAACAGCTTCAACCGCAACAGTCAGTGAGCAGCTGCTGTCAGATCCCTGTGCTGATATCTTTGAACATGGACCAGTAGGATGTCAGATATGCGTCAGAGCAGAGTGACATTTAAGAGCTATCTCAGCATGGACTGGCTCACCGCTGCTCTCGTCTGCAGCTCCATCCAGCTGAGGGATGGACAGGTTGGCGAACAGAGAGTTATTCCCGCTCCACTCCATGTCGTCATCTGAGGACTCCTGCTGCTCGTCACTGAAGTCTTCCTCTGGCTCCTTCGCTGCACACCTGCATACACAGGACCACAGGAGCACTGACTGATCAACACAAAGGTATGGCTACCTAATGAACAACACATGATCTCATGCTATGCTCCTTTGAAGATTTTTTCTAATGCCTGTTCAACTAAAGCCCATTTCTGCCAGTTACATAGAAAAGGAGACTATGCTTTAAATAAAAAAAATAATAATAATTATGAGATTAACTTGTACGGCTATCATATAACTTTGACTTCTTGTTTCATTATGAAGATAAATTTCCCTAAGGGGTCAGTATCATACATATATCGTATCGTATCGTATCATATCATATCGTATCGTAGCCACTTTAACTGAGATTTGTCAGAGTCTGACTCACCTCTGTACGGACGCGCTCTCAGGAGGCTCTCTGTCCCACCGCTGTGACATTACCATGCTAAGCTCCGCCTCTTCCCTCTCCAGCTCTGGCTCCGCCTCCTCTTCGTCACTGTTGCAGTGGTAACTCTGAGTACCAGGATGAGAGAGGTGGGACTGGGAGGTCTGCCTGACAGGGGTCCTGCAGAAACCGTCATCCTCCAGGCCGGCCAGCAGATTGATGATGGCGGAGTCCTGGCTGCTGTCTGCATGACCAATAAGAATAAAGACATGATGAAACTTAGCTGAAGGCAAAGGAGTTAAACCTGCACCAGCGTTAATCTAACCAGTGAAGCCTTGAACTGTATGAGACTTTTTTGAGAGTGGCTTCCAACAAAGACACCACATGTCATGACTCCTACAAAAAGGCCAAAACGGTAAGACTTGAGCAATTTGTAGTCAAGTTTTCCTTGGCGACGGAGGAAAAGACATTTTCTGAAGAATACAGGAAGGATTATATCTACATTAATTGCCTTTTTAGCTGCAGGAGACATGTTTAAACCCCAGGATGTGCCAGACATGCATTTTACTGGGTTCAAGATGTTGGCAGTCCAGAAAATAAAAGCTTGTTCCCAAGAGACTCATTTCCAAATCACAGAATGTAACTTCTGTTAGTCTGAAGTTTCTTAACTTGGATTTGAAAATGAGTCTCTTGGGAACAAGCTTTTCCTTTCTGGTCTGCCAACAACTTGAACTCCATAAAATGCATTGTTTTAATTATACTTTGAAGACAGTCTGAATTGAGAGGGTATTGTGTTTTTTTTGGAGAAGTCCAGGTTCTGTTTGGTTGATCAATTATATTGTCCTGAACTTCAGTATTTCCATGTGTTATTGTATTTTGGCCAAAAAAACTAAAGGTTGAAGAAAACGACATGTCTACAGGCATGACAGCTTCGCCTCTCACTGGACTGTCATTGATTCTGCATTAAAAAAACATGAATAAATGTATATGAAAAATTAAGTGTCAGCCTAGAGATATGTGAGGGTCAGAGTGACACACATACCTATCAGGGGCGAGTGACTGGACGTCTGCGAGGGCGGGAGGAAGGTCTGACTGTTCTCCAGGAGACTCAGGATGGCCTCTTCATCCACGATGGCCTCTTCTGTGGTTATTTTACTGTTCCTGACAGAGGACTCTGAGACAGGAGTGATGGGATTCTATTAGCACCGGTGGAACATTGCATTTAACACAACAAGATAGAGATAATTTAACCAGACAAGCTCATCAACACACATGCTGCAGCACAGCAGGGACACCAGAGTTCAGCAGCAGGTCAGCGAGGGTTGTCCCTGGCAGCTATGTGTGCAGACATGGCAGACAGTGCATGCAGATTAGGCTAAAACTAATCACTGAGTGCCACACTTTTAAACCCAGTACACAGCTGGAGCCTAGGAAACAAACGCCACTTTCAGCAGCTACCTCTGCAGCCTGACACACACTCTTGATACAAGGAGGCGGAAAATGAATACAAGTTCAGACTGTTCTCTAATTAATTTGAAGAGGGGAGCACGAGGAGAGTTCAACCTCTGCAAACTAACAAACTTGGTAAACATGCTGAACAGGGTAGGTTTAAAGAGAAGGTTCTTTTTTTGCCTGGGTGTGGTTGTGAGATTTACTTGTGAATATTTTCAAACAGTAAGTATTATTTATAAGTTATATCAGGCTTTATTCATTAGTGCTGGAGCTCAGAGAAAGAAACTGGATGCAAAACTGCAAGCGCTGTATTTTGATCAAGTGTAGAATCTAGGTGTGAAATCTCAGTTTTTAGCCGTATACAAAGGAAATGACAAGGAAAGCTTTTAAACTCTTGGAAAATATTGCCAGAGTGCGACAGCTTTTCTCTCGAGCCGATGCAGAGACCATAATTCATGCTTTTATTACAGGAAGAATCCAAAACTCAGCTGTTAGGATGCTGACAAAGACCCGAAAGAGAGCCAACATTACACCAATGTTAAAGTCTCTGTGTTAGCTTCCAGGGTATATTATTTTATTTGTTTATGTAAAGCTCTACATTTTGGTTGTATGAAAAGTGCTGTACGAATAAATCTGATTGACTGATTTGGTTGTATGGCTCAGATATGAGAGATTGCAAAAGTCTGAGATGCGACAGCACACCTCTCGTCAATTTCATGTGCATACATCAAGTCCAAGCAGCAAAGACCCCAAAGGGAACAGATCAGAGTAGGCAGTCAAGAAGCTCATAAGAAAAGCTAAATATCAGTGTAATAAGAAACAGAATTTGCAGTGAGCAGGTTCTAGGGGTCTGTAGGGGGTATTTTCCTCTGTAGAAACCTGCTCAGTACACAACATCCCTTACCTGTACTTAGATGTTTGTTTTTATTTGATGTTATATGTTTTAATGCTTTTATTGCTCTTAATGTTGCCTTACATTTTATGTGCATATATGAAAATCCCAGGGTCTATCCTTGGCGCTCCATGCCCTCTCATGGGCCTATGTTGAATGGCGAGCACACCTGCCCTGTTTAATGTGTATGACAAGCCAAGGCAGGCAGAGCATCAACAAAGACCCCGTGGTACAGAGCAGAGCAACATCAGTGTCGATCCACATGACACTGGTATAATCAAGACACGACTTAAAACGATGAGCTGAGGTGAAGACGGGTAGCAGAGCCACAAAGAAACTGAGCTGATCGTGGTTCCCTTTGGGTTATACACTAACAATTGTCCAGAAGAGGAAAATCTGATTGATGGACAACTCCAAGTAAAACATGATTTGGGCGATAAAGGAAGTTTGATGTAACATTCAACTGAAAATAAGATCCAAAAGCCTGAGCAGTATGCTAAACAGCTAAATCCACTTTAGCTTTGAAGCTGTGAGTAAAAACTTGATTTCAACACAGCTTTCACACATATCTGGTGTTCCTCACCTGGTTGTGAGTCCCTGTGAACCTGCACAGCATTAGCTGGTGTACACGGCAGTCCCTCAGAGGTCAGGGGGTCAGAGTGGAGAGTGAGTTCACCTGGAAAATCCTCCTGGTCCTCCCCGTCAGCAGCAGAAAAACTCTGTGTCCTAAACGGGTAAAGACAGAAACACGGATCATGTTTATATAATGATAACAACCTCAGTTAGAGGCTCAATGACTCTGTTTCTGTAGAAGTAGTCTGATAAGATCCTGAAGAGAGAGGATGCTAGAGTTACTGCTCCGCCGCAAGTCACTAGCAATAAAAACTTTAAGCTTCTAGCGCAACAAAAAGCACAAAAAAGATTATCCTTCATCGCATCCTTAAGAGAAACCAACTGACAATAAGTAAACACACTAAGAAAAGCCCCTGGTGTGATAAAGATAGAGGAAAGCAGCCTAGCATCAACATAAGAAAGAATGAATGACTTTTTTTAAAATTTCAGAGATTCTGTGAAGCTTCTCATTTCTGTTCTAGGTTTCTGTTCCTATCAGGCACATACATCTTGCAGTGAGGATTTTACAATCTTCAGCAGTCGTACTTTCATGCCAGGACTGGATAAGTCAAAAGAACATTTTGTCGTGTGTAAAAGACTACGTCAACAAAGTTGTGAATGTGAATTTTACAGCTGTTGACATTCCACATCAGGGAGACTTTTTTCATCAAAGTCCGATTACTTCATCTCAGGGTCAAAATTGATGTCTTTGCCGAATTTATGTAAAGGCACTCACAAGGACAATCTTGAAATGATAGCTGTGTGTGGGCCCACTGGGTGCATTCAACAGGTGAATTCCTCCATTTTCCAGTTATAAATCAACCGAGAGCTCAGCTGTCTGCGCTCTCAGTCACGTTTCATTAACATCTCTTTCCTTTCTCAATTAGGCAGAGTGCTCTGTTTACACTGTGTGTGTGTGGGTGGGTGGGTGGGGTGGCTGCAGATGTGTGGAGAGAGTCTCTTGTCTGGTCAGTGGGTGTGTGAGCAGCCAAGTGGTGTGTTTGTGTGTTTGTGTGTGTAGAAGAGAGAAAATGAATGGAAAATAGGCAGGCAGCCAAGTTCAGCTTTGTATCCCAGAGCAGCTTGTTGCTCAGAGATCGCTCTGAGCAACAAGCTGCCTATCACGCTCTCTTACCCATGCTGCCCTGCTGCATCGCCTAGCAACCCACCACTTAGTGACTTTAAATATTTTAATGTAGACTGGGCAGGGAACCGCTGTTTGATATTTCGCAGAGACAGTCGGAGAATAAATGAGAAAATTAGTTTGATTTTCAGCGGTGGTCCAACCTTATAAAGGTTTACGTTGTCTGATTTAGCAGCAGAGGGTTCAGGGTCAGAGCCCTCTGCTCTGCAGGTTTAAACCCCAGGATGTGCCAAATTACTGCAAATATAACACCCTGAGAAGGCGAGAGGAAACCCTTCATCTGATTAAACCCTCTGTTAACGCGCTGACTCTAAGCATGCATGTTCTACTTCTGCAAGCTGAGAGCAGACTGAAATCAAACAGAAGATGCACAAAGGTTGAGTCATCAGTTGGATAAAGGATGTTTTATTGTTGAGGAGACGATTAAAAAAAATTTAAAAAAACAGATGACATGCAGGGAACATGTTGGCCTATTCAAACAGCAAAGAAACTTTGAGATGTTGTAATGTCTTGCTGAGTCTGTGTTTTAATCAATCAAAAAAATCAATTAAAGACGATATATCAACACGAATGATGTTACTCATTCTGCCTGCTACACCACACACCAGACCTCCCTCAGTAAACCCAATAATTAACATATTTTGTAGGGTTGTAACGATTCATCGATGTGAACCAATATATTGATTGTTTGAGCAATGATTTAGTCGGAATCGATTTAAAGTATAAACATCGATATCCATCGCCATTATTACATTACACCATTATTTTGAGATTCCCCTGCACATGCGTTGTCTAATCATACACTGACTACGCTGGTTACATGGCAGAGAATACTGAATTCCAATCGCATTATCTGGGTGTTTTAATCAGAGTTCTCAAACTCCTATTATAGTCAGACTACGGTGTTTACATGCACTTCAGTTGTCTGGGCTGGTCTGATCGGAGTAAGGCAAAAATTCAGTTTCTTGAGTGTCATGTAAACGTACTGACTGACTCGCCTCTTGGGAATTAATCAGCAGTATGGAAGTATTTGGGATTCAAGAGAAAAGACAGATCAGAAGACAAAGCACATGCGATATGCCAACAATGCCATGGTGAGATAAAGTATGTAGGAAACACAACAAATCAGACCGCTCAGAGATGTTACCAAAGACCTTTAATAATGAATGGTGGAAAAATACTGTGCATTCAAAACTGAAAACTGCAGCACTTTAAAGTGAAACACAAGCACTTGTTCACTTTGTCGAGGAATGTTTTTCATGTAAAATAAAAAATTCTCAAACATATCCATATTGGTTTATTTTTTTTGCCTTATATGTGAAACTTTCAAATAATCTAGTATCCTGCTTCTTTTCCAGCTTCTCATGTGAGAGTGACAGTGAGAGAGAATTCTCTGAAGCCCCATTTTCATTCGGAGACTTGGCTCAGTTGGCTCATGTAAGGAAAAGCCTCTGGAGAGTCAGCGCGCACGTGCCACTGTCTGCCTGCCTCTTAATTAGTCTGCTCACTAACGACTTCAGAGGCGAGGAGGGAGCGAGGCTGGCAGGCAGGAAGGAATCGGGAGATTAACACATTTCTCCTCCTAGCTGTGCCCCTCTGATGGACACCGGGTTCCAGCTTTCTATTTCAGATGTCCACAGCACATGGAAGTGGTGCTGTTTCTTAGAAGTTATGTATTGATTGCTGTAGTACCATTACTATACTATTACAATTACTTACGAGAGTGCATGGGCCACATTAGGAAAAAAATTAATAATAATGAAATCATTACTTATGAGAATAAAGTTTATTAAGTAATAACTTGCGAGAATAAAGTCGTAATAAAGTCCTTATATTCTAAGCTGCTGTTTAAGACGACAGTTGTTAAAATGAGAAATAATAAAACTTTAGGGAGGGAGGGGACTTCTCTGGAGATGGGCCACCCCTTGATAAACCCTAAATGGTTGAAATTTCTTGATATCAAGGACACTCTTATTTAGAGAAAAGTTTTGCCTCCTCCTCCTCTATCTTCTCCTCCTTCTTCTCCATCTTCTCCTCTTGTTTATTCTCCTCCTCTTCTCTTCTCCTTCTTCTCCATCTCCTCTTCTTGTTTTACCTCCTCTGAGGGGTCCAGCTGATGTTTAGCTGTTTTATTGAGGACGAGTATCTGAGAAGAGAGCTGAGAAAGAAACTGTGTGTAAGGTCATTTAGTAAAAGTTGAAGTTCTTCTCTACAGAATCTGAGATTATTTGGATCTATAGTTACTGTCATATATCTGAGCTCTGAAGTACCTGCAGGTTGCTGGTCTGTTGTTTCTCCAGTGGTCCCCAGTCCTCTTTAGCTCCAAGTCCTTCTAGTTGAGCAGGTCCATGGTGTCCAGGTAGGCCTTGGTTCTTTTGCGCCGTTTTATGACGGCCCTGTTCAGAAGCTCTACCGTAGACTTTAGCTCCTCTGGGAGCCTGCTCACCTCAGACTTTTCAAGTCTTTTGGGGCAAGCGCACTGGTAATTTCCAGCTCCTTCTTTATGGAGCTTTCCAGGAGGTTGTCTCTATGCTGTAGCTCCTCTTTTAGGTTTTTAACCTCCTCTTCTTTGAGTGCCAGCAGTTCCAAGGCCTTTTAGTGGGCCCTGGTCATCTCCTGCTCTTTTTGAGCAGCTTCAACTTAGTTTGAGAGGTCGGGCCAAGGTAAAATCGTACTTGTTGTTGTTGTCGAAATCCAATAATTCGCCCCAAAGACGCAATGAGATGTTGCTCAGTTAAGTGCTTGCCTCGCAATGATCTTCTACAGTATTAAGGTGCATTGTTGTCACTCTAGAGCAGACCTGGGCATTTTAGCGACTCTGACCGGCCCGCGAAAGGTTGCTTGGAATTTAGAAAATAAAACATACTTTTGAATTTTAATGTGTGGACTACAACAATAGGAAGTAAAAACTAATGCTTTTACTTTGAAGCCTGTACAGTACTGTGAACGTAGCCTACGACGTCGTATACGTAATCCGTAAAACAAGTCAATCGGTGCACATGATTAGCGGCCATTGTCACCCCTCAACGATGTACGGACATGTTAAAAAAAGAAAGGTGGACGCTGAAGGCCGAAATTTCAAGAAGATTTGGAGCACCAAATATTAGTTTACTGAAGTCGGCGGTAAACCCGTATGTTTAGTTTGTGGTGAACAGATCGCCGTGTTCAAGCAGTACAATTTGAGTCGGCATTATGAGACAAAACACGCAGAGAAATACAGACACTCGGCGGAGGCTGAGAGAGCGCGAATTTCGGAAGACTTGCTAGCAAAGCTAGCAAAACAACAAGGCTATTATACCGAGCTACACACAACCCGGGATGCAGCGACCAAGACCAGCTTTGTTATATCCCACAAAATCGCTAAAAACTGTAAGCCATTCTCGGATGGTGAGTTTGTGAAGGAGTTTCTGGTGGACTCTGCCACGCTAATGTGCCCTGATAATAAAGAAGCATTTGACAAAGTCCCGCTGTCCAGGCGAACCGTCACCAGAAGGGTAGAAGGCGTCGCGGAGGATCTCAAACTTCAGCTAAAAAGTGGAGTTTAAAGTTTTGAGTTTTTCTCTTTGGCTTTGGATGAGAGCTGTGATGTCCGTGACACTGCCCAGTTACTGGTATTTCTCCGAGGAATAAGGCAGGACTTCAAGATTACGGAGGAGCTGGCAGCATTGAGGTCAATTAAAGGAACAACGGGGAGCGAGCTGTTCATGGAGGTAGATGCATGCATGGTCAAGCTTGGACTAAAATGGGACAAACTGGTAGGTGTCACTACTGGTGGTTGTCCGAATTTGACGGGGGGAAATGTCGGACTTTTGAAACAGACCCAAGATAAAGTGACTGAACTCGTTGGTGTTGATACATCAGCATGCCTTGTGCAGGTCTGTGCTAAAACTTTGTAAAGTTTGTAATGTAAGCCCCTGCACCTGTTGTGTTGTATCTTGATGATGTATGTACCATGTGTAGACCCAATTGAGCCCAAAGCAATGTGAATGAAGGCCAGTAGGGGACTAGGGAGAGGAGACAGTCAGTACCTTTATATACACAATTAAGTCCAGCAACAGTTAAGGCCTGACAAGGTGATTTAACTGGATGTTTGTCCTTGTTCCAGTTTACATTCACTTGGCAATAATATAAATACTCCTCCTCTTGTTTCTTCTCCTTCTCCTCCTCTTCTCTTTTCTCCTCCTTCTTCTCCATCTCCTCTTCTTGTTTTCCATCCTCTGAGGGGTCCAGCTAATGTTTAGCTGTTTCATTGAGGACTAGTATCTGAGAAGAGAGCTGAGAAAGAAACTGTGTGTTAGATCATGCAGTAAAAGTTGAAGTTCTTTTCTACAGAATCTGAGATTATTTGGATCTATAGTTACTGTCATATATCTGAGCTTTGAAGTACCTGCAGGTTGCTGGTCTGCTCTTCAAGACTCTTCTGCAGCTCATTGCACTTGTTTCTCCAGTGCTCCTCAGTCCTCTTTAGCTCCAAGTCCTTCTTGTTGAGCAGGTCCATATTGTCCAGGTAGGCCTTGTTTCTTTTGCGCCGTTTTTTGATGGCCCTGTTCAGAAGCTCTACCGTAGACTGTAGCTCATCTTGGAGCCTGCTCACCTCAGACTTTTCAGTGGCCAGTAGCATTTCTTCCTTCTTCTTCATCTCAGCTCAGAGTTCCTTCTTTTCGTGCTAGCTCCTTTCTGAGATTCTCTTTAAGACTCTTAATTTCCAAGTCTTTTGGGGCAAGCACACTGGTTATTTCCAGCTCCTTCTTTATGGAGCTTTCCAGGAGGTTGTCTCTATGCTGTAGCTCCTCTTTTAGGTTTTTAACCTCCTCTTTTTTGAGTGCCAGCAGGTCCAAGGCCTTTTAGTGGGCCCTGGTCATCTCCTGCTCTTTTTGAGCAGCTTTCAGGAGAAGATCATCTTTTATCTTCAGCTCCTCTTGGAGCTGGGTCACATTCGGTCTTTCGGATTCTCCCTGTTGATGGATGGAATCCTTCAGCGCTTTATTTTCCTCTTTGAGGAGCTTCACCTCATTAATGGTGGTAAAAAGGGTTTCTCTCAAACGCTGAACAATATAAGAGCCAGAGAACTGGTTCTGAGGTTGCTGCAGCTGGACAGCACTCAGATAAAAAACAGGAAATCTACTGTCCATGGCAGCACAGAGACGATGAAAATGAAACAGTAAAAGATCTTCAACAAACTTTGTTGACGGGAAGGAAGATCTCCTTAGAAAAATCACAAACTTGAAACTATAAAACAGTTTGAGAGGTTGGGCCAAGGTAAAATCGTACTTGTTGTTGTCGAAATCAAATTATTTGCTCCAAAGACGCAATGAGGTGTTGCTCAGTCAAGTGCTTGCCTCGCATTGATCTTCTACAGTATTAAGGTGCATTGTTGTCACTCTAGAGGTTTCCATGGAAGTGTTCATCCAGCTACAAATGGTTCTTATCTGTGTCAAGTCAGTTTGTAACTTCAGCATCCAAGTCTCAAACGGGACTTCCCAAGCACAAACCATGTTAACAAGAGGGATTTGATGTTTCATCAGTGTAACTGTTTGTCTCAATAATCATTTTAAACATGCAGATAAAACATTCATGCTGGTGTGATGCTCAGGTTGAGTGTTGACGTTTGGGCAGATATGATCAGAGTCCGTGTCTGAAGTCTGTGACTGTGTTTCTTGTAAACTAAAGACACAACACAATGATGTAAGCCCCTGCACCTGTTGTGTTGTATCTTGATGATGTATGTACCATGTGTAGGCACAACTGAGCCCAAAGTAATGATTTTATTTTTGTAAGTAATGACTTTGTTCTTGTAAATTAAGGGATTTAATGTCAAAGTCTTAATTTTTTCTTTTTTTAATGTGGCCCTAATACTCTGTTGTAATTACTATACTGTAATTATTGTATAATAAATACAGTAGTTTGAGGGAAAAGAACTTAATAATCCCTAAAGGGAAATTCAAGGGAAATATAAAAGACCTGCAAGCAGTACTGATAAAAACTCGGATCATTTAGGAGTCTCGATAACTGTATCAGTATAAATGAAAATCGATGATCTCATTCCTAAACAAAGTGAGCTCGTCAACAACAAGAGCTTGTTGCTAATTGCTAACGGTGCATGAATGTTGACTATGAGCTGTTTAGCCTGAAATTAACTTGTTATCACAACACACACAAAAAAAGGAAATACATCTAATTATGTCCTTTTGGAGCTTCCATACATGTTAAACACTGACTGTCATAACGACATATAACACCAAGACATTTGTCTTTGTGTTTGGGGGCTCATGAATCTCTTGAAAGAAGAACTAGAGTTTTGTTTCTAGAGTCTTGTTCGCCCAGAATCTAAGAGGAGGAGGGGGAAAAGATGTTGAAGGACTAGGGGTGAAGTGAGGACACACAAGACCGAGTGGTGTGAGAGTTACGATGAATGTGGTCTGACTTAGTGGAGTGCAGCATCCTGTCTCCTATTCAAACACTGTCTCTCCTCCAGCTGTTCGGACTGTTGTCAGGGGACTGTTGTCTGCTGATGACTCTCGGATCGGGTTTGTCTTAAAACATCTGTTGAGTTCCGCCCCTAACTATCCCCATGACAACAGATCAAAAGGAGGGGGAGGAGGAACTTACACGTCGAAGTCGTTCTCCTTCAGGATCTCCTTGAACCTCTTCATGAAGAGTTTCTCGCTCTCTGTTGAAGCAACACATCCTCGATCTGGAAAACATCAGATTTTTTTAATAAAAACCCTCCTCAGAGCTGGAAAGTTTCCTGTGTTTTCTCCCACAGTGTCTGATTCTTTTCCTGGGTTAAGTGGTTTGGTCAGTGATTGTGGTGAAGTATGGTATTTTTATGGAGTTTTAACTGTTTAAAGACAACAATGAAATGGGACTAGTTGTAATTCTACAAACCAAAACTGAATTACGGCGACTTTTAAAACTTGTCACATAATTCTTCATAGTAACTGTAACCTTCCTGTCAGAGCTGAGCAGCTTTATTTCCTCTCTCTGCACTTTCAGAGCTAAAATGTAGAGATAGTTACCAAAATTTTAATTATTTTCATGTGTTTGAGATTATTTTGCTTAATGGAGAGAGTTTATGATGGGAATTTTCTCACCTTGTGACTCTGGAGTTTCGATCTGGGAGGCCTGGTTCTTCTCCCTCCTCCTCTGCTTCTCGTCATCCCAGATGGCCTGCAGCCCAGGGTTCCTGCCGGTCTGATCTGAACATAGAGGGGCAGAAAATTAAGAGAGTCAGCTGATCTGAGCATAGAAGAGTCAGAATCAGCTGATCTGAGCACAGAGGAGAGTCAGAAAGCCAGGGAATATGAGCACAGGGGATAGTAGGGGGTCAGAGAGTCAGCTGATCCGAGCACAGAGGAGAGTAAGCTGATCTACGGAGAGTTGGAATCGGCTGATTTGATCACAGAGGAGAGTCACAGAATTGGAGCAAGTTTACTATCCAGTGCACTATGTCCCATTACTATGGAGTTAAAAAGCTGCTTTACATACATCTTCTCACTCAGCATTTGAATCATGACAGAGTAAAAACACACCAGTACCAGACTCTAAACATCAGACTCAGCCTGTTCATACTTTGGATCTGCTTTTACAGTTACAGAACAGAGAGGAAAGTATGAGTCACGACAGCAGCTCTGTCTGCCCGGCTCTACTGCTCTCCTCTCTGAGTTCTCAGGCTGGTGCTTGCTGTGGTTTATGTGTTTGACTCCAGTTTAGAGCAAAAATAATCAGAAATCATGAGGACCTGCTGCACTCAGGCTTCCATGTGAGAACAGGAAATAATTTACTGAATAAACGTTTAGCTCAAACAGCTCTGCAGGGGTCATCTCAGGGCACATAGTGACAATAATAAACATGCGTACAGTGAAAATCTCTCAAAACATCCAAACTCCAGTCCTTTTCCTGCAAACCTGACACTGGATCTGCATGATCACACATGATCATAACACAAAACTGATAAATATGAAATTTATTGTGAAAACCTGATTTTTGATGAGAACTGCAAATAAAAATGCTCCACAACCCCAATTAACAGTTTTTAGTTTATCTATTCATCTCTTTAAATTGTGGTGAGGAAATGATCCATTAATTTAGCATCAATGTTGTCCTAAACAGCAGAAAGCCCACTCAATCTTGGCAGTGTTAGCGAGGAAGAAGGGGACCCAAGGGAGAGAGAGTCAGGTGACGTAAGATAACACAGAGGTCCGATGTTCTTGATTTATGGTGACTTTATGTCCTCATGTCCAGAGGAATAGAAGTGATATCGATGAGTACCATGGCAAGTGTAATACCTAAATGTTCCCAACGTTAACTGCGTGTTATTAGTGGTGTTAAAGAATACAACACTTGTAGCCTGTTTACTAAATAGTTAGAAGCAGTGGAGAAACCCCCTCACCTTTTTTTGTTTTTAGGTGTAAAAAGTTTAAAAACAAAAAAATCCCAGAGGGAACCCTGATATGGGTAATTTTTCGTCTGTTTTCAAAGGAATGGTGAAGTGTATCCTCAGGAAAAATTAGAGGAAGAAGCAATGAAGCTCCTTTCCTTATTATTTAAAGCACTCAAACAGCTCTTATCATGGTTAAAGTCACATTTCAAAGTTGCCATCTAAAAAGGACCTTTCGAAAGGACTCTAGACACTGTCAGAGGCACCAAAATGTCTAGTCAGTTGTCAGGGTAAACACACTGTTGTTTATGGTGACACTAGCCATATAAAGGTTTACCTCTTGAATGGCTAAAATCAAGGGCGTAGAATTGGGTAGACATGCTAGAGACACGTCCCTACAAATAGTCAGCTGCTACAGTGAAGTCCCTATCAATACAACTGCTGTCCATAGTGTTTAATCAATGATTATGGCACACAAAGGGTTAACTATTGGTCTCTGCTAGAAGTCCCGCCTCTAATCTAAATATTGCTTCGATTGGCTGCCAGTTTGCGTACATGTGATTAGCTGTCCCCGCTGTCACTACATTTGCCTGTAAAAGTTACCTGCTAGTTGGACCGGACAGGAGGCAGACAGTGCATGTCATCTGCAACGGCAAAGTGTAAGTTGTCAACATGTTTGGCATATTGTGCCTGGGTCATGTCAGCTTAAACTGACTTTAATGTCAGCGGTGTCATTTACATTTACTTTTGTGTTTGTGCTGTTTTTTGTGCGTGTGTGTGAGTGCAGTGTAGGATTTGAGGGATGTCAAAGAAAAGAAAATGGAATAAATTTTGTGTCCCCACCAATGTCGAAATCAAACCTACTCTCTTGGATAAAATTCAACATGTGACAAGAGATTAAATATTCCTGCCCCCTCAGTGTAAAATGGGGTGTATTCAGTCTTTCCACTGACTAAATCTGTTACTATGCAGGACCAAGTATTTGCTTCATTACCTGTCTGAAAATATCTTTGCTGGTTTCATTTCTCAAACACAGCAGCTGTCGCTCTCTACTATCAAACACATCCAGCTGTATCGAAACTTAAAAATGCTGTTCAAAAACAGCATTAAATGCAGCGTCACTAAACCCTGAGGTTACAGCTATCTCTGTAAACTGATGCTTGAACAAGCAGGAGTATCAGCAGCATCTACTCCAGGTGTGCGGGGCTGCGTTAGGTAGCTCCACCTGTCTCTGTGAATCCAGAAAAATTTCCATCTTTGGAGGATACTCTCCTCCTCTGAGACATGAGGTCAATGGTCAGATCCAGTGTGTATTTTCAGGGCTTCTGATTTATCTGGGACAAGTCCTGTTTTTATCAAACCTGCTGCTGCTGCTGCTGACTCAGCAGATGACCTTTGACGCCCTCTGTCTTGTTCCTACAGCTGTTACAGTCAGATATAAGTGTTAAGGACAGGTAGAGGAACAAGTATCCTAAGGGGGTCTTACTTTCAATTTCCAGACGGTTGAGGATGTCTACAGCAACAGCGTCTACCTCCAGCTCACAAGTGCTCAGCTTTTCCACTTTGTCCAGGACCAGAGAGCTGCAGACAGACACAGAAACACAGACATGTGGAGGATCATTTAGGTGAAGAATCCCTGATATGTGAAGACAAAAGGTAGTCGGCTACGTTCATACCGCAGGTTACGATGCACAAACTCACATTTGTCACAAAAAGAGCGAGGCAGAACTGAGGCCTTGTTTAAAATCAGATCTGTATGCTGCAGGATGAGATACTCTCAGGAAATCAAACCCTCTTCATCCTGTTGCTACTCACTGAGCATTAAAGCTGAAGCAATGAGGCCCATGCAGCTGAGACTCACCAAGGGATGGTGTTGTCATCCCAGCGGACAAACGATCCTCCGAGCGTGCTGTCATTGAGTTTGGAGGTACAGGGGCTCTTCCAGGGACTGACGCTGGGACCACTGCTTGTTGTCTCTCCGTCTGCAGCCTCACCTGGAGAAAACACACAGAGACACACAGGGGAGCTGTCTATTTAATATATATGTGCATTTTCAAAGAGCGGTTCAAGAGATGAGAAAATTCATTCATAAACCTTTAAAACTTGTTTGGTTAAAATCCCATTTCTATGACAGAGAAAATCAGTTTGTTCACATGTTGTTTGATAACAGAAAAAAAAAAAGATTTTCAAAGCTATTTTTCCAGAAATGTGCAGAGATGCACATAAAAAACAAAGAGATCATTGGATTGTAAACTTTCAGACATCAGGCTGAGATTTTTTTATAAGGCTGGTAAGAGAGTTGCTAAAATTAGAAACAGACAGCATCAGGACAGGTTTCTCTGACATTTTATCAACATTTCACAGAGTGGCACGTGCATCCCACAGAGTATCAGTCCTGCTCTTCTCTACTGGGAGTCTGTACACCATCTCTCTGTGTAGCTGAGAGAACAGACCCTGATATTACCAACACTCAATATCTGCTCATTCTCCTGTCCACCTCTGGATCTACTTTTTTCTCATGTTTAATTCAGAGACTCTGGATTGATTTTGAGGCAGAGAGCTTTAACATGTCTTCCTTTCGCCTCCTAAAGCATCAGTACAAAGAGCAAACAATCTAAACAATCTAGAGAAATGAAGCCAACAAACACAAAACATGTGCAAAGTAGTGAGAAGCAAGAGGATACCAAAAGAGCCGTCCAAAGACACCAAAGATAGAAAATAAACATCAAATCTTTCCGAGCTGCAAAAGCCTTAAACCTCATAAACTCAAAAACAGATGAAGAAATCACCTGTTTGGAAGCTGAGAGGACACCTGGCTGACTCTGTCTCTTACCTCTGTTGGGCCCCTTGCGAAACTTGATGGCCCCCAGGTTGATTAAGTTCATGCCGTACAGGTTGTAGTCTATGAAAAGCTGCAGCAGGTAGGGGATGTGGCCCTCGTGAGGCTGATAGCTCTTGTTCATCACTGCCCCGCTCTGTAACAGCTCACACACCCTGAAAAAACACAGCACAGCAGAGACAGCTATAAACCTGACACTCTGAGAGCAGACAGGCTAACCTGCTCATTAGAGATGACTACAGATTCAGCAGGAAGTTAGATGCAGGTACACAATAAAAAGTGTTTTCAGTACGATGATTAGCCTCTTCTATTATAAACAAGGGGGCTTATCTGTTGAAAGTCTTATGTGTGCTTACACTAAGCCAAAATAAAACCATTTGCTGAATCCATATCAAGTGCGTTCAACACTCTAAAAGTCTAACACCGACATCGCCAATCAGTATGCAAATCCTCTGATGTTGTATGTCAAGATCAGACCTGTAGTGATTGATTCATCTGAGATCTGGAAGATAAACTGATGGTGACAGCACGCAGCTACCCTGAGCTATTGGATAAGGTGTGTTGTTTCTATGGAAACAGGGATAAAAAGAAGTTTTTTTTGTGGGGAAAGTGAGGGAGGAGGTTGGATTGTTATATAAATTCACCTGTTTAGGTGCTCCAACAGGCACAATATGACATACAAATAGAGTGTTATTCTCTCAATATGTTCGGACATTTAAATCCATGTAAAGTCAGCATGTAAATAACATTATTCACATCCAGCAAGAACACAACATTTCTAGTGAGCAAAAAGAGCGAGTACTGCGTTGACTGCGATGTAGATTTTGTCCGTCACATGCACTTCACTCGTTTTACACCACCTCATTTATGTAATTACATTACCTGATAAGAGCTCATGTCTAAATGCATCTGAATATTGATTTTATTCACTCAGAAGGCTGAATAGGATGGCGCTCTGTCTTGGAGCCATGTTTCTCCTTTAAAGGTCAGAACAGCAGAGACTGACTGATAGACTGATTAGAGCAAATGAGTCGAGGAGAGCGAGGAGGACAGACACACCTAATATACCTGACACCTCATCTATTCTCTTCTCTCCTCTTTACATTTCAGTGTTCCTCCTCACTCTTCATCAGTCTACCTTTACCTCTCCCTCTTTATATCATCCTAAATTTAACCTCAGGCCTCTCCTTGTCCTCCTCTTCCTCTCTTTCACCTCTGTGAGAGTCACTCTGTTTTAGCAGAGCACAGACTCCGCAGTAGCTCTGCAAACGCTGATAACAAATAATTCACAGTCTTCAAACACACACACTCGGTCCATCAATTTGTACAACTAAATACAAAGTGATCAATTTCAGTTTAGTGAGCTGGTGGAGTCATGCACACACACACAGTCTGGCTCTCAGCTCTCTCACAAACCTGCAGCTCCGCCTACATCGATCTACAGGAGCCTCACCTTTTCACCATCTGAGGATTGTACAGGTAGATCTTCATAAAGTGCCTCTCCTTGGCGTGGTAGCCGTAGAACGGCCTGTGAGGACACAAACAGGTTTTCAGAGAGCGTCTAACATATTCAGATTCAAAGGGTTTAAACGAACGGTCACTCACATGCCAGAGACCAGCACCACCTTGAAGACATGCTGCGTGTTGGAGGAGGGGTTTCCCATGGCAACATTGAGGGCTCTATCGATGCTGAAGGCCACCTGGCGCAGGTAGCATTCAGGCTGCTGGCTGTAGCCATCGTACGGGATGTAGATGTAAGGGAAAACTCCATGGAGGTGGAGACACGTCTTCTGACCTACAACACAAAAACAGACACAAATCCTATTAAAATCTGGGTTATGCTCTAATTAATGATTAAAGGGGAGGTTAATGCTTTTCCACAGTTACAACAGACAATGCAAAGTTACAATGTTTGGTGTCTATACTCAATGTATGTAAATTTTCAAATCACAGTGTAAACACACACAGTGTACGCTGTAATAATTTTAGAAAAGAGATGTAAATTGCTCAAAACACTTCGTTAAAGAATCACACAAGATCTCGAATAGCCTCTACGAGACTCACTAAACTTATGAGGTCATTGCTGTAGGATCTTCGAACTGGTTAATCTGTACATCCGGCACAGCAGAAAGGCCTGCCTCAAACAACTCGTTAGAAAGAGAAGAGGAAGAAGAAGAAGTAGTAGTAGGGGAAGAAGAAGAAGAAGAAGAGGAAGAAGAAGTAGTAGTAGGAGAAGAAGAAGAAGAAGAAGTAAGAGAAGAAGAAGAAGTAAGAGAAGAAGTAGTAAGAGTAAAAGAAGAAGTAGTAGCAAGAGAAGTAGAAGAAGATGGAGAGGAAGTAAGAGAAGTAGTAGAGGAAGAAGGAGAAGGAAAAGTAGAAGTAGTAGAAGAAGAAGAAGAGGAAATAAAAGTAAGAGAAGAAGAAAAAGGAGAAGCAGTAAGAGAAGAAGAAAAAGAATTAAGAGAAGTAGAAGAAGAAGTAAGAAAAGTAGTAGAGGAAAAAGGAGACGTAGTAACAGAAGTAGAAGAAGAAAAAGTAGTCAAAGTAGTAGTTATAGTAGTAGTTATAGTAGTATTAGTAGTAGTAGTCGAAGAAGAAGAAGATCAGGAAGAATAAGTAATAGTAAGAGAAGTAGAAGAAGAAGGAGTAGTTGTAAGAGAAGTATGAGAAGTAGAAGTAGAAGAAGGAGTAGTTGTAAGAGAAGAAGAAGAAGAGAAGTAGAAAAAGAAAGAGTGGTTGTAAAAGAAGTAGGAGAAGTAGAAGTAAAAGGAGTAGTTGTAAGAGGAGAAGAAGAAAAAAAAAAAAAAGAAAACTCACTGGTCCAGACAGAGAAAATATTAATGCACCGACTTGAATCCATCTTTGCCACATCAATGACCAAACTACACACAGCATCTGTGCTAAAATGTAATTAAAGTACAATCACAGACCTCTGACCCTGTTTTTAAATATATGATAGTAAAAATTCAGTGCATGTAAGGTCCTTATCATGGAGCACTCTTTGGCTGTTTATTATCTAATAAGCGTGTATTAAAGGGTTCTGATGTGACAGACACACTTGATCGGTATTTCCCAGCATGCATTGTCACTGTCCTCTCTGAATACATGATGATCTGGCAGCAGCTTGACTTTTTCCTTCTGCAGACTGCAAAGGGCTGTGATTAAGATAAATGCAGTCTGCAGCAGGCTGTGTAAACTTGTTTCCTTTTGCTCCTACCCTGCACTACTTGACCAATCCCTCCATGGCCACAGAGACAGATGAGCGCAACAACAAGCTGTGATTCATGGTTTTCATGCACACCGAGTTCAAGCAGCCCATTACTGAAATAACTCAACTGAAACAAAGAGGAAGAGCTGGGATTGTTGGGGGAGCAGAGAGGATTGAGGTCTTGGCAGTGTGAAGTGAGGTCAGCCAGCGTTTAGAAAGAGAGATACAGTATTTATAATGCTGGCTGAACAAGCAACATCACTAGCAGAAAGACATGCATGGTGCTGCTACTAAGAGTCATCTGAGGTGAGCCAAGCTGCAGACGACACGCTCTGATTCGCTGTGTCTGAGGTTATCTGTCTGTTTCTATCTGCACGCTCCTGCTGCAGCTCTGTCTTTACTCCAGATACATGAGACACTAACAGCAGAGTAAGAATTCAAACTGCAGAGGATGAGGGCACTAAAATCTCCTGATCATCCTGCACCAGTGAGGAGCAGCTGACCAGGAGGGGGCAGAGTGGATCAGGAGCTGCTGGACTCACGCAGGGGACCTGTCAGCACATGCCTGTAGAAGAGTAACAACCCTCACCGGGGGATGAGGGGACACACACACAGACACACAGACACACAGCTTGCCAATTCCCCATGCTATGATCTGAGAGATACAGCGTGCCGCAATCTTGAATGTGATTGTTGAGATTGCTGGACCCAAAGTGGAGCGTCCAAAAGAGGAAGAAATATTCCCAGCATCTCTGCACACTCACACATGTGACTGCCCTCACACAGGGGGAAGGGGGAGGGAGGAGAAGGGGGAGGGGTGATGCAAGATGAGATGTGGTGCTGAAAGGCAATGAGCTCCTCTAAACAAACTGTTACAGACTGAATCAGATGTGAACTGTAGGAAAAAAACCTGCTCAGATCCAGGCATCAGCTTATGTTGGAGCTCCATGAAAGAGACAACCATATGTGTGTGAGCAAACACATACACCTGTTTCTAATCTATCACTAGGGCTGGGACAATATGCTTTTCTCCTGATTCGATTCTTCCACGATTTTTGGGATGCCGATTCTATTAGAAATTGCGATTCTACGATATTGTCAATTTTCTTGATTTTTACTCTGCATTTTTGACACCAGAGAAACAGTTGAATGATTACGATTGTCTACCGACTATTCCAGGAGCCATATTTCCCCAAAAAATACACCTCACATGTAAGTCAGTTTAAGATTTATTCTTAAATTTTTAAAAAACTGATTTTTGAGAATCGATTTTTTTTCTCCCACCGCTATCTATCACTGTACCATTGTGTAAGATGGCAAAGAGCAATCGTTAAATAATGTTGCTAAGTGTCATTAACATTCATTTACTTATTGACGACATTCAAATAACATTTTTTAAAGGTGTCTGCCTATTGTGAACAGAACAGATTCCAACATGGACAAAAAAAAGATTTTTTTATAATAAGCAATATTTCTGTGAATTTTTAACTTTCACAAACTCAGGAGCATGTGTAGATTTTGTGAGTTTCTATGGACAAATCAGAAATACTTAAACACTGACGAATGCTGATTATCCAGTGTGTAAATATGGTGTGAATGGGTAAATGTGAGATTTCATGTAGAAGTGCTATATATGTATATATTTTAGATTTAGATACTGAGGTAAAACCTTTGCTGTCAGGAACTGAAAACATCAATAAATTTAGAACAAAATTTGTATTTGCTGGGTCTTCTCCAACTGATATTATCACCAATCACACTGAAAGCCCTAATGAGAGCGTACTGAGGACGCCAACAAAAGGAAATGTGTCAGGAGGAGTGCAAGGCTAGATGTTGGGAAAGCTGATCGAGGTGGGCTGCAGAGGCTTGGCAGGATGCCCACTCGGCAAAGTCCTCAATCGACCTGGAGTGACGGGAATGGCCGAGAAAAAAAAGGGGGGCCAATTAATGTGTGAGCAAAGCTGCACAGAAAGCCAACAGGTGGATTTAGATCAGGAGGGCTGATTCTTGGGAGATGGCTGATAGGGCACATGTCAGGGCATGATCAAGACAAGAGTGCTTTATTTGTCGTAAGTATAAATAAAATTATGTTAAAAAGTGCGCTGCATGCGTACACAAACTATTTAAACCTTTCAAGAGCAAGAATGAAAGTGTTACTATCCAAACAGCTCATTGAAAAAAACAAAAACAGACTTCAGTGCAGCAGTCAATGAGGAGCAGAGAGACTAAAGGAGCAGCAGGTGTCTGTCTATCTGTCTGGAGTGTGTATTCGTGTGTTTCTAGTTTCTACTGTACATTGCTTGTGTGTGTGTTTGTGTGTTATCTGCACTGTGAACCACACAAAGGCTGGCAGACTCTCAGGATGCGAGGGAGCAGCAAGGGCGGCTCAAGTCTGTCTGTCTTCAGCCTGAACTCTCTCTCGCTCTCTCTCAGACACACATTCAACGACACATACAGCAACACTCCCAGAGATGCATTTGGCAACACACCTAGCAACACACTGAGAAATACATTTAGCAGTACACTCAGCACACACCGCGAGCAGCCAATGATGGCTTCTGCAGCAGTTGCTAGGCAACAGCAAAGCAAAAGCCCCTGACAGACAGCGGGAGGGATGTACAAGGGATTCTTTCCACCCAGCTGGTCAGACCACAGAGAGAGATAGAGAGTAAGAGAGAGAGAGAGAGAAACAATCTGAGAGACAAACAAGAGAAAAGTAATGATATATAGAGAAAAAATCTTTGTTTGTTGCTAAATTACATGAAAAAAAAAACACAGAATATATGTGTGCGTGTTATCCCACTAGAACATACACACACTTCAAATCTCTGTTACTCTGCTGCACATACTGTCTGGTACTCTATCACTTTGTATTTCAGTGTTTCAGTATATTTGCACCATCTTTTATTGCTTTAGTGTGCTCTCTCTGTTGCGCCGCTTGCATACTCAATGTATTACTGCGTATTTCAGTGTCTCTTTACATAAAGATTACTTGGGTTGGCCGCCCAAGTGTGTTTGCACCTTCTGTGATCACTTAAGCGTACACTCTCTCTGCACCAAGTTCATGCGTTTACAGGAATCTGTATTATCTTCTGTTCGGTCTCCTTCATCAGATTAGTAATGACATGAACTAGTTTGTTGCCATGGACACTGTTTACTGTGCCGCAATGGTTTGGTTGCAACTACTAACACAAATTCAACAAATTCTGGGTAGTCATGCAATTTTGTCCAATCACAGTAACTATGCATCATCACACTCACTCCCTTGTTGACAGCTGAAAAGATAAAGACGTGCAACACAAAATGTCCACATTTACCAACAAGAAATACAGCGAAAGTTAATGCAAGTCAGTCTCTAAATGTTGTACTGTAAAGCGGGAGTAAACTTTTTTGCAACACATGCAATATTGTTGTGGAACAAAAACTTAGGTCCTCGCTTGACAGGTGCTTATCTACAGCCAAACAGAGAAAACACAGAGACTACAGTTACGACAGGTTCCCATGTCAGAAGTCGTCACAGCTACATCTAAGTGTTGCAACTTCCAAAAGAAACAAGCTGATTAAGAATGAACGTAAAATTGAGTGTTTGAGGCATGGTTGTTGTTTTGTATCTGAATCGGTGTACGTGTGTGTGCATGTAAACACAAGCATGAAGGGGAGAGTGTTAAGAAAAGAGTGACTGAACGTGTTATAAATGTATTCTTGATGACTTATAAGGTGTAGCAGCGCCGACGTCAGCACGGGGAGCGTGGTGCGTGACGTGCCAGCGCGGCCATTTTAACAGACATAACACTTTGCGCATTGGAATGAATGAACTTAGGATGACGTTCGGTTTTAAAAAACAACTATTTATTAGCTGACTACACAGTAAATGGAGAACGGAATGGAGAGAGCAATACTTGTACATACCGCACAGGGACAAGCTGAACAATGAAGAAAGACAGTTACCTAAGCAAAATTGCAAACATTGCTGGACTTGACCCATATAAACACAATGTATGGTCAGAAGATGATTTCGAGATGCTAGCACCACTTATCTGAGTGCATTTGATGCAGTGACTCATCAAAGGAACAAGCTATTATACATTTAATTCCTTCCATCATGAAAAGTCTCTCTTGGCCCATGTATTTTTCACATTTGTTTGGGTACACAAACTGCAGATGCACAGTGTCAACAACAAAACTGTCGTTTGCACAATGGTAGGTGATCACACACAAACAAGTCTTCCTTTCTCTCTCTCACACACACACGCACGCCGGAACAAATCATTACAAATTATTGTTTTCTCTTCCATGTTGGAAAGCAAAAAGAAAAACATACTTTTTCCAAAACTTTCCCTCGACATGCTCTCCTGTTATAGCACTTGTGAACGCAGCCAATATCCACCATTGTTAGTTGATAACTTAGAGCAAAATCGAACACGAAAGAGTCACTGTTTACATGTCTCTCTATTGACGCTGATAGTTCCTTCCTGCCAAAATGACGGCGGCAAATGTTGATGCCCCTTTTTCAGATTTTGGTACACCCTATACATTGAATGTAACGAAGGATGACAGTGTGTGTCTGTGTCTGTGGGAGAGAGAGAAAGAGAGATGATGAGATGCAAAGGATACAACATGTAAATGTAAAAAAACAATGTGTGAGCTTCAGCTGGTTAGGAAACTTTGCGGAATTAAATATTTCTGTTTGTCCATAGATTTGTGAAGATTGGGTTGCTACTTGTACTGAAGTCAATATTCCCCTCACTAAGAGTGACCTTCCTTTGCTGAGATGTTTCATAGACAAGGTAATAAATGGGGGAGCCATTCCTGGATTCCATCTGTTCAAGAAAAATACCTAGGAACAGTTCACACAAAATAAAAGGAGGCACTCAAAACACATCTTTCCCAAAAGGCTGTTGCTGTACTTGATGGTACGCCAGATGTCAAGGGGAGATGTGAACTGAACAAAGAGGAATCTGGAAGGATCCTGACCAATCTATCAGACACGGTCTTCCTAAAAGTATGCAACCACTCTGCTGTCTCTGTGGTCGAGTATCTATAAGGAGACTGCATAGCCAATGAGAATATGATTGTATTTGATACAGACAATGCAGCAGCATACATGAAGAAAGCATAATGCTACACTGCAGTCATTATTTCTAAGATCACTACACATTACATGCATGACACACATAATGAACCTCATGGGTTTACGCTGAGTTTCTCACAGATGTTTAATCAAGCTCGTTCCTGCAAGAGAAGATACCGCAAAGCCCTCCTCCACAGTTTCAAAAGATTCTGGAGGAAACCCAGTACAATATACAGCCTATGGTGCAACACAGGGCTTTATCTCTGAGGGGAGGAGCTCTGTGGTGTGCTCGGCCAAGCTCCTCCCTTAACCTCCACCTCGTCCCCTCTCTTCTTCTCTCTTCATGTTACACTGCAGGGCAGCTCCATCATGACTCAGCAGCTGCAGACAGACATACAGCATGTCAGTCACTGTGTCAAGCATCAAATCAAGTCAATATCCCTCTGTTTGTGTAGCATGAAGCTCCTCTCTGTGAGTGGGTCTGGTCAGAGCCATCAGGGTTTACAAAGCCCAGCATAAATTAAGTTTGACTGACTGAACGAGTGATAAAAAAGCCTGATTACATGATACTGCTCATCTCCTCAGTGCCCAGTTTATATTTATATAAAGAGTAAGAGAGAGATGTAACATTAATGACAGTGTTTTCCTCATGTGAGCACAGTGCATTGAGCTCATTTCTCTCCCTTTCACTCTCTGGCTCTTTGCAAAGGCAGACAGCTCTGGTCTTTAATCAGACAGATAGCTGCCACAGGGAGGAGCAGAGGAAGAAGTTAATAAAACTATTCCTGGTATTAATTAAAAAAGCCCAGGGAGAGATGTGTCAGAGCTCCTAATGTCTACAGAGGCGACGCCACACATGTCTGCTTACTGTTTCATTGAGAGCCTGGTCCAAAATCACAGCCACAGAAAAAGAAAAAAAAAACTACAAACAGTTTAGAGAGGTGATACAATGAAGGATAGGTAATCTTGTGAAATTTAAACAAATTCAAACACACGCACTAGCAGAGTCTTGCTGAGATCACCGAGATTGAGGAGTCTGGCAGAAAACCAAAGAGGGGACAGACAGGAAGAGGATAGGGAGAGACCAGGAGCAGAGAAAGTGGCACAAGAATGCTGACGGGAATGAAGACTTTCATATTTATTAACATTTTAAAAAGGACTGTATTTCAAGAGATTGCATTTTTGTTCAATGAATTAGGGCTGGGCGATATGGCCTCAAATCAATATCATGATATTTTAAGTAGTTCACCTCGATAACTACAAATGGGCGATAACTACTCCACAAGCAACTCACCCCCTCCCACATTAACTTTATCTACTTCAGCCGCACACATCCAAAACCAACTTTTATCTATATTTTTTTCTGATTCCAAATATAATGACATGGGCAAAATGACATCGGTTATTGTAAATTTCGGTATTGGTAAATTTTCGGTTTGTCCCCCAAGCCCTACAATAATAACACAGACGTATCAGTCTCTTTCAGACATGCACTCCTAAATAATTTCTGAGTCAGCCTGTTACAGAGTGTAAAGTTTCCAACATGGAGGATACAGCAGCAGAGAAGTACACTATAGTGAGAGTTTTCTACATTAATATAAGTGTAAACAGAGAGATAACTTCCTGCTGGGGAAGTGACAGAAGCTCAGAGGGTGATTTGGCCTGAAAGTATGTGAACCTCCCCTCTCTGTGTCTGGGCTTTGTTAATGTGGAGAGTAGCTGTGTTGTCCCCTCTGCTGCACAGCCAGGACGGCCGTGGTCACACCAGGTCACAGCATTCCTGAGCAACAAGACCAGGACTATGGAAAAATGACATCCAGCCTTTTTACTAGTGCCCGACCGATATAGATTTTTTGGGGCAGATGCTGATACCGATTGTTAGGGGGGGAAAAAAATCTGATTACAAATTAATCTGACCAATTTTAAATTTTTTTATGAAGTTATAAAATATATATACTGTCGATATCTACAGTATACTATATTCTGTGGATATGCTGTAGGCTACTGCTCTTCATGCTGACAGGAAGACCAACTGATCAAACTCGGACCAGAAAAGCGTTTTCAACTACCCCCCCCTGCGCGCCGATCGGTGTCTCCGCGTCTTAACTCACGTTACTCACTTCCGGTCCGGTCTCATCTGGAGACATGCAGCTGCCTCAGTAAGAGACGTAGCTCGATCACATAATGTGTACTGTTGTTTACTCTACCGTTACTAGCACGGCTAACAGTGTAACAAGGCTAATAGCAGATGGCTAACTCTAACTTTAGCTTGCATATTACATGTAGCTTCACCGTTAACTCAGGAACATCGTGAAGTGGGTTGAACTGAAACTTGTTGACTTATTGTGTATTTCACAAACTGGTTTATTTACCGCTGAGGCGGACCACTCTCCTCCGTGCGTCCCTGAGCTGCCTGCTTCAGATCCGTCACTCTGCTGTGCTGTGAGGTAGTTAGTGGATGAAGATTGTCATGAGGTCGTTGCGCCATCTACAGGATAAGTCAGGGAACTTTTCAAATGGCGGAACATTTTTCGAAGTGAAACCGAATCTTATTTCTGAAAATATTGGTGAAAATCAGCGACTTTTGGCCTATTACTGATTAGTCTCAAACGGGCTAAAATTTGACGATTTAATCGGCCCTACTTTTTTACCCCCGAACAAACAGGGATTTCATACTCTGGTATGCGTGGTATTTTTTTAAAGCTGGGCCATATTCTTAGATATTCTCTGACCTGCAGGCACACAGAGTTTGGAAATGACACTCTGTGCCAAAGCAGTAGATCAAAGCATGTCCACTGAATGAGCTTTAAATTGTTGCTAAGGATATTATGACCAGTCATTACCTGGGTGTTGCTACTCTGCAAAAACCAAATAATGAAATGATAGCTTTCACAAATTTCATCCAGATCGGGCCACCTGTGTCCACACACTGCAGCCTGTTACCACTGGAGAGAGGTGAACCGCCTCCTATCTATTGTCCCCCTGCTCCAGTTTCATGACAGGAAATAGAATCAGCTCCCCATTTTCCCTTAATGACCACTTTGTAGCCAACATGTTCCTATCACTCAAGCTGAGCTGGCAGGGCAACAAGCCCAGATAAACCTCCATGCCAACTCTCCCTGGTTGTCTCTCTGGCTGAGGAGACAGATGACACCAACAGAGCCAGCAGACAGGACCGGTCTGACCAGATTGGTCACTGGGAGGGGGCTTCATGCCAGACCAAGAGATCAATCTTCATAAAAATGGACAGTAAATCAGAGGCTGGCTAAAGGGAGGCGCTGGCTGGCTGAAGCTGTGAATGTGGAGGTCTGTCTCACTTATGTTTGTTCTCATTTGGACTCCTGTAAGTCTGCCTAACTGTACGAACAGAGTCCAGATTGAGGTAGCAAACTATGACTGATAAATCAAATGCAGGATGAACGTTGTGATACGTGATATCACTGTGGATGTGATAGAAATGACTCAGAAAGTGAGAGAACAAGAAGAGGAGGACAGGTCTGTTCTTATGGCTATAAATGATAGAGCTGATCATGGAAATGTTCACTCTTAAGCATCAAGATTCTCAAATCTGTGACTTCCAACGACAAAGAGGAGACATCTGATCGGAAAGAGAAAAACAACTTCTGCTGGACGTCACAGGCCGACTCGTCTGTTGTCTGGCTGAAAGCTTGAAGACAGTCTAATCTGGTGGACAGCTGATTCACTGTTACCACGACTACCAATCTGTGTGAGTGTGCACCTGAGTGGGGTCAGCTCACACACAGCTGCACACTGGAAGGAGGCTGTCAACAAACTCCCTAAGAGTAAAACCATCTCACTGCGTCAAGCTGCTCCAGTCACATTCATCACACCGCAGAGACAGAGAGTGCGTGCGTGCGTGTGTGTGTGTGTGCTTGTGTGAGGAGAGAGGTAGACATGACCTGCATGAATAACACTGCTGTTAAACGAAGGAGGCAGGCTGGTAGCAGAGCAAAGTGTGCAGCTCACATCAATAACCTCAGCTGCAGAGCTGGACAAGGATCCTGCTCCAAAACCCCGTACTGAAAAAGTTTAACCTTTTTCATCTCAAAATCCTCTCAAGTGCTCTCATATGCAACAACAGAGCACTCATATTCTATGTCTGTCTATCCTTTTGCACTAAATGTTTACATGGAAGTCTTACTTCTTTTGCTGTGTGCTAATGAGCAATTTGATATTTGATATTAAGTAAATTTATGTCTTTGTTAATTTGTTACCTTTTTATAAACAAGGCAAATGTCAAGCCTGATGCCTTCACTCACAGGGCAGGTATACAGGTCATTCATTCAACAGTAGTATTGGATGGGTATCGATATCGGCCAATACGCTCAGCCCAGGTTTTCAGTATCAGATTGGATCAGGAAAAAATGGATCAATGCATCTCTAGTGGTAAAGGTGTAAGACTTGCAGTGGTCTCATGTCGTACCTTATTTACCTTTTAAAGTTATGGTCTACCATTTGGAAGCTTGGTACTTATTAATAACACTGTTTATAAGGCCGTTATGGTCCTATGGTCCGATCTAAAGATGTAAAGATAAAAAAAAATGAACAAAATCCATTCAGTATATCCGCTGCAAAAAGGCATAATAATCAACCAATCCGAACAGTGGTCCGTGAGTCCATCCAATCCCCTGTCTCCCCTGCTCCACACAGTCCCGCCCATGGTCCCGCCTCCTCCCCACTACCCCCCTTATGTACATGTGATTAGCTAGCTGCACAGCTAATGAAGCGTAATGGAGCCGCAGAAGACAAACACCGAAACCAGGAGTTACCCTGTTACCCTCCACTTCGAAGGGAAGGAAACATAAAAGTTTCGAGGATGAGGCTGAAGTAAGGAAGAAATATGAGAGTCGACATTGGAGAAACATACGACCGGTGGAAAAAGCTGCAGAAGGATTTGGGACTGAATACTGACGCTGAGACAGCCGAATTTCTGTTGAACAGGTAATTACTTTGTTGACTACAGTGGGAGATGTCTGCTGAATAACTCTGGTTAGTCTGTGCCTATACTGGCTACTAATGACTGAACGTTGTTGGTCGGAACAGGTCCGTCAATAGATCTTAGCATAAGTTAGCCACGCATCTTTAGCATTGTAAACTGAGCTGGTGAAGACACGTCGAGAAAGGTAAAGCCTCTCCCACAATCGGCTCTGCTCTGACCGGCTAGCAGCAGACCCACTCCAGCCCGCTAGTATATGGTCTTGATCGCACTGTGAACCGTGAATCCGACCCAGATATCCTGAGTTGTTTTCAAAGCTAGCTTTGCTGCTGATATTTTCTGCCGGCCGGCTTCTTGCTCTATTGGAGGGGGCGTGTTGTTAGTAGGCGACACAAACTGGGCGGGCGGGATCTTGGAACACGGAGGGGAGGGGTGAGTGACGGGGGGGCCGGCTGCGTTTTTCAAATCTGTCTCAACCGCCAAACTGGTTTTCAGATGGTAAACCATGGCTTTAAGTCTCCATCTGCTTTGTTATCTGTTAGTTAAATAAGCATGACAATAAAGACATGCAAACAGGTGAAGTTACAAGAGTTTTTATAGTCTACATGCACAATTTAGGACTAAATATCCAAGGACTAAATTCAGCAAGTCCCTCAAAAGGACATGTCAATTTAACTTGTACCCTCTCTGCTCAACCTTTAACGATTGCTAGCATCTTGGCTGTCAGACATGCGAGTGCAAGATAGCTAAGGAGGAAGAGGGTGTGCAGGATGGAGAGGGATTTAAAGACTGAAAGGTGGGAAGAGTGAGGGGTAAAGTCCAAAGCAGCTCTGGTTGTAAACGCTCTCTCTCTCTCTCTCTCTCTCTCTCTCTCTCTCTCTCTTTCTCTCGCTCTCTTTTTGCTGCAGCTCTCCTTTTGAGAGCAGAGCAGGACAACCTGAAAGGGTGGGGGGAGAGAGATGAAAAGAAACACTGATGGGATTCAGGGACAGAAAGTGAAAACCCTCGAAACTAGAACGACATGTCGAGGAAAAAAAAGGAAAGAATTGGGAGGACCAGAAAAGTAGGGGAAGGAAAGAGGAGTTCAAAAAGAGGGAGGAGAAGAGGCAGAGAGGGAGGAGGAGAAGGAGGCGGAGTACAGCAGAGAAAAAGAGAGAGAGGGGCAGAGACTGTGACCAGCAGAGGGAAAAACTCTCAGCTATTCACACACGTGCAGAGATAATCTCATTCAAACACACACACACACACACTTCAACACACGCTTGGGCCTGCAGCAGTGGCTGTTTGCTGCCATCCAACTCAGGCTTCCTCACCTTTACACAAACTCTAATTCAAGGAGGTTCCGAAAATGTGAATAAAAACAGAATACAATGATCTGCAAATCCTTTTTGACAACGACATGTTCAATTGAATGCACTGCAAAGACAAGAAAGTATCAGAAAGTCTAAAAAAAGGCTAAAAATGTGCATAATACCCCCTCTTTACTGCCAAAAAGGCTGGGATAGGTGCATGTTTACCACTCTGTTATATCACCTTTCCTTTTAGTGCATGGGGATTTGACTTTATAATACATGTTTCAAGATTAATATTTGATAAAAATCTTAAAATATGATATGTATGCACTTGTGCATATGGGGCACAACTCATTTTTAATAGTGGGAAAATAAAAGAAAATGAGTTTAATTCAGAAATTAGTAGTTAGATTAATCTTAAGTCAATTTTAAATCAATCTCATATCTCAAGCCGGAATTTTCATTTTCAGGGACCCCACTTCTAGAGGAACACTAACATATATATAAGATATCTGTCTGATATCAGGAAAAAAAAAAAAATACTGGATTATATCAGCCTGCATCTAAAATCTCCGATATCAGCACTCCAATACAAGCAGTCAATTTCAAACTCCGCTCCAGTCCCTCTATCGAGTAGCGCCCTGATCCAGCAAGCTGAGCCCACAAAATCACAACAACAGTGTGCACTAAGGTACTAACTAAGTAGCAAGTAGTAAGAGTGATGTTGGCCTTGTGGCAGTATTTTTCGTTTAAGTCAGAAAAAGATACTGCAGCAGAGTGACAAACTTGTCATGCACAATTTTGTGCTAACATCGGATCAATATCAGTGTCGGTCAATATTGAAGGCTACAATATCGGTATCGTATCAGGACAACCCTAATTTGACTGCACATATTACACTGCAGCTTCTACAGCCTGTTTGCCAGCTGCTGGCTGATGCAACACACTGGAAGAAATCCACATTTCTAAACTGCTTTCATTCATTTATGTAGAAATATGCGAGAATTAGTGCAAAGTTTTCCATTTTATGCCAATAGGCAAATGAAGAAGACTCTCTTATGTAACTCATTATGTAAAAGTCCTCACTATTAATTATGGAAGAAATGAGTGTAATAATGTGTGTCTTCATTATAAGCAGCCTGGATGAATGCAGATCCTCTCCTCAGGAGATTCATATCAGAGGGATTAACAGGTCTAATATGGAGCACCAAAGAGAAGGAGGAGGAGGAAGGGATGGAAGGAGGGTTGCAGGTACAAGAATGAGGTACAAGACATAATTTTGAAAACTGCAGACAGCAACGCAGCAGATTTTATAACATGCATGAGAAGAACGACATTGAGTCCAGTTGGTGTGATGCTGGAGGATAGTCTTTGTGTGTGTTTTCTCTCTGACCAGGGGGCCACGTCTGACCAGACAACAAGAGAAACTTTGAGCTCTGCCTGCCCTCCCTTCTTGGCTCAGACTGAATTTGATATTCACGACATGTCTCTCACTGCCATATCACAGATAGCGACGACAACTCGGCTGGTGCATCGGGCTGTGCAAGGCTCACTCACATTCCCTCTCTCTCTCTCTGTCTTTTTCTTGACACCCTGCTACTGCTCCTCCTCCTTTTCCCCTCCCAATCTAACAAAGGAAAAGCCACAATGACTCATAGAGAAGTATAGTTTACTGCAGCTGGGATATCAGGAGCAGATTACAGGGAGAAAAGAAAAGAGAGCAGGTCTAGACAGAGATGATTAGAGAGAAAGATTAGAGTTCTGACGGCAGGGATGGTTAATGTAACCAAAAATCCAAAACGGTTTCCCAAAAGAGATGAGAAGAGCCACCCAAACATCACAGACACATCTCACACACACTCAGTGATACAGATGTTCTGCTGCTTTTGGAGTCAAGTCGGCAGAATATTCCTCCCCCCTGCCCCTGTCATAAGCCAGCTCTCAGACTCTCTGTGCTGTGCTCTGATTTTAAACATCGATCACTGTGCCACCTGCATTTGCTCTACCTCTTACCTTAAAACAGCTCCCACTTTTATGACATCAATACAAGCTCAGATTTAAGTACAACAAAATTATAGAGCACAAGGAAGATGTGGATTTAATTTAATTCAATTATGGAGCATTGTATCTTCTATATGTGTTGGAACTATCATGCAGCCACAGCGATGGTAATCCTGCGAAGAGACGGGGACAGTTGGAAAAAACTTCACAGTTATATCAAGGATTTTTTATTTTGTTTCACGTTATATTGGAGGTGATAATCCATGCCATGTGTTCTGTATTGTATCAAATACCCTGACATAATCATGATCAACACCTCCTCCTCCTGTCAGAGTTTATTAATGCAGCACAGTTATGTGGATCATTGTGTTAATAACATGACCGGGTTTTTAGGTATCCTGTTTTTGTAACTGTACATGTAAAAACAATATCCTGATTTCAGAAATTGGGATACTCCACTATCTGCTGAATGGGGAACAGCTGATGACAACTTCTACTTTACTATGTGGTGCAGGACAGTAGACAAAAGGATGGTGGAATAAAATCAAGTCAAAAAATGTGTTCACTGTGTAGAGCTGTTTTAGTTTTGTTGCTTACATTTTTTTCTCTTTTTGTATGACACATATAGATCTAAGTTAACTTTTTTATTATTATCTTTGCACTGTGTGAATGATGAATGTACTTATTCTTCTATGTTTGCTGTGCTGATCCCTTGCTGCTGTAACACTGCAAACTTCCCCACCGTGGGATGAACAAAAGTTTACCTTATCTTATTTTAAAATGCTGTTTGTCCGTTATACATCACAAAGCCATAGAGGACACACACTGCTAGTGCTGGACGATAATTCGATAACAATATATATCGATCGATAGACGTGTGGTGCGATAGAAAAAAAACGGGTCGATAAAATGTTCGATAGAAAAACACAGTTTCCCTTTCTTTTTCATCATAGCCTATCATGTAGCTTTTACTACAGTCATTACTTCCTCCAAACCAATCACAAACGCAGACCCAGGTACGCTACGGCACCAAGCCCAGCCCCTATCAAACCACAACAGACAGCACTTGTATTAGAGAAAATGTTACAGCAAGGAGAAGCGGAGGACATTGTCCCGAAAAAAGGTCTCAGTAGTTCTCCAGCATGGCAATGTTTTGGTTTTTAGAAGTCCGACAAAAAGCGAACAGCGGTCGTTTGCAAAATTTGCCGAGAATTAGTAAAAACCAAGTCTGGAAACACAACCAACTTGTTTTACCATCTAAACCGGTCGCAGCCGCAGGAGTACGAGCTGTGTCGGCCGCGCCGCGGCTCCACGTCGTCGGAGGAGGAATCCTCTGGAACCGCTGCTAGCACCAGCACAAAGCAAGTGAAGCAGACCAAACTGGACTTCGTTTCTTAACAAAAATACGACAAAGCGTCCAAGCGGCATAAGGACATCACCCATGCAGTAACATGCTCCATAGCGAGGGACATACTGCCAATAACTACCGTTGAAAAGCCTGGCTTCGACCAGCTTCTAGCCACTCTCGACCCGCGATATGAAGTGCTCGGCCGCAAGTATTTCTCAAACACAGCGCTTCAGGCATGAAAATGGGTCAGGGGTTGAAAAGGTGAGAAGGGTGCATCCCGTCCACTCATTAGCTTCTTAAAGTGGAAGAAAATGAGCTCATATTTTAGAAAGACGCGAGTATTTGGATCATGGCTACTAGCAGGGGGTGCATTCGGCAGGGGTGCAATCTACGACACAACACCGGCGTGGATAAGTCCTGCTTCTCGTGCTCAGTTTGCGTATTAAGTCTATCACATGATAATTAAAAAAAAATAAATCTCCCGACCCCGGGAGAAATATTTCAGTGTTCAGACAACAGGCTGTGGGCAGTTTCCCACACAGTTAAAATTGGTAGTATGCTATTCCCACCTAAAGCTATTCTGTTTATTTATATATTTGTTTGTTTTGAGTATTTTCATCAAAAGACTATTTAAATATTTATTTATCAGATTTTCTGGTCCCTTTAGTCTTTATGTTTGTCAGTATTTACTGACGTCACTTAGGCCGCTTAAGTTGATCTCTTTTTTTTTTTAAGTTCTTTTTTAAAAAACTTTCAGTTGTGGTAAAACAAAAAAAAAAGGTGGTTGAATAAAGGTTTGAATTTGAATTCAGTGCTTGTGTGTTCTTCATTAAAAGTAGGTCATTAAGCAATAGCATAAAACATCCAGGGCTGCAATTAAAATACATGTTAAATAATTATAATAATTATATCGATAATTATCGATATCGATCAATATGATTTATTTTTTATTGATATGCTTTTTTTCTATACCGTCCAGGCCTACACACTGCCCTGTATTTCCATGGCAACAGCCAACAGTATTTACTGCAGGTAATCCACTTAAATACATAAATAATAACACTATCTGCAGAACTGATACTTGTGTTTCACAAAATGAAAAGAAATAAACACTTAAAATACGTAAGTCTAAGTGTAATGAATTAAAGTAATGTGAATTTCAATATTTTAACAGAATTATTTAAATTTCTGCTGGTATTCTAATTCATTAAGGTGTACACACATTATCTATCTATCTATCTATCTATATATACATACATACATACATACATACATACATATATGTACACATATAGAAAATCTACTGTATTATACTTCTCTTCCTTTGTATTCTAATATATTCTCAGTATTTTTACAGTGATGTTGAACATCAAATTAATCAGCAGAACCTTTACTACAAGACCATATAAAGCTTTTTTACACCGCTGCATGCGGAACAAAAGATCAACATCTCAGATGAAAGCTGAAACTCCACAGTCCACTGATATAATGCGCTCTACACCAAAGTATCACAGAGATATAGGCCAAAAAGTTACAAAAACACAGATAGTTTTCCTAACTACTGTACAAATTCTCGAACCTTTGCTGTTTCGCCGTCAAAAGTTTATTTCTCCAATAAATCCACACTGCTTTCGGTAGGAGCTATGTCCTGTGTTACACTCTAAACTTTCCGTCCTTCAATGGAGGACTTTAGGACCCCGAGGAAGCCTTAAAGTTTTCGTATGTGGGCTTCAGCCTACCGGCGTTCTGCTGATTCTGATTTGGCGGATAGTACTATCAATCTTATTTTACTGAGTTTAGCTTCATTCTATTGGCTCTAATGATTCCATACAGGTGTCAATCACTCAAATCGAGCAATCCATGGCGCAGATATGAGTCCGCGCCAAGAATATTACAACGACACACTGGCGCGAACGGAGCATTACACTACGCACTACACTTCTTTTTCACGGTTGTGTTTTGATAATTTGCTTAATTTTCCTCCACTTTTTGGTAAACTGTGAGAGAAATGTTGCCAAGCAGGGGTTGAAGAAACTATTAACTACCTAGGAAGTGTTCAGACTACCGGAGGAGGATGCTGAGAGCACAGACAGTGATGAGTCGGATTACCGCCCCCCATCCTCAGAAAAGTACGGAATGTCTTAAAAATGATGAAATGAAAGATTTATTGCTGCCAGTAAAATAAAAGTAGCGACTTATATATGTGTATATATTGCGTATAGGCATGCTTATGTGTGTGTTTGGACTGCTACAGCACTGTGCATGTTTGTTTATCTCAGGTGGTCCATCTCTGCTCAGCCTGTGTGTGGGGGGGTGTGGGTGTGAGTGTGGATGGGTGGGTTGTATAGTTTTGTGGGGCAAGGCAGTTGTGGGGTTTGGGTGGCTGGGTGAAAGGGCATGTGGGATTGTTTTCAATGAACTGTAAAGCACTTTGTGTCACATCTTTTGTATGCAAAGTGCTTTATAAATAAAGTTAGATTGATTAATTGATTTTTTTTTTTACTTCGTTTTATTGTTTTTTTGTGTGTCATTGAGTAAAAATGTTTCCTTGTTTTTCTTTTTTTCCACGTTTGTATTCACAGTGATGAGGATGAGGGCAATAAGCCAGGACCTTCTTCCTCAAAGCCTGAAAAAGAAGCAGGTCAACGCCCAGCTCCTCTCCAAGAGAAGGAGTTGAGGTATCACAGGGTCTTGTTCACAAGCTACCCGGGAATCCCACTGGATCCGGAACGGCTCCGCTCTGCTCTAGACCGGCAGGCGGATCAAATAGGCAAGCACACAGCACCCACCGGATCTGATCCGCCTCTGCCATTGGAGGGGAAGCGCTTGCGAGATTACCGAGTCTCGATTTCTTGTGAGACTGGACAAGATCTTGTGTATTTCCCTGTGAGACATTGAATGAGATCCGCCGATCGGTGTTTATAAATGGCGGTGTACATTAACGCCCACAACCCTGGCCTCTCCTATTATCAAGTTAAGAACAGTTAAACGTATTGGATTTATTTTATTTTGAAAATTAACCGGATATTTTACTCTGTAGCCACATGCAACTTCTGCTGCTGTGGCCTCTGCAAAAATAGAAGCCTTGCGTATCTAAGGAGAGGGCGCTGGAAGGATTGTACGGCATCACTCACATTGATTATAGTTCTTGCATATTTGATCCGCCTGCCATGCTGGATCGAAGCGCAGCCGTACTGGATCCTGTGGGTTTTAGCCGTTAAGAAGAAACGAAGATCGAAGGACGGATTTGTGCAGCATCAGCAGTGATGCAGATGCTCACAGATCTGTTGTGTTTAAGAGGGAGCTGAGCCAAAAGGTAAAGCTCTCGATATACCGGTTGACCTACATTCCTACCCTCACCTATGGTCACAAGCTGTGGGTACCGAATAAAAGAACAAGATCGCTGGTACAAGCAGCCAAAATGAGTTCCCTGCACTCTCCCTTAGAGATAAGGTGAGAAGTTCAGTCATTCTGGAAGGGCTCAGAGTAGAGCTGCTGCTCCTCCATGTTGAGAGGAGTCAGATGAGTTGGCTTTGGGCATCTGATCAGGACGCCTCACTGGTGAGGTGTTCAGGGCATGTCCTAAGGGAAGACCTAGGGCACACTGGAGAGGCTATGTCTCTAAGCTGGCCTGGGAACACCTCAGGATTCCCCGGGAAGAGCTGGCCGTAGTGGCTAGGGAGAGGGAAGTCTGGGCTTCCTTGCTTAGGCTGCTATCCCCGCGACCGGACTCTGGCACTTCCCTCAATCCATCGATCTTCAGCCATTTATCCAACACTAATAATACATTTTATTTGTAGTGCACTATCCATTAAATAATAAAAAAAAACACGCTGTACATTTTTAAGTCAAAATCCTGTTAATGCTTTCTACTGCTTACTAATCCATGAATCAGAGAGGCATTGGCATATTCCTGCAGCAACAAGAAGCAGAGCTACTCCACCCTAAAGCTACAAATGAAAGTGTATTTACAGTACTTCGTCTGTGTGTGCATGAGAGCAGAAATGCATGCACACTCATGCACACACAAACATACACACATTTTGTACTCATTAACATCCATGCTGAATGGCACAGCATGGCAGGTTCAGAGAGTCCCCCCCCTCCAGCAGTGATTCAAGCTTTCCTCAGCCGGCCAAATTCCTTCCCTCTTTCTAAACAGGCTCATAATCTGCCTTGAAGCTCTGCAGAGTCCTCCTGCAGCAAAGCCAGGAGCCCCGAGGGAGCTTAGAGGGGGAAGTCTCCATCTCTCCCCCGGCTGGTAGACAAAGCCCGGGCCCCTTTTTTCTCCCTCTGAGGGGACAATAGTGCAGAGCAGAGAGGAAGAGCCCGACACAGAGTGGAGGATCTGAAATGACCTACCGCATGTGCCAACACAGGCCGCTTTTCTCCTCAGACCACACAGGAGCAGTTTGACAGGAACCAGTTTTAGAAAAGATGAGGGCCCACTTTCCAAACCTGCAGCTCTCAGCAGGCTGCTGCATTACAGCACACACTTCACATGAAACACACCTCCATTCAAAGACAGAGTGTTTCCTGTCATCCCTCTTTCCTCTCTCACCAACAGGCAGCATGCATCTCACCATGGAAGTGAACTTCTTCTTCTTCATCGTACACAGAGAGCAGAAACTGTGTTAAGCACTTGAGGAAAATCCTCAGTCAATGTGTTTTGGTTGAATCTTTGGCAAATAAGAAGAAACAAGGAGGAGAAACTAAAAGACTGGAAGTTGTGATAGTCTGGTTTTTTTTTTTTGGACAGACAGAGAGCTGGACGGTAACTTACATTTTTTGCGTGATTATGTTTTTGGAGATCATTTGACACTGTAGATTTGCCGCAGTTGCAGTATATTTACTTCCATGTTGCACATCTAGCTCATGGCCTTACTCTCATCCAGCTCTTATGCCTCGAATGTTTGTGCTTTAAGGTTTGTCCAGTGCTGCTGGTAGAGCAGCTTCACAATTGTAGTACGAGACTTTTTTTAGTAGTCTAAATGTTTTGCAAGGAGTCAAAGGAAGAGCATTGCAGGTTGCTTCATTCACTTGTTAACTGTCTAGGATACACCTTCAGAATAAAAGCACTGTGTGAAAATAAGGGCAGTCACCAAACCACACAAATGAATTAGATCAGGCTTTTGCTTTATAAACCATCCAGGGAATGTAACCATATTTTACCGCTCATTAGAGATAGGCAATTTTTCTGTTTTTTTAATGATTACTATTTGGCCCCCCATGGTCTTTTAAATGATTCTTGACACTGAAGAAGCAATATGTTACCTGCTGTGTCGCCCCATGCCTTCCTGTTCATTGAATGAAGCATCCATCCCCTCCTCCTTAACAGGAGAGCACGGGCACAGCCTCCCTTCTTAAACAGCTCTCACTTTAATTTCATCACAAGCAGCTCGGATCACATGGGGCAAAGTTTGGGAGCACAGAGAAGTCGCTGCCCTCACTAGGATAAATGTTGGACTGCTGTATTTCTAACTTCCCCTGATGTCTATTTTCAGAACCTGTGAATGGGGGAATGTTTTCATTGCATTAAATTGAAACATCAGCGGTATATTTGGTCTAAAAAGGCTCTACACTGATGGGAGACTGGACCTGACTCTCTCAGGTGGTTCCTGAATTTCATTGTTCTCTTTTGAAGAAGCTGGCTCTGCTCTGCAGCCATGGGTCAGATAGTTTCTATCTCAGCACTCTGTATTCATTAATGGGCCCCTAACCTCACTACCGTATAAAAGGATTGGCTCAGTGACACTTTTGAAAATCAAATCCTTATTGGGGGTTTAAGTTAAAAAGAGTGTTTCTTATACTGTTAAAGGCTCTGAGAGCTTTATCTGCTAGTGCACTCACAGTCCTAACAAGATGTCCTGAGACAGTGATAATGAGGCCAAGGTATGTGTATTCCATGGCATGACTTAATTTTGTGTCTCCAAATTAAACTGCTTCGCGGCCATGTTTCCTTTCAAAAGATTATGATTTTAGTTTTTTTCTAGATTCACATAGTTTTGCCTGTTTGCACAGCTGATATGGAGGATGTCCAAAAAGTCCCACAATCCCTGTTCTGATGGTGAAAGTAGTAATAAGTCATCAGCATAACTTAACATCTTAACCATTTAAGTCAAGTGAAATCAAGCTTTTCTATTGTCCGTTTCTGCCATATGTGAATAAATACACAGGAATTGATTAAAAGAATGTTTAAAAAGTTTGCTACAAACAGAGTATGCATTTTAAACATTGACAATAGCCATCAATCATGTTTCTCTAATCATGGAAAGGCCATAATAATGAATCAGAATCAAATTATTTGAGCAGCCCCAGGTGTGGATGAGTACAGTATGATCAGTTTTCAGAGGGTCACAGAAAAACAGTTATTTTATTCCTTAAAGGTGGGGTAGGCAGGATCTGAGGAAGTGCCAGTTTTTGGGAGAAATCTTGAATGTAAACACTACCCCTCCCAACCAGTTTTCCCCTCAGCTCCTCCTCTCCCCTCCCTCTCTGCTCCAGCAAGCCCCGCCCATAAACAGACGCTCCTGCTCGCTCGTACCGTTCCAATTAAATCCAGATATAATGTAGATAAATACTTAAGATGATTACAAATGGAGCTCAGTCAACGTGAAAGTAAAAAAAAACAGACTACCAACAAACACAATGTTTGCAGGACTTCTACAACTAGGATAAAGTGACATACTCCAGGACTCGAGGTAAACAGTTTAGCGGCACTACGACACACAGCAGGTCCCGTTAGTCAAGAAACACTTCTGTTACAGACACTTGGCTTACTTTGTTAAAGTTGTTTACCTGTCCAGCAGAAAGGTTACAGGGTCTGTAAGATCCCAAAGCGTTTATGCCTCATAGATGTTGACCGGCTTTTTAGCTCTTATCTGGTCTACCTCGTTTTTAAGTGCCAGTTGTTCTGTCAGAGTCTGCAGTACTTACTTTGTTTTCTTGCTTGTGTTGGCGGTCGTGACCAAAGGAGGATTCAGACAATTTTCCTTACTTTCTGGTTGGTTTATACTGTCCAATATTGTAGCACGCTGACTTTGTTTGGGCTCGTGAACAAAATGGGAGAGCAGCATCTATCTCACAACCAATCAGCACTAAGGAGCAGCATCCACCGTACAACCAATCAGGTTGGGGGAGGCAGAGAATGGCTTTGTTTACATTTAGAAAGAGCGGGCTGCTCTAAAAATTTTAAATGTTGACCACACAGACATAACAGAACACAGCAATATCGTTACATCGCCAAATGTCATCAATAACTAATAGATATTGACTGATATTAAAAGCTCTTTTGTATAAACACCACAAAAAAGATGCTTCTGTAATGAGTTCCTGCCTACCCCACCTTTAAACGGTCGGCCAGAAGACCTTCTCATAATGCAGGTAAGTCTGAACTATCCAACTGTGCAGACTACAGAGTTAACTTCTAAAACGCCCTGCTGACATGGGGCCCCAATCATCATATGGTTGAGCATTAGTGTGGAGCAGCTTTGAACCTCTCTTTGTGATGCCCCTCTGTGATCAACATGGCTTTTCCTCTCTTTAATACACCCAGCTATCGCATGTGACACTCTTCAGAGAAAACCCCTTGACTGTAATGTAATTAGAAGCAAGTGAAGCGGCAGTTAGAGGATGATAATTGAACTGGAGTTAGCAACAGGCAGAGAGAGGAGAGTAAACAGTGGTGGGGACGATGACCTTCAGCCTAATGAGGCAGAGTCCTTTTATCCATTATCCTATTACCAGATCTGGAGGAATTCCTTCAGATGGCATTAAGGGTTCCCCCGGAGACAGCTAAACCTGGGAGGGGGCAGGAGGAAGAGGTCCTCCGTTTTATCACCCCCTAGGGTCCATGCTTTGTTCCCTCCTCCTTCATTCAGGTCAATTGGTCGTGCTCTTCCTTGCTCCACTTTTGCACACACACACACCCGCAAACACTCAAATGCACGTCTGAGTGAGGAACAGAGTACCTCTTACTGCAAGGGTGGGAGTGGGTTAGGGGTCTGTTGGTACATCTGGGTCAAGTCTGTCGGTATAAAGAGTGAAGATCAATGAAGGCAGCCGTGTAAGTGGAGGAAGCTTACAGTTAACTATTAAAGCCCACTATTGTGACACTGATATAGGCGTGTCCCTAATGAATCATATCCACTTTGTGTTTCCTAATATGTGCCGCACCGTGGCACAAAATTCTGTACAGTACTGACATCTAATACTCTATATAGGTCAATGGATCAATGTGGCTCTTGTGTGAATAAAATACGAAATATAAAAGCAGAAATTCCCAGTGGAAATATGTGCATGCGAATTAGGGCTGGGCGATATGGCCTCAAATCAATATCATGATATATTGAGCAGTTCACCTCGATAACGATAAATGGACGATAACTACTCCACAAGCTGCTCACCCCCTCCCACATTAACTTCATCTACTTCAGCTGCCACTCCAGCCACTACAACTTTTTAACCATCCTCCATCTCCTCACCTGTCTTTCCCTCTTCGTTACAGATTGGAGGGGGTGGAGTCACGTCTCAGACAGTGGACAGCATCCTAAAAGCAACATGAAACCATAGCCTACCTACACACATCCAAAACCAACTTTTATTTATTTATTTTTTGATACCGAATATATTGACATGGGCAAAATTACGTCAGTTATTGTCATAAATTTCGGTATTGGTAAATTTTTGGTTTATCACCCTGCCCTAATGCAAATATAGCTGATGCATATAGAGATGCAGGTGATGATATTTCACCTGCAATCACTGGAAATTTCACTTTTTAATTTCATCGGCTTCATTTTACAGCTGAGAACTTGTGTTCAGTGTGTGTCCTCCACTGGTGTATGATTGTGAGTGTTGTGTGGTGGTGGTCGGAGAGGCCGTAGGCGCAGAATGGCAGCCACGTTTCCACCACCACCAAAGTGTGACTGTGTGAGCGAATGAATGATGTATCCAATGTAAAGCGCTTTGAGGGTCTCTGATAAAGCGCTATATGAAATCTGATGCATTATTATTATTAACATGAACACATGAAGTTGGTTATCACTGATGACAAAATGCAACCCTGAGTACCAGATTGTAAAACCACCCCCTTGTTGTTTCATGCACGTACAGTAAGCGTGCTACGATAGCAGGCCAGCCACCTGATACCAACAAGGGAAAGCGGAGAAAGTAGGGAAGCATGGTATTGAAGGCTGATCAGTAGGAGTGTGCACAGCTTAGGTCAGAGGAGGACAGGGAAGCTATGGCCTGGGGCTGCAGGCAGGGCCACATGGTGCAGATGCTCTGCTGACTGCTTACAGCAGGGGAAACACGCTGATGAGTTATTAGGTGCCATACACAAAACTTGCTTGGGAACTCCTCCCTTCTTAAGGTTGGACAACAAAATCAACAACAAGATAATGAAGGTAAGTGATGGGGGTTTGGTGGAACTATAAAGACAAAAAGAGAAATAAATAAATAGAGACTGAAAGAAAGAGATCCCTCGCTGCTTCGATGCCTTCCAGATGGTGATGTATTTTATTTCTGGAAACACAGAGCTGGCTCCGACTTTGGCTTGCCACGAGTGATACATTAACTGAGCAGGGGGAGAGTCAAACTGTGGAAATCTGCAGGGCACCCACCCCAGCACACAAACTGCAGACACACAGCTTCATCATTGCTGCCTCTCTAAGCAGCACTGAGGCTCTCCTAACCGCAGATTTAACAGAGAACAATGCAGACTGCTGTTGGTGTGTACACTTGTAAAAAGGGCTCCATCAGACAAACAGCTTTATAAACTCACATGAGCTTCCTGACTTGTCAGTTTTGCACCACTGAGTTCAAGTGTACCATCAACTTTCTTTGCTGGCTAAACTTCCATTACATCTCTTCTAAAGGTTCTCATCCACTGTCCTCTGCAGTCAGTCAAACTTTCTGGCTGCATTCCTGACTGATTTCTTTTATTTTACAATCAACCATTTTTAGGAAGCTGTATGAGCTGATGACAGTGAATGTTAAGCAAATAGAGATAGACAAATAACCCACACCCAGCATGCAGACAGTTGTCACTGTGGCACTTGCTGGTTTAACTTCCTGAATACGAAAAAGAAAATGAAAAAAGTGGGATTATAACTCCAGAAAGCTGAGTTAATGTTTCATGTTTATATTCTTGATCTTACATGAATCTTGTACTCCCTTGAGAGTTGCGTTCAGTAGCAGAATGGCCGACAGTTTCAATGTGCAGAGCAACATGCGCACCTGCTATACATGCATTGATGTACGTGTTATAGAGCTGATACAACTGCAATGATACAATGGCATTTTGGAAAAAAATACACGTCACAGAGCAAAATAAAACCAACAGATGGCAGTGAGAGTCAAAACACGACAAAATTAAAGGTTCGTACACAGTGGCAGATAACATGCCATCAAAACTGGACGCAGACAGGAACATTTACACTCACCGGCCACTTTATTAGGTACACCATGCTAGTAACGGGTTGGACCCCCTTTTGCCTTCAGAACTGCCTCAATTCTTCGTGGCATAGATTCAACAAGGTGCTGGAAGCATTCCTCAGAGAGCTTGGTCCATATTGACATGATGGCATCACACAGTTGCCGCAGATTTGTCGGCTGCACATCCATGATGCGAATCTCCCGTTCCACCACATCCCAAAGATGCTCTATTGGATTGAGATCTGGTGACTGTGGAGGCCATTTGAGTACAGTGAACTCATTGTCATGTTCAAGAAACCAGTCTGAGATGATTCCAGCTTTATGACATGGCGCATTATCCTGCTGAAAGTAGCCATCAGAAGTTGGGTACATTGTGGTCATAAAGGGATGGACATGGTCAGCAACAATACTCAGGTAGGCTGTGGCGTTGCAACGATGCTCAATTGGTACCAAGGGGCCCAAAGAGTGCCAAGAATATATTCCCCACACCATGACACCACCACCACCAGCCTGAACCGTTGATACAAGGCAGGATGGATCCATGCTTTCATGTTGTTGACGCCAAATTCTGACCCTGCCATCCGAATGTCGCAGCAGAAATCGAGATTCATCAGACCAGGCAACGTTTTTCCAATCTTCTATTGTCCAATTTCGATGAGCTTGTGCAAATTGTAGCCTCAGTTTCCTGTTCTTAGCTGAAAGGAGTGGCACCCGGTGTGGTCTTCTGCTGCTGTAACCCATCTGCCTCAAAGTTCGACGTACTGTGCGTTCAGAGATGCTCTTCTGCCTACCTTGGTTGTAACGGGTGGTTATTTGAGTCACTGTTGCCTTTCTATCAGCTCGAACCAGTCTGGCCATTCTCCTCTGACCTCTGGCATCAACAAGGCATTTCCGCCCACAGAACTACCGCTCACTGGATATTTTTTCTTTTTCGGACCATTCTCTGTAAACCCTAGAGATGGTTGTGCGTGAAAATCCCAGTAGATCAGCAGTTTCTGAAATACTCAGACCAGCCCTTCTGGCACCAACAACCATGCCACGTTCAAAGTCACTCAAATCACCTTTCTTCCCCATACTGATGCTCGGTTTGAACTGCAGGAGATTGTCTTGACCATGTCTACATGCCTAAATGCACTAAGTTGCCGCCATGTGATTGGCTGATTAGAAATAAAGTGTTAACGAGCAGTTGGACAGGTGTACCTAATAAAGTGGCCGGTGAGTGTATAATACATTACAATACATGAACTTTATTTATCCCCAAAGGAAAATTAATTCAGGATAAAATATTGCCAAAACAGGACAGAACTCTGACTACAGATGACAAAAAGACCAAATTTAATCAGCCACCAGCAACAACAGGTACATAGAGCCAGTACAAGCTGCCACCCCAACACACAAAGAACAAAACTTTTAACTCATCATAACACTTGCAGTGGTGGTGTAATGAAGGCTTCAGGCAGCTGCATGATTACAAAAACAGCGCTGCATTAATTGTATGCATATGACACCAAAAGCATAAAAAATTCATAAGTTTGATAAAGTTGGTTATATGGTAAATCGACTATGTTCATATAGCACTTTTGCAAGGCTTCTGACGACTTGCTTCACATCACATTCACTCATTCACATCACATTCAGACACTGATGGCAGAGCTTTTGTGTACAGAGCCCATCAGTTTGTGACTAATTCCATTCACAAACCCGCCTACACAGGGTCAAGTAGCTACCAAGGATGCTTAGGCATGTCAACAGCCACTGGGATTGAACCCCTGACCTTCCAGTTGGAAGACAACCTCTGAGCCACAGCAGCCTCTACTACTGAATCACAGCAGACTCTACCACTGAGCCACAGCAGACTCTACTACTGAGCCACAGCCGACTCTCCCACTGAGCCACAGCAGACTCTACCACTGAGCCACAGCAGACTCTACTACTGAGCCACAGCAGACTCTACAACTGAGCCACAGCAGACTCTACCACTGAGCCACAGCAGTCCTACTACTGAGCCACAGCAGACTCTACCACTGAGCCATAGCAGCCTCTACCACTGAGCCACAGCAGCCTCTAACACTGAGCCACAGCAGACTCTACCACTGAGCCACAGCAGACTCTACTACTGAGCCACAGCAGACTCTACTACTGAGCCACAGCAGCCTCTACTACTGAGCCACAGCCGACTCTCCCACTGAGCCACAGCAGACTCTACCACTGAGCCACAGCAGACTCTACTACTGAGCCACAGCAGACTCTACTACTGAGCCACAGCAGCCTCTACTACTGAGCCACAGCAGACTCTACAACTGAGCCACAGCAGCCTCTACTACTGAACTACAGCAGACTCTACAACTGAGCCACAGTAAACTCTCCCACTGAGCCACAGCTGCCCAAGTGTTAGGTGTGTGATCCCCTTTAATATTTACTCCTTCAGTGCCTGTTTTGAGGGAAATGTAAACACACACACAAAGTAAAATGCACATACACTTGCAATTATTTTGTTACATATCATATTGTTTTGCATCATTGGTCACCTAGTGATTACCACTCCTTTCAGAAATGTTGGCAATAATGGAACCTTTTGGTTGTTATTACCGTAAGTGCACTGACTGACTGTATGGTGACTGGAAAGAGCACATTTTCCAGCCTATTTAGCCAACAACTAGTGCTTCTTTTACTGCTTTTATTGGCAGGAGGCACAAGGATGAACAGCAGCATCACCAGCTCCATTTAGCCAACACAGACACGGGCATCATTAAAAAAAGAAGCTTGCGCATCCGCCAAACAAGCTTGGAAGACATATTGCCACAAAGCGAATTGGAGTCATGACGACTGAGCTTGCGTGGTGGATCAACACCCCAAAACAGTGACGAGTTTGCACCCCTGGTTTGTGCTGTTTAACTGTTTAAAGACATTTTCAGCATAATTTTATGCAGATCTGTTTATGATTACTCAAAAAAAGTAGAGGCACAAAGCATTGTCTCATCTTAAGTCAGACTAAATGCCAATTGTGTGTTACATGCCATGCCCACCACACCCTTTGCCCGCCTGTTTTATTTAGATTTGACATTTGAATGACTGTCATAAGATAAATCAAAGACATTGGGCTTTACATTCTAAACAGTTTAGCCCCTGTATATGATTTTTATGGTTCATTTTTGTCTCTCTGATGATTGACTTAAAGCTGCAGTTCAAACACTGCCTTTCCAGAGAATGCACCTCTTAGCAAAAAAGTGGTCATATCTCTTAAATAATGTATTATATCTGTAAATATAAATACAATCATGAATCTTGCATTAGTATTAGGAACAATATGTTTCCAAACTGGGAGCCTGATATCAGGACAGTGTTCAGAGTTTACTCATCTCAAGTCAGTGAATTGCTCTTCATACATTCACTACCATCAGCCTCTGTGGTGTCAGAGTGTGTGTGTGTGTGTGTGTGTGTGTGTGTGTGTGTGTGTGTGTGTGTGTGTGTGTGTGTGTGCAGCCTCTTTCTATCAGTTGAGCCGCATGTGAACGTGCAGGTTCATGACACAGTCAAATTAGAGCTGACACCCTCACCCTGACCTACTGTCCTCCATCTCCCTGCTCCACATCCTCTAATCCACACCGCGTTGTATCCTGTTGGGACACAGCAGCCGAGTGTCACCACAGCCTGAGGGGTGGGTTCAGCCCCCATTTATCCATAGAGAGCTGACCCTGCTGGGAATACACAGTCACCATACTGTAACAATATTTTCACCTCTCAAAGAGAGGTGGAGAGAAGGTGCAAAAACCTTAAGACAGTTTAGCCGGAGTGATAATGCCAAGCTTGGTGCAGGAAATGATTCTATTGTTTGTGGCGCAGGGATTAAGGTAGCACAGAGCTGGGCTCTAATGGATTTATTAGAGAGAAGGGTAAATCAAATCTATGGTGGGGCTCAGCCCCTCCTTGTAACAGCACACAGTGTGTGTCTGCACTAATTCTGACATCAGGAATCTTTTCAAGTATGGACTTTGTCTGGGCTTCCACCAGTGGTATCTTTATTTTCATCTATCAGCTCTCCACCACTGCTACATGCTGCATGTTAATGTACTGTCACACTGGCTCCTGCTGTCTTAGTCTGTCTGTATAGATTGCAGAAATTACACCAGAGAGCTTTTACAGGATTCAGTCTTTCCTCTTTTGTTCCAATATCAGGTCTCAGATCTGATATCTTTGCCTGCTGACAACGCTGCCTATTGTCCATACTGAAGTTAGCATCTCATTTAAAGCTTCTGAGGAAAGGTTATGGAAACAAGGTCCTGATCTAGAACCACTATATCTAGATGTGCCAGACAGCGGACTGGATCATCTTACAGAGTCTGAAGACTTTTGAAACCTTTGTTTGTAGAAAATAGCAGTAAATGTTTGTTTACTATGTTTTTTCTACCCAGACCACAGACAAAAAGGGTTTCAGAGAGACTATAGCCTCTAATTTAAGGCCCTGTCCACAGGGAAACAAATTCAGGAGGAAACGCAAAAAAAGTTTTTTTGTCATATTGGCGTTTAATCCTCACAAAATTGGCATTTCAGGTGACTGTCAACGATATTTTGTAAAACGCGCATAAACAGTACACAATGACCTTTTGGTTTCTGTGTAGACGCCCGTCCACATCTCTCTTGAAATGATTACATCCCAAACAGCATTTATACATAATTTGTATTCTTCTTCTGTCTTTTGGTGCATTTCCGGGGCAGCGTTACAGCGCCACTTACTGGCTTGGTGTATGAACTACATTGTTTATGCACTTTCATCATGTTTACGCAGATATTTCTTGAAACGACTCCATCTTTAAGAAAAACTTTTTCGAAACAAAACAGCGATATATCGCTGTCAGAAGTCAGATGTATGAGGTCTACTTATAGCAGTTCTGGATCAGGACTTGGTCCACACTGATGCTGAGGTAAAACTGAAATGAAAGGTGGAATGGCCTTTTCCTGCATTTTCCCTACTTAAATAGCATTTCCATTGTTCTTATACTGTTCAGAACAAGAATAATGCAGTTCAGCTGTCCTTTTTTCTTGCATATTCACAACTGAAAAAAAGGTTTCACAAATCTGGCCAATACCCAAATTAGTCTGCAGCCTTTCTGCAATAATCTAGTCCAAATCTAAGAAGTCTGGCAATGTGGCTCCAGATCTGAGTCTGGTTTAATGAATTTAGAGTAAAATACCCCCCTTTTTTACACAAATATAGATTAAGGTTTCATAAATCTGAAAATTTGATTTTGAGAGCCTGCTCTGTACCCTTATTTTTTTTTTTTTTTTTTTTTTTTGCATTTTCCCAAATAGGGTTAAGGTTTCTCAAAAGTGAATCCATGTTTTAGAGAGACTGTACTCTCACGACAATGATTTGCACCAATCTTGACAAGCATAGGTACTGGGGTTTTTGATCAGAACCTGGTCCAATGTGGTCTCAAGTTTTTAAAAAAGGTGAAACTGCCATTTTATTGCATTTGGCGCCTGTGCAGCCGAAACAGCCGACCATTCAGTCCACTTTCTCTAGCCCAATGCCTTACAACAAAACATCAGAGACACAAAGACCTCACAGATGCAGAAGCTTATTCTATTGCAAAAGACATACTACCAATACGCACTGTTAAATTTCATTTTTTATATATGGTGATATGAAAAAAATAAATTGTGATAAACTTTTTTCCATATTGCCCAGCCCTAATAAGGACCCAGTCAGATGTGGTCTTGAAATAGGGTTAGCAGTACAATCACACTTTCTTGCATACTTCCAACAAAGTATAGGTCTAACAGATGTTATGCTGTCTTAGGAGAAGTCTGTAGACTCTCTGAGAGAATGCAGTCCAGATCTGATAAGATCAGGACTGCTGATCAACATCAACATTAACATTATGCTTGTCATTTTATTTCACAATGGAGATGCAAACGTTCAATAATCTGTCAGCTGTTACTGATTTAACTTGAATAACAACAAAAAAGCTCATAGAGGATGCAGTTTACTGTTTGTGAACACTCCACAGGTTGTTACAAACACAATAAAACCGCCTTGAGGGAAAAATGTAAGCAGTCTCTGAATGACACATGTTGCAACTGGAGGCACAAGGAGAGCCCTGAGCCAGTGGAGTCCCCCTCCACCATAAGCATGGCATGGTAGAGCAGAGGGAGCGAAAACAAAGCCCAGCCGTGTGAGGAGGGGGGAGCCATGCAAGACTCCCCCGCTGCAAGAGCTTGTCTGCATGCCACCAGCACGTCGTGGTGCTCCACCGTGTCACCACCGTACAACACCTTCCTGTTGTCACTTTGCATATAAAAAAACAGATCAGTTATGTCTCCCCCCGATCCACACGGCGCATACGTGTTTATGTGCACGCGTGTCCACACAGCAAACAAGACACCACGTAAAGCGCCGCGTGGAGGAGCGCTGCAGCCAGGAATGCCCAACCACCATTAGCGTCATTAACAACCACTCAGAAGAAACACAAAAGCTGTCATACCTGCAGGTGTAGCTCCAAATATCCGCACCACCGGGACTTTCTTCACGTCGCTCTCTCTGAAATCAGAGTAGCACACGTCCAGATCTTTGATGGGACTCGCCAGATAGAAGTCAGCGGTGACGATCCGCACTGAAAACATGACTGCCGCGTCCGCGATAGAGGACCATCCGATGGAAAAAAAGGCAAATGACTACTGCGAGGACTCCATGTGTGAGGGTAACCTTAGTCGATACACAAAATCGGACGGTGTGGTAGCTGTCACGACTGTAGAGCGACGTCAAAGCGGAGGGAAAGCCCTGGAAAAACGCAAACAAAGATTGTTGACGCCTCCGTCGCCGCTGAGGTTCCGCTGCGGCCGCAGAGCTAAACTCGACAGCGGCGGGTAACAGTAGGGCGTTTGGCAGCTGGTGGATCCATGCTTGGCTTGTAATTATGGCTGTCCTGTAATTTTTAGCTCTCTTCGCTCGTGTTGTTTTTTCAGCCAGGAAGACGTGTCCTCGGCGCCCTGTATGGAGCGTTACCTTTCCAAATCACGCCTCAGAACTAGCCCCCACCAGTCTCGTTTGTCAGAAGACAGCCCCCTAGGCTCCGCTCCTTCCTCCATAACAGGCTAACCCTCGATTTATGGCTGTAAGTTAGACCCGGGAAAGTCAGCGCATAACATCCGGCTGTAGTTTTCAAAATAAAAGTCAAGAAAACGCCGTAGTGGCGCAGTCTATTAAAACAGAATAAAACAAGCAGCGAATTTTTAGAGATTTATCTGGGGATATTCCGGCATGAGATTAATTTAGGGTCAAACACACTGTAACACCAAGTTAGACACCCCATCGAGAGATTGATATTGCCGACAACTTGCTTCTCTAGTTGTACCAACTTTAGTAACGACCGCACCATAGCAATACACAGCGGTCTGAGGAGCCATACACAAACCTCAACCAAAACACCACTCTATAGCCACAAATAATGCTCAGAACAGCGCCTAACTTCATCAACAGTACATATAGGGTCCCAGCCACAGCACTAGCCACCAAACATCCTTTTAACTTTGCCTAATTTCTTTAGCAAAGAGACTAAACACAACTCACCTACTCTCTTCAAGCAGCCACTTGTTTGTACGGAGACCTCAGGCCAATCCATTACGGGCTGCTGCGGGGTGCCGCCGCTCAAGGAAGAATATTTATGACCATTTCCTCATGAAAATGCAATCAGACTGAGATGCCAAGGCAGAAGAACTACCGCGTTTGCTGTGCAAAATTATTCATATGGTGATTATGCTTTGAGAATAAACTAAAGTCACCGTTGTAGTTTACAGTTAGCAGCCAGCTGTCTGTACCACAAGGGTTAACAATGTTTTGTCCACCCAGCACCACATTGTCATAAGTATAAAGACTCTGATAATACTGTCCAAAAAGCTGAGACTTGTGATATCCCCCTTCAAAACAGGATTACTAGGGATGCTTATTGACTACATTTACAACTGAAATCTTGTCCTTTACTTAATTTTCGTTATTTATTATATTTTATCTCTAAACGAACCTTGGTTATGTTAATAATATGGCTTAATCTTGTAATTGTGATGTCTTTATACATGTAATTACATGGCTTTGCTATCATAAGATCTTTTCTTTTATTATGACATGAATCTTTTTATATAATAGCTTTCATCTAGTAAAAAATACTATATTCTTGTAAAATTAAACGACTTTTAACTTTGCTTTATAACAACCCTTTTCCATAAAATAACAATTGATTAAAAATGCTAATGAATCGAGAATTCTCTTTTAAGAGCTTACTTTCCTGTGATACCTGCTTCATACCACATAAAGCACTTAGGATTAATAAAACACAAACTCTGTTTTTCACGCTGATGCGTTTAAGGACTTTTATTTTGAAATTTAAGACTGTTGGAAAAGGAAACAGGAAACAGTACCGGGGGACATAAAATAAAGCATGACGATTTTCCTGTAATCTACCGCCGCTGCATCTAAACAAGTCCAGACACAGACAGGACAGAGAGCCGGGAAGTACCACCGTTCCTCACTAACACACTGCCAATGGATCACAGATTTGTGTGAACGAAAAAAAGCCTGGTTACGTAAGACAGTCAACATAAGGATGGGGAGGACATTTACCATAAAGTAGCCTAATGTCAAATACGACATGGATGTATAGATGGATGGATCTTTGATGGTATGGGGATCATAAATGTCCTTTGCATGGGTAGCTTATACACCCACAAAGTCTTCATTAATGTGGAACGACATATACAGGTTTTTGAGCAAGTTCTGCTACCATCCAGACAATTTTTTTTCAGGGATGTCCTTCATATTTCAGCAAGACACTGCCAAACTATATTCTGCACATATTACAACAGCATGGCTCCATAGTCGAAGACTCCTGCTATTAAACTGTCCTGATTGCAGTCCTGACTTGAGAACATCTTAAGCATCATCACAAAAAAAAACAACAACAAAGGAGATCCTGAGCTGTTGGGCAGAAATCCTATATATGTCAAGAAAGGGGCAACATTTCACTTTCCAGACTCCAGAAACTGGTCTCCTGCGTTCACTAACATTAACAGTGTTTGTAATAGAAGAGCTGATGACACAATGAGAAATATTACCCTGTTACTACTTTTTACAAACATGATCCTGGAACAACTTTTTAAAGCATGCTTCTGCCATCAAATTTTTAATTAAATATAAAAGTTTTATTCACATTTTTTACACAACTTTTTTGCCCTCTTTCTCAGACTTTGGGAGCTTTAATTCATTTTTATTCCAGCATACGTTGGTAATTCCTCCTCCCTAAAGTCACTACATTTAGCAGTCTTGAAACTCCCTTATCAGACTTTTAACCTTTAAATATTCCCGAAGCACACTTCCTCTGCAGCTCTTTCAGCACCTGTGTAGATGACAATGTGTGTAATGTCTCTTTGCCTCCTTTGTCTCACCACAGTTCAGTGTTCCTCTCAGACTCTTGTATTGGTCTGACCATGCAGCAGTGGAGGTGGGTGTGCTGAGCTCACTGCTTTCTGCTCTTCCGGTCATTACCCTCCTGAACAGCTGGTCTGGTTGGGTTCATTTAGGGGACATCACTCTCAACGACTCCCAGAGTGATGAAAACATTTTATTAACATTTTCTTGCTGATAGGGAGGGACCCTGAGTGTGTGAAGAGGGTGCTGAGCATGAGCGAGAGCCTGGCCTTGTTAATGAACCAATCAGCAGACGCCAGCTTGGTTTACGGGCAACACGCTGGAGGGCTGAGAGTGCATATGATGGACACACTTAATTTCAGGCAACACATCCAAAAATGTTATATGCCTCATATTTAATGCAACTCTTGGTGAATGTTTTATTTGAAGAGCTTTATGGTGCAGTGAGTACACACATTTCCTATAAGGTAGCCTCAGAGAACCAAACTGTGGAAATGAAATAGTTATCTACAAAGCTGGCCGATTTAAAGGCTGTGTCTTCTCAGTAATGATGATGTTGATGAGAAATGAAATGAAAAAAGAGAGGCAGATGAGTAAAATTAGACATTTATAAGCCAATGTCAGTGAAAGACTTTTATTGTCTTTATCTCAGTTTATTAGCCTGAATCAGTTAAACTACAATTCTCAAATTAAAGAATAAACCTCATGTCCAGCAATCAGAAGTAGTGTTAAAGTCTAACCACTCACCAGTGGTATTATCAGGCTGTTTGAGGACCTAGGGGTAAAAATGAAGGTTATGTTGCAGTTCTTCAGAGATCAAAAGGTAGATTCACAACAGAACCTGTTCGGCCTTTCAAAAATAACATTTTATTTTGGCATTCCTGGATAACAGGTAGTCTGAAAGTTACAGAGTTAGAGAAGTTTTTCAAACCCCTGGTACCCACAGTGCAGGGTTTAGTTAAATAAACCCACTGAGCAATAGACAGCTATAAGACGTCTATTTTTTTTTAGACCTTATTTCAAACGTGTAGATTCTGTATATTTCTAGACAGAATTTAGATGCTGCACTTTAACCCAATATTCGATAACTATTTATTTCAAAAAGCAACTGTGAGTTGCGTAACTGATGTCCAAGTACCTAACCAAAATAATTATGATAGCAGTTGAGCAATATACAGTGTAGTATAGGTAAAGCCCAGATTTAGACTTGGTCTAAACTTGGTCTAAATATAGATGTCTAAAAAACTTTCATTTTTAGACCTGTGGTAGCCTGATTTTAGACCAGTCGTCTAGGCTACATTTAGACGTCTATTAGACTCCTTTTCGACCAAAAAATGCTCAGTGGGTATTGATGCACTTACAACCAAACAAACAATCTGGGGGTCTTCCTACAGGAAATTTTAAACATCTACCCCTTAATTCACGAATTCTGTTAAATATTCATGTTGTGTTTAGAGTTTGTGTACTGATAGAAGCTTTAAAAGGAAATGAAATGTATATTAACAAAAGAAAAGTGGTGATGGATAACAAACAAAAACAACATAGACACACAAAATAACTCCAGGGATTAAGGTTGGGTTTAACCATTTTCTTTACCAGGTACGCATTTGGTCTCTCTCTGCTACAGGACAGTAAAAAGCATGTTGTTTTGTTGGGGTAGGTAAAATAAATACTTCATCCTTCTGATCTACAGGTTAATAGCATAGATGTGTGTTTATGCTAGACAGAAATTCAGAGTTGGACAACCTACTGCATTGCTGACCATTAGAGATAGTTATCAACCTAGGATTGTGAAAGGACATGTATCTTTGGGTTTTCCTGTAAGTGACACAAAACCATTCAAGAAAAAACGTTCTTCAGGTCCATTGGGGGCTTCACTCTCACCACTGCTGGTGAACTGGATACTGTAACAGCCCCACCCCCTTGGAGGGCTCAGAGGAGGATCCCTGCTGTTTACATTTCCTGGCTGCACAGTTGGCTATCAGATGATGATTCTTCTGACAAAAAAAAACAAACTGCTTATCCACCTTAAGGGGGGAAACATTGGAGGAAACTTACACTTACAAGATGAACACCAATGACTGTGGCCACTGTATACTGTATGTGGTGCACACGTTAATCGTCAGGACAATATCATCCTGATAAAGAAAACAATTTTGGCTATCAGTAATGATAAAAAATAAAATAAAAAAAAACATTAAATACCTCTTTAAGTTGAATTGCCAGATTCAAGTAAAATGAGATTGTGTGTTAAAGCACCCTTAATCTGATTATCTTTCTCACACACTTTTCAAGACAACCATTCTAGACTCTAGCTGTTTAATGTGCCTGTTTCATTCATAACAATTATCTTAAAATCAGCAGCATAACTTCACTTAATTATTCAGTGAACTCATCCTACTTTGGAGTAACTTTGTTCACAGTGTCTCATTATCTTTTGTCCCCCTGATGCTGTAGATAACAGTAACAGCTGGAACCCTTCATGAGGGGGATGCTTATTTTAAAGACAGATGGTCCTTTCCACCAATATAACAAATATTGACATCTAACCGTAATTTTCAGATGTTGGGTCACATGGGTTAAACGTAACTTTGTGACAGTAGCAGAGCTGTAACTTGTTGTCCTGGTTAAATGTAGATGAAGAGGTAGTCAGAGGCAGTGTTGGGAGTGAGTTGTGTATTTCCCAGAAGGGTGGATAAAATATGAGGGTTTCAGGCCTGCTTGCTTGGGGATGGGGGCTCTGCAACTGGTTTCTGTGACTCACCAGATAACACTGAATGAAGTACAGCCTGTCCAGGAACAATAACAAACAGGGGATTTATTGGGTGTGTGTTTGCAGCACTCTCATGCAGGAGCTGATAACAGCCTAGACACCTCCGCGTGACCCCCTGATCACTGAAAATCACTCTGCTGTCAGGTTTGGTGAACAGGCAGACAGAAGAGAACCAGACTGTGCTAAGTGATGATTTAGGTGAGGGTTTAATATATGGTCAGTGTTCCTGTTGTAAGACGCTCAGTGCCTCTGCTATCACAATCACACTCTCATGACCCTATAAGAGGCCCCCTTCCCTATAACTCCAAACAAATAAGTCTTCTTAGCTGATTACTTGAACAGGATTTCATTCTAAAGCTGCTTGAAAACATGCTGTGATTCCCTTAACATTGAATGGAAATAAAAAAAAGTTACTTTTATGTGTTTTAAAAGTATCATTATTTGGGATATGCTGCCACCTTCTGGTCAGTCACAGCCTTCACAAAGAGTCTGTAAAGGTTCTCGTTCATCCAGGTCACAGTTATCCAGTTTTTGTTTAAAGGGCAACTGGACTTTTTTGAGGTTCTTGAAGATGTTTCACCTCTCTCCCATGAGGCCTTTTAGCTGCCAACAAATCTGAACTACTAAAACATTGATTAACGCCAGTTTGCCTATAGACTTCGTTCTGCCCCCGCCATCAAAAAGAGTAAAATAATGCTTCTTTGATTTTCTTTTATTTTTTTACATCATTTATTTTTACTTTATTTATTACAAATAATTTTGAAGTATCAAAATATTCTGGTTTAGGCTTGACTGTACACCAATAAATGATTACACAGAGGTCATCAATAAGCACTGAGATGGGACAATTTTCTTCATAGAGATTAGAAAAAAAAAACCTCTTTCTCTGAAAAAGAGTTTACAATCTACTTTAATAAGAGTCCTTGTCAGGCATTTGAAACACAAGAGACAGATAAAGATAGAGATACTAGAACCTGACTGTATCTTGTGTCTCATCCTGTTGGTCTCAGAGGGGCCTGACAGTGAGGGTGAGGTCAGCGCCCTTCTGTGGGATGATGTATCGCTCTTCTCGGAGCAGACGCAGCAGCAGGTCTGTGGTGTCCCGAGGCCAGCGGTAGATCCTGGTGCACTGAAGCCAGTTTGGGACATGTTGCTGAAACATGGGCACAGCCAGATATTCATTTAAATTGTGTTTGGACGACCCTAAAGCCTTTATTCATTCTGAATCATTTAGAGCTCACTTCATAGTTAACACCTTTTCTTTTTTCCAAAATTTTATCCTCTCCTTTTTATACACTGTTTTTGTTTAGAAAAATGTTCCTGCAGCAGTGCAATCCCTGTCCCACAACATTGTCAAAAAAAGCAGAGAGGACTTGTTTTCCTTGACTCACCTTGGTTGCATTTGGGAACAGCACTGGTACCAGTCTGAAATTCAAACAGCCCTGTCGGATGAATTCATTTTGGATCTGTGTCAACAGGGACAACAGGTTAGAGCAGCTCACTATAAACTTGGATTAAAAACACCTTTTTACTTTTATCCACTCCAGTTCCAGCTCTGGTTCAGATTCTGATTCTGGTTACGCTAATCGTTTCCAGTTATTATCAACTCTAAATTCCATTTCTTGTGTATCTGGAGAAGAAAAATAATATTTCGGAGAAAAAAATAAACAAAAATATAATATAATGTATCATAATACAAAATTCAACAGTGCAATCTGTTTTTACACTGGTCAAAACTTCAATAATCTAAGAGTGCAATCCTAATACATTGTTTATCAAGCTGCACTGTGCAATAATCTGTTAAAATGTAATATACTCTGTGCAATATCCTGCATTGCAATTCTGCAAACCAGCTTTGTATACACTTCCTACTCTGTGCTTTTGCATAGCTTACTTCTTAAACAATCTGTGCTTTGTCAATAGCTTTATTTCTAATACTCTGTGTTTTACAAAAAACGCATAATTTCTTATTTATTCTCATTTCGTCCCTACTTCTATTCTCCTATTAGTTTTGGATTTTTTAAGAGAAGGTGTAATACTGCAGTTACCTAATGTTCCAACTGGGATAAATCAAGTATTCTGATTCTGATTGTTGATGATTATTAATGCTGTATTAGCTAATTTGAATTAGTAGCAATCAAAATGGGTTTTTGAAAATTATATAATTATAAGTAATTAATTTTCCCTGCTTTCTTGTGTTTGTTTCTTTAAGAGTTAAATTGTAAAAAAAAAAAGAGTGTTGAGGTTCACTTAATGTATATGATCAAGATGTTCAACTAATGTCAGGGCTGATATTTTGTCCCAGTCCTGCCCTGACTGACAGCCAATGGTTGATACTATCTGTATATATCTTACTGACAGTCACCAAGTCACACTGAGGATCATAAATAAAAGATGGATATTTCTTTGTGTTTTGATGCATAATTTGAAAGTAAACTACAGTGTTCACAGGAACACAGCTTTTCCCTGTCTTTATGGCGACGGTTTCCAGCTGGCAGCTGCAGCACCTCTGACAAGGCGACAGCTGGTTGAAGAAATGACCTGTTTTCGAATCCAACAAGACATCTCATCCTCCTCTTCCTTATGATATGCAGGAGGAGGGAGTGTGAGTACAGGAGCCCACCAGAGAGGGGCAGCATTTCAGATGTCCTTGTTCTAACAATTGTGAGTACCCACCTGGTTGTGGATGTACTTGGTGTGCAGGCCATGATCATCGTCTCCACTCCCCTCCACGTCCTCTCTGTACTTTTGGCTGATGACCACAATGATGAGCACTGATTTCTGTTTATGACATCCTTTCATCAGCTTACCAGGAGTAAACAGACTAAATGTTTCATGTTGGTTAATTCTCTACAAAGTCAGACTCACATCGTTTAGATATCTGTCCATCCACTTGGTGATGGACATCCTCTGTATCGGGTCATCAAAAATGTCAATCTGGTCAGAGACAGGCATAATTAGAGTGATAGAAAGGTGGAGTCACTGAGAAATACGATGATGGAGAATCATCTGGACTTACTGCAGGTTTGAAGCCCTGGTCGGTCAGAAATTTGACAAAAGGAAACATATCTTCAGCCACATCCACAGAGTATGTAATGAAAACATTCCCTGTGAAAGGAAAGCCAGAGCAATCAGATCATTTTCTGCACCTGTAGACTTTTAAAGAGGTTCATTCTTATATTTCTAGACATGTATTATTAACAACAGATGTATAAAGTTTTGGCATAGCTCCATGGCTTGAGAAACAGGCAGTGAAGGCTGCTGCAGTATCATATTAAAGTCTGTTTTTCTGTAGCTAGCAGCGTGTCTGTTAAATTGAGCGATCAGGTGTAAGGTTCATAGCTAAAGGGTCCGAGTTAACGGCTAAGGTATAGTTTGTAGATCTCTATGTTTGTGAAGAAATCTTAAAAACTATAGGCATACAAATCTCTGGACATGTACACTTTTGTACTCTGTGATAAAGTCCAAGATATTACAACAGAGAATTCTCAGAGAGTCTTTTTGTGTGTGTTTTTTAAATGTATTGATTTAGTTTATTTGATCAGGAGAATTCAAATTACACAGTACAACCTCCAACTGTTCAAAAAAATCGTACAGTGACTGATGTTTACAATTTTGGTTAATTAAAACGAAAGTTAATTCAGGCAACATAAAATAAAGTGAAGAAAAAAATGTTTTGAAAATAGTAAAATTGACTGAAGGATAAGTATTAAGATTGAATTAAGGTCAAATAAAATTACAACAACATCAGAACATCACAGAGTTGTTATAAATGCTTCCATCTATGAATTTGCGTCAACCACTCTGAACCACTTTTGTTAAAAATCTCTATCTCTAGTATTAATTTATTTTGGTTGGTAGGATGTTCAACATTTCAGAGGCTTTTATAGAAAAATCTGACTGATTAAAATTCAATTATTTTAAATCATGCACAAAACAGAGCTGGGGTGACAGAAAGCCACATAGAAGTGTTATTTTTTTTTTCTATTTTGAATGTTTAAATATTAATTCTTAAATGTGAGTGACTTTTTTTTTAAATAATCCAACATACTTTTGAATGTGAAATATTATCTGACAGCCCTAGGATTAACGTGACTGTTATTTGAGCAAATGGGCTTTTATAAAGACCTTGTTAATGTGTTCACTGTGAAGAGATTGTTTTGCTATGTTTTCATTAAAACAGCTGCGTAACACTGCATGCCTCTTCACGGTTCACTGTCAGTCCGTCACAGTTATAAATGGTCAACATCCTGTAATATCTCTGGAGCATAGACTGTATATAAGATGGACAGAGTCTGCCTCCTCGCTGGGTGAAGCCACTCCGAGAACAGCATCCTCTGATGGTGGGCTGCAGTACAGGTCATAAATCCCGCCCCAGCAAAGTTTATGGGACTGTGGACAAACTTTAGAAATTTATTACACAGAACAAATTTTTTTTCTCCCCCCTGCTTGTGATGTTGACATGTAGTTATTGTAAGACTGGTTTGTGCCCAAGTCCTTTTTTTCTGTGAAGCTCCGTTTTTAAAAGTTATTAGGGGGTTCATGTTTTCTATGATTGACACCTGATACAGCCTATGGGCGTTCAGGGATTGCGTAGCTCACCCGGGGGGATTCGCTGTTTGAGCCGAGCGTCATCACAGGGACTCTCGGCGACGGCGCGGCCGAATGCGCGCATCGCTACTGCGCAGCTGTGATTTCAAGAGAGTGGAGAAAAACCCGGAATTACAGAGAGCTTTTTGGCTCCAAATCCGTATACAGGCGGAAGGCGGAACCAGGTTGTCCATAGTATATTCAGTCTATGCTCTGGAGTTATAGTTTTAACCCTCACAGCATGCTGCATGGCATCTACAGAATATAACTCACATGCATATGGAGTAAAAGGGTTTTCATTTGAGAGTGACAGTACTCTAATGTGTTACTGTTCTTTGTAAGTACTAAAGTTATCCTGTTTGACAGCAGTGATGCATAACTTTGACAAGTAATAGTACCAGTGCACTGATAGTCATTTAGACTTTTAAAAGAAATAAAAAGGTCTTCTGACTTACGGCTCTCCTCAGGTAGACTGATGACCCTCTTGATCTCTCTTGTGTTTGGACCTGGACAAGGCTGGACAGAGCGATCCACGCTGACTTCGTGCATCACATCTCTGGAAGGGGCGGCACACATCAGCCCAGATCCAAGAGCGGGGTTTGGAGCATGTTTAAACTCTTGCTCTGTGTTAGGTCGATTCCTGTGAAGGGACATAAATTAAAGAGGTGAAAAAATTACCACACAAAAATGAGATTGTGTTGTTAGTAAGAAAAGAAATCTCTCTCTTTCTAACCCTGATGGTTGATGGTGCTGGCCTGGCTCCGCTGTGTAATGGCGTTTATTATAAAAAATATTAGGATTCTGAAGGGGCTGACTGGGTGGAGGGCAGCATGCACACCTCTTTTGGAGTGGACTGGGACCTGCAGAGAGACATGGAGGAGAAGACATGAAGTCTCCGTGTCGAATCCTGCAGACTGCAACTCAGGGCAGCTGCAGAATGACGCTGAACAGGTTAGGGAGGAAACTTTTAAAAACTTAATCTTGTAAAGATGTTATGATACTGTCAGAGGAAGCATGGTTATCGAGCCAAATGTTGAGAGACACTACAGAAGAACATCGTGTGCATGCATATTGAGTGTCCTCTTTTCTTAATATATATGGACTTGCCAATTAACGTGAGATGCATTTATTCTACCCTGCAGCAGTATAGAGATAAAGCACAGTGAGTTTCCTCTCAAACATTCATCTAAACAGTATTAAGCAGATCCAAACAAACCGGTGGCTCATCATTTTGGCTCATACGATAAATACCACAAGACAGTATGTCAGCAATTTCCAGAACTTCCATGAGCATTTGTCTGCAGACACAGCTAACCTCTGTAAGCCCATGTGCCAATGGAAGTTGGACATCTGCTTGTATGTCAGCTGTCATTGGGAAATAAGGTGAACTCACCAGCAAAACTAATTCTTTGTTTTTTCTTTTTCACAAACTTTTGCAGTGAAAAGTCAACACACTTTCTGAGTTTGATATTTCAACTTGCAACCATGTTAATCTATGTAAATGTAATGAGTGAACCAGCGATGAGTAATGCTGACACTGACCGGTCATTCGCACTGCAGGGTATCCCATTTGGTTGTAGTGAGCGTGGTTAGCATCAGAGATGAGCGTCAGAGGGGGCTCCAGGCTTTCCACCTCATCCAGAGAGCAAACCCGAGGCTGGTCTGAAAAGCCTCCCATCCCAAAATCCTGTTCATATAGAGCCGCTGGGTCTCTAAGACCACCAGGCCACACCCCTGCAGGGGTAGAGGGTTTCATGTGTGCTGGATGTGCAGGAGGGATGAAGCGTGAAGGGAGGAACTGCCTCTCAGGTAGTCGCTGCAGGCTGACAACAGGCCCCAGCCTCTGGTCCTCCTCACAGTCGTGCTCCTCTGGTTTGTTAATGGTCTTTGGATCTTCTCTGCACTGTCTGCAAGCCAAGGCAAAGGCTTGATCCAGACCGGAGGACATCATGTGTTCATCCGTCTCCACAGGAACGCTCATGTGAGGACAAGGGCCTGAAAGACAGAGGGACAGGTTTGAGTGTTACTCTGACGGACATTTGCTTTATATCTGCTGTGTCTGAAAGGGTTTCCTACCTCTGAAAGAGTTCATCTTGTCTCTGAGAGAGAGTGACTGCTGCCTCTGCTGAGGTGAAAATGAAACTAATGAAGGAATTTAACAGAGCATGACAAAACAAAGAGACGGCAAGAAGAACGACTCAGACTGTAGCCTATGGCAGACGAGTTTATATCCAACAGCAAGTCAAGAGTTACAGGTCGAAGTTAAAGCATTAAGTAGAAACAGGTGGAAAAGTGTCTAAAATGACTGGAGAAAGGATTATCAGCCCCTCTTCCTCATGAGTGGGTGTGTAACTTCAGACGTGGTTTGACTGTAATGTTTCAACACTGTGAACTGGAACAAAGGTCAAATCTCTGCTTTACAGGTATGCAGATAATTCCCTTTTATCAACAAATCACACCTGAATAAGTCGGAGCTGTCTCTCTTCATAGATTCATGTAAAAGAAAAAGATCCATACTCACTGTACTCCAACTCTGTCCTCTTTCCAAGCCTGCTTTTCTCTTTCCCACTGCTCAAACCTGTTCTCAGGGAAACAGGAAGTATTAATACTATGCAAAGTGAGGAAAGTCATGTGACCCGATTATGCAAAAACTACAGGTCAGCGAGACTGAGACAGCCCAGGTTCTTCCTACAACAAAGTTAATGCTCTGCAGTTATTCAAGGTTAACTGTCTCTCTGATTGGACCGGCTGTGCTGCACATTTTATTCCTGAATCTTATAGAAAGAGGCTTTTGATCGAAGGTGATTGAACCAGGTGAATGTCCTTTTCTATCTAATGAGGGAATCTGGTATTCAGGGCTATAGTCTAACATATAGTTTAATTACAGACTACAAAGTACCCGAAATATTTATGGCTGCTCCACTGTTTATAACAAAAGTACCTTTTATTCAAGGTAAGGTACTTTTGTTTTTTGTTTTTTTTTCACAAAAACAGGTCTTTAAATGCACTAAACCCCCGAGAGTCTCTAGTCCACACAAATAGTTTCTTAATTTATTTCTTTACAAATTAAAATAAAAAAAAGAGTTTCAATACAAAACATAATTAACATGGGAAAGGCAGTTATTTCACAACAAAGTTTAAAATAAAATGCAACATTTTTAAAAGGTATAACGTCAACACTAAACATACGGAAGAGGATTAGGGCCACTGGAAAAAAAAAATGTCTGATATATATATTTTTTAAATAATTATTCTGAAAAAAAAAAGTCAAAATTCTGAGATTAAAGTCGGAATTCTGAGAAAAAAGTCAGAGTTAAGACTTCAATCTCAGAATAAGAATTTTTAAAAATTATGTTGGACTTTTTTGTTTATTCCCTAAACCTTTTCCGTAGGTAACATAAACATATCTCTGAGGTGAAAAAATACAGAGAGGAGAGGAGAATGATTTTTATCATGAAAAGATGTCACAACAAAAAGACAGGTTTCTTTATGTTATAAAGCACCATTCACACACACCAAGCCAAACTTAAACACTCCACTAGACATTGATTCATTTCTCAGCAGCGTTGACCCACTACATCTCACCCAGGACCAAATTTCTGAACTGGATGCAGATGAAGAACTTTCTGCTGCCCTCCAATTCATGCCCGATAATAAGTCACTAGGACCGAATGGCCTCCCTGCTGAGTTTCTATGAACATTTCTGGTCCATCTTACTGCCAGAAAAAGTTAAACTCATTGAATCATTCTCCAGCATTTCCAAATACTCCATGAACTGGCACAAACACTCCCACTACACAGTAACAGCTGGGATATGGCAGCCAGCACACCACCTACCCTATTTGTCTGAACCACATTACATATTTAGGTATCAGTATATTAGAGGAGTAACCAGGCAGGTAAAAAAGTGATACAGGAACAACCATACAGGTAAAAAGTTGATAGACAAACAACCAACCAAAGAGAAAATAGTAAAATAAATTAGCAAACTGCTTAAAAATTCATTATAGGAACAACCAAACAGCTAAATATTTTTCAGAAGAACTATTAAACAGGTAAAAAGTCATTAGAGGAGTCATTTGTTGAGCAACCAAACAGACTAAAAGTTGTGTGACGCTAAAGAAACAAAAAACAGCTGGAGGAACATCTTTCAACTTTTGAGGTTAACATCAAGAGTCTTCTGAATCTCTCAGAAGATAAGATGGGAAGATCTTCACTCTCCTGTGAGAAACCGTGTGAGCAAATAAACATTTTCAGATTTATGTTCCAGTGTGTGAATGTCAAATAACAAGTGGATTTCCATTTAATGTGGATTTATAACAAGTTAAACAAGTTCAGATGCTGCAACAATAATACAATTTTTCTTTTGAACAGAGGAGGTAAAAGATTTGAATCTTGGACCAGGAGGGGTCTGCACCATTTATTTTATTCACAAGTCGAAAGTACTCATGACCTTTGATGGTCTCTGTCTGGGTCACATTCTGTACCTGAAAAAAAATGGAACGATACAACGCTATTGCTGCAAACGGTAAGCAGTAAAAAATAAAGAACTCAAAAGTGGCTCAATCCTGCAGAACATACAGAAGACAATGGGTTTGAAAACTTCTCATCACTTCATATTTTATTCAATGTATGTGTGTGAGCGTTTGCATGAGTGAACATATTGAAATTGTTTTTATTGTGTAAAATGGCAAATTTCATTGTATGTCAAACATATAATGACAATAAAGGCATTGTGATTCTAATTATAGAAATACTTAAGTAGAGAAATCAAACATCTTTGATAAAAAACAAAACAACAAATTCTACCAAATCTAGAACAAGTGGATTCAATTCATAACGCCCAACACAAGCAGGTTTTGTATGAATGCATGTTTTTGCAAGAACGCATGTTTTATTAAGTGTCTGACTTTGCCCTCTTTCAGAGCCTGTCTACTCTGCCTGTTTGAGGTTGGTTAGCACCACTGGGCGGTTGTTGCTGGATGGTAAGGCCAGATGATCCACAACAGAGAAGACTTTCCTGGTGGTTTGGGTGATCACAGAGCCCAGCTCACGAGCCTTCTTTTTACAAGTCACCACGTGGACCAGCTCCCGCCGAAAGCGCCGGCTGACCATGCAGTAGAGCAGAAAGTTGGTGGTGGAATTGAGGTTTTGCAGCATGTTGGCCAAGTCTCCGGCCACATTGATGGGGATGCTGTAGTTGTTCCTGTCAAAGTTATCTCTGTTGTACGCTGTCCTCAGGATGCAGTATGTGACAAAGCGGGGTAAACTAAGCATAACAAAGGTTATGGACACAGTTCCCAAAAGCAGGATGGTCCTCCTCAGCATGCCTCTAGTGCTCCTCCCGTGCATGACGCGGCGCTCCTCCTTGGTGAAGAGGTTGCTCGCATGGCACAGATGATGCCCGATCAGGTAATTGAAGATGATTACCAACGCTATGGGCACTCCCCCTGAGAGGAAGGTGGTTATCCACACAATGATGGTAGAGTAGGCATGATCTCGGTAATGACACCTGGGCAGCGTTATGTTCTCCCCATGTACAGTTAAGTTCATAGGTGAGACAACATTGATCCAGGCAATTGGCACCGAGACAAGATGTGACACCAGGACGATAGCCACACAGGTTAGTCTGGTGACCTGAGCCTGAGAGAAGTGCTGCTTGGCAGCCGTGCTGCGCAAAACCAGGAAACGTTCAATGGTGAAGACCACCACGATCCAGGAGGAGCTGTAGAGTGATCCATACTGCAGGAACCCCAGGATGCCACACATAGGGTGGGAGTGCCAGAAGGGCTGCACCAGCCAGAAGGTAAGGGTCAGGTCAATCAGGATCACCCACACCAGGTAGAAGGTGTCAGCAATGGCCAGACAGCTTAGGTAGATGATGGCGGTGTCAGACATCCCACATTTACGGAAGCAGATCATGTAGAATGTGAAGAGGTTGGCTGGAAGACAAGAACACAAAGGTTTCCTGCCTGTATATGGCCTCATTTCTAATCAATGGATCTGTTATAGGTATTATCTCATTCAAGCCAAATATATGCTCATTTTAAATTTGATCAAAAAAAGGAAGCTGGTCCACTTTCTAGAGCAGAGACTATAGTGTCTATAACTCTACTTCCCCTCAGTTCATCTTAAATAGACTCAGGTCAAGAGAGGTCTCTGGTGTTTCTGGATCATGTTTGTATCAGATTTTCTCGGCTAGTCTACTGGCAAGTATTTCAAGTATTGAGCTTTTCTAGTGTTATGTGTTTGCCTGCAATTAATCCTGCTCTCTTCCTTTTCCCCCAAGTGCCTTCTCGAGCCACCAGTGCTTTGCCCAACCTCTGCCATGCTGCTACGTTCACTCACCTGCCTTCACCCCGAGCTCTCACACCTTTGCCTCCTCCACACCTCGTACCTTGGATTCCCCTCCACCACCCAACCTCCATTTTATTAAAATCACTGAACACTTCTTCTGCTTCTGATCCTGCTTTCAGGGTTCATCTAAAACATCTTATTAGGAAATCATAACAATTGAACCGTTTCTCTCTTAAGCTGCTCTATCAAACTAAGAAAAGCCCCATAAAGAAAGAATTTAAGGAGAAAAGAAAAGGTGGGACTTCTGAGATCAATTTGTGATCATTACTCCCTCAAATAACCAGACGGCGACCGTCATATATGAAGATTTACAAGATCAACCAGTGTAATAATAAATAAAGTCATAATTTCCATCTTTAGGTCTTTAATCTATGGTGTTAATTTGGAGGAAATATGGTTGTTATGGTTACTTCGTCAAAACAGAGTGTACCAAAAGTGATTGATGGTCGATAATAAAGTCATTAGTAACTGATAAACGTACACCTGGTCATGACTCGAAACCAGCCTGTCTAATAAAACCTGCTCATGCATAAATGTCCACAGACCAAACAAGACCGCTAGATACCAACCTGGAATACCCATGATGCAAAGCAGCGGGTAGTAGATCTTCTGAACAGTGACGAATGCAGAGGCGCTGGCTCCCTCCATGGTTTACTCGCCTCCAGGCAACAGCTCACATGCTAAAAGCTGCAATAAAGCCATTACAGAGGATGAGGAGGGAAGGCTAACACAGAGGAGGTGATACTCATAGCTGAGAGCGTTTTAATGATCACATAGGTGCAGGTGTAAGGTGTTAGAGAGCTGCACTGGGTTTAATGCACAGTAAATACAGTTAATAAGCTCTTAGTTTAAACGTAAAGTCAAGGAACAGAAATATAAAAATAGCACAAATGCTGTGGACCAAGATGTTTATCCAAGCTTTATAACAGGTGTTTTTAGACAATGTTTTTGCTTCAATTAAAATTGTGTCCATAAGATCACGTTTAAATTTGTACAGAGAGTTTCAACACTTTCTTTGATTATATTTGAGGGCTTTTCAGCTAAAAATACCAGGAAGTCAGCTGAAACATTTGAACACAGAAAGCCAGACTCCCAGACTGTTAACCAGGAATTTGAAAACACTCTGGCTGACTAAGTTTCATGATCAGTCTGTAGATTGTTTCTGGGGAAATAGGTGCAAAATACCTAAAAGCTTTATTGGACTCTCAAAAAATTGCACAATGCACAACAAAAAAAAAAAAAAAAAAAAAAAAAAAAAATACAGAATCTAGACGGTTGATTTTAGGTCCAAAAAACTAGACGTCTAATAGCCGTCTATTGTTCAGTGGGATGGTTCCTGTGGCCCATAGTTGTCCATTTTTCCAATTTTAGTCCTTAAGAGATCATGCATATCAGGCCAACGACTTCTCCTCTCAGTTTTTGTTGAATTAAGTCTCTTACACGGCATTTATTTCAGTCGCTGTTAAAGTTATGCATACAAGAAATTTAGTTTATTCTAAATCAAGCACCTGTTTATGTGGTAAAGACCAAGACAGACAAAGTCACATACCAAAACAATAGGCAAACATATTAGCAAGGGGCTAACAGGCTATATGATGAATGATGAAAACCATTAACTTACATCTCTAGACCTTTCATACAATACCGCAGCTGCAATATCTTCTTAAGTTCCTGTTTCTTGCTTCAAACGACACATTTCGTTAGTAGATAAAAACCCCTGACAGGAACTTTAATTATTGTAGAGTTAAAGATCCTAAGAAGGGCTCATGGTTTGTGTTGTATTATTTGGTTTTATTCAGCCCATTTTCTCTCAGTGTGAAGTCATTTCTGTGTGTTTTCTGTAATAATAACAACTTATTTTGGTTATCTTAAGACTAATTCCTTCTTTTATGTAGATACAACAAAGCTTGTTCTCTGATAATAACAGAATAATGTTCTGGTTATCCTAAAAAAAAAAAACACGCCACCACATAACACACTGCTTCAGCCCTCTCTGCAGAGGTGAGTTTTGACTATTTTTCTATGTTGGGTTTTGCTCTAAAACTCTGGAGAGTTCAGTAGTGATCATGTAACTCAAAGTCAATATTCATCCAGGGAAAATGGAGAAAATGAAACAAATAGATGCATATGCCTTAGCTTTCTTTAATAATTTTGTCATGTGCATGTTAAAGAAGTGTTTTGTAAGAGATTTTACAATCCTACAGTTGTTATAAAACCCAGCTGCATCTCTCATTAATAGTCTTGATGTCCTTGTGCTCTTCAGTAGCTTACTGAGGCACATCAGCAAAAACTTTTGTTTTATAATCTGCAAAACTACTGACATGAGCTTCAAGACTTTACCTTATAAAAACGTTTGATATTAAAAACAGCAAAAAGTCTATACTTCCTCTTTTTGTCCCTTCAGCAAACCATTTCTCAGAAAATGATCAGCAATAAAAAGATGCAAACCTACCTCTGTGAGCGCTTGTGAGCCTCAGTGCTGAATCTGATGGAGTTAAGGTTGCCTTATTCAAAAGAAGCTTCCTGCACAAAGATGCATCCCAACCGGTTATATCTCCACGAGAACAACAGCACCAATGAGGAGGCTGGGAGAGACAGCTGCTGCTTTTATGAAGCTGCCAGAGGAGGAAACACATCAGCTGATGCACAACCAACACTTGCTCCAACAAACTGGAAACAAAAATGGAAAACTGTTAACTAAATTCTGACAAATTTCCAATTCTCAGCATGGATTATATCTACTTTTAAACTACAGAAATACATTACGTGTAATCCCTGTGTTCACTATAGTCTAGCTGCCTCACAACATCGTAGAGAACATGATGTGACTTCACTGTTCAAGGAGGATTTTGTATTTCTGCAGGCCCTTATTATATTACAGGATTCAAGCCATATAGAACAACACTGGACATAAGATCAGATTTTAACTGACACTTACCAGCAATAAAAACTAAAAACACAAACACTATGATTCAACAAATTACACCAACATGGCGTCTCCTGCCTCTGTTTGCTTTCTGCCGTTTGATTTCAGGATCGATGTTGTCAGGATGTGTTCAGTCAGTGTTAATAACCGTCTGAATGAACTTTACTCAGGTCGGAGTTTCCTCTGCTCTTCTGTACCACAATAACCACTCCCAGCTTTTTTTTTTATCATAGCCTAAAAAGTCATTGCGTCTTGCTTTAACCCACTGTGAAAAAAACACATAATAACAGCTCTCCCCTCCATCCTCTGACACACTGCTGGAGTTTCTGTCCCTGACTGCTATCAGCTTTCCGAACGTCTTGATCTTAAACTGATTTCTGGTTTGGAGCTGCCACCTTTGCTTTTAAATCAATTCCGATACAAAAAATCACAGAGGTATCTATAACATATTTAGCAGGTCCAGATTTAGTATTTGCATGTGATGGAGAGGCATTGCAGGTCTTTCCTTCCTGCTGCTGTCAGACTCCACAACAAGAACCTCAATGTGAAATAAACCCTATTATTATGTATTTTCTGTATAGATGTAAATATGACGCATGCACATATCTTGTTTTAACTCAAAGCTTCTTTATCTTTTAATTTTTCTCTTTTTGAATCTATGCTATGCTGCTGTAATTTTGGAATTTCCCCCTGTGGGACTAATAAAGGAACATCTTATCTTATCTCATTTTATTTTATCTTATTGGTTTCAATATTGACTAAAACCCAACTCAAAATGACCCATTACGAACTCATAAATATCAATTACACTCCTTCTGTAGCAATAACTTCTGTAACAATTGCATAACCTTCCAGCCTCTAGTGGATTCCAGTAACATCATGTACAGAAAAGAAAGAGAATGATCAAATATACAATACAAATAATACATTTTATAATATAAATACACATTTATAATAAAAAGTAGGATTTAAAGCTCCGGACATTTGCACATTACTGTTACAACAATCACTGCAACTACTACTGCAGCTGTAGCTCCTTCCCATCCTCTGTCCTCCTGTTACCCCTCCTCCTCCCCAGAGAGGAGTTGTACAGTCTGATGGCATGAGGGACAAAGGAGCCCAGAGTGTCTGGCATTGTCGATAATGTCGTCCAAAAAAGCTTATCTGATCATCTTTTCCAGCTTGGATGTGTCCTTCTTGGATATATGTATATAAAAATCAAAAGATAACCCAGATCCTGCTCTTTCTTTTATCAGCCTGGTTTCCATTTCTCACTTGTGCTGTCTTTCTGCAGGAGGCCCTTCACACCTTTCTCTTGTCAAACTGCGGGGTAGTCAGGATTTTTGGCTCAGATGAAAGTGTAATTTGTCCTGAGGTGTGATCCCTGACAAAAACCATGGCTGAATCCCTGTTAGCTACTTCAATTTCACAGTGTTTACTGTCATATTGTCCTGGATTACCTGTCATTTTTAGAGCAGAGCTGTCAGTATGTTCGGAAACAATTGCAAATTAAAAATCACCTGTGATGCAGTGACAGCAAAGGATGTTTTTTTTTAAATTCAGTTAGAGAAAATAGTAATCTGCTCTGCTAATATTTAAATCTTAACATCTATACGTTTAATTTCTGCATGTTTAATCTCATTCATTAAATATAAATGGAATGCGACCAGGAAAACAAAGCGTGGAGTCTAGAGTAGAATTTATTCACTCTTCTTACCTACAAAGCTCTTAATGGTATCATATCTCATAAACCCCTGTTAAACTTTAGAGCCCCAGTATACAGGCCTGCTTATGATGCCCAAAGTCTACAAAAGTAATCTGGGAGATAAAGCTTTTGATTATCAGGCCTCCCTTTCTGGAATCATCCATCTCTATTACAGGGTTTTATTTTGAAGGGGGATTAAATGAATGCACCTGCTCTGATTGGAGATTTTGCAGTGTGAGCATTTGGCTTTAGAAACTGAACCATTAATGCACTTCCATGAGGGTTAAGATATAAATTAAAAAACTGATTTTTGAAAGTGTCATGATGAAAAGGATATTTTAATGTAAAATTTGATTCTTACTTTTACCTTTATTGATTATATTTTATTTTGTAGGTGTTTCAGTAGCCTAGTGCTTGTTTTTGTTACAGTATGATACTGTTGTTTTTTTTTTCTTTTCCTCAAAACGTGGCAGCTACAGACGGAGAACCCTGAGTTAGCGCAAGTAAACGCAAAAAAATTTAACACAGTTCTCTATAAAACAAGTCATATAAAGTTAATGCAGGAGAAGCATTATTCCAGAGGGCAGTAGCCAGGGGTGAAGGTAAACCGGTTTGCAACGGTATGCTGTACCGGCTTAGACATTAACAGCAATTTACAGCCAGTACGCAAACTTTCACCACTGCAATGTATGTAGGCTACATTTGCTTACCACGTTGCCGCATGCCAGACTGCACTCTGCATTGTAAGTAAGTAGTAATCCAACAGGATCATGGGCTTGCCAGTGTGTCGTATTTGCTTCCGCAAACAAACAAACTCCAGAAGTGGGAGCGCTCAGGGTGCACTTTTGATTGGACGCTGGTTGCCTAGGTGCTAGGGACCACTTCCTGCCTTTCGAGGAAGGAGGGAACTTTTAAAGAGACAGCTGCTTCAATCTTAACCCTTGAACACTACTGCCGGGTGATTTTCACCTAACCAAACATGTTTACGTGATTTTCATTGTGTTGCGTTTGTCTATGTATCATGTGTCCCTGGGTAGCTTTGGCATTGCCTTTGACATCTTTGAAGGCATATTTGTTTTCCTGATCCTATCTTGGCTGGTAATGCACATAGTGAATGTGGATAATCTGGTGATACAGATCCAGAAGTAAGTCTATAATTCTATGTAACATTTTGTGGTGACATACCATCAGGATTGTATGATACCAGTGTCTCAATCTGAACCCAAAAGCAGCACCGGAGGCAGATGAAGCATTAACAAGGATTAATTGATTTGGGAAAGGTGGAGGAATGGGGTCCAGGATCCAAGAAGTGTGGAGTCAATCCAAGGAATGGCAAGGACTGGAGGCATCAAGGAGGGCTTCAGGCTAAAGCAGGTGAGAGGTGTGGCAGAGATTGAGCGTATTGCACTGGGGCTCAGGGAGGCACTGGAAAAAAACACAAACAGAAAAGACACCAGTAGGTCATAGGAGAGGCACACAAAAATAGGCAATGTTCAGCAGGTAGCAAAACATGAGATAACTGGCAGAGTTGGCCGATGTACCACAAGAGATGCAGGGACATTCTGGCACTGGAGAGGCATCAGAGCAAAGTTTCAGAGCAGCTGATGATTGCAGTGATTAGGTTGCAGGGGGAAACGCCCGATCTCTGTGAAGAGAAAACACACACACACACTCCACGCAAGAAACAGTAACTCAAAAAAAAAATCAAAATGCCACATTCACTTCAATTTTTGTTGTCCCTCTTCCAAAGGTTTTGATCAGGCAAAGTCTTTGCATGATCAGAAGGCTGAAGTACTAGGTGTATTGGCTTAAAGAGCTTGACAAACACAATGAGACGCATGCTACGTTTTCTTCAAACATAGTATCATTTGTAAAATAAAAAAAGTGTCCTGCAAAGAGTGTAAAATGTTTTTATTCTTTTCTCAAATGCCAAATCACAGAATAACAAATCAAGAAATGTTAAAAATGAAGAAAAAAAAAAAGGATAAAAAGGAGGATAGTTAGCAACACATATTTGGCTGTACAATTGAAAAAGAAGAGCTTTTATTGGCTGTGAAACCTTCTGCATAAAATTTGTTCATAACTGGGTTCATTTCATTCTGAATTCAGTGGATTTTTTTGTGTTTTAAAATGCTGAATTGTTCTGTTTCTGAGCTACACTGTAAATTTGCTCTGAACCTCCTTCAAACACACAGTACAACTGAGCCTTAAGGTTAAATTAAACATACTCTGTAAAAAGCAAAGATTCAGATACGGATGGAATAAACCTCAACGGTAAAACACAAAAGCAGAAATAACTTGAGAGGCAAGGCGAGGTGAGGCAATGTGAGGCAGTCCAGACTCAGCTGCAGGACAGTGCTCTTCAGACTGGCATGGAGGATGTGCAGAGGAGAAGGTAAACCATCCAAATTTTCTGCTCAGAGACGACAAACATCCTCTTTGCTTAAATTAACTCAATTATTCAACTTCAGACCAACAGGAGCAACACTCGCCATGAAGACAGAAACAATTTTAAGCGGAGACATGTTAAAATCCTTACACGCTCTGCTGTAATTTACAAAACTGTGGCGCACACCATTTGTCAAAGTTTCTTATTCTTTACAGCAGCATCCTGACAACTAGCACACTGAGGAAGCTTCAGAAGGAAAGATGGTGAATTAAAAAAAATAAAGATGATGGAAGACTGTGGCATGCTCAGGTAAAGAAGCCTCAGCACATTTAATTCTCACATGGCAGCCATTTTCCACAGAAATCTTCGAAATGTAATTGCATCAGCACTAGGATAATGACCTAGTACTGCTGCAAAAGTCATTTCCTGGGATTTTAATAGACTATGGTTATCAGCTACAAAAAAGGGGGGAAAAATGGATAGTTAAACTCCTGCAGGACATCAGGTGCATTACAAATGTAAAAAATATAAATAAAAGCCCTTTCAGCTCTGTTGACCCTATGTAAAAGCTGTGCAGCAGCCCCATGTTTTAAAATGAACCACTGTTTAAGTGCAAATAACTGCAGTTCCTCAAGTGTCCACTAGAGGGTGCCTCCAAAAGTTTGGAAATCCCCTTTAACAACCATGTAAACACATCTGTTTCAGTATCATTTAACATGTTTACAGCCTAAAACCAAAATGTTTTATTCTTGATAGTTAATCTATTCCTTCCTTCACATTGCTTGGTTGGTTTTATAACACTCCTTTTTTTAGATTAAACAGTATAAAAAAAATTGAATCTGATAAAGCTTGTGTTTTTGGAGTTCTGTCTGACCTCAATGTATTATTAGGGCCACATAAAAAAAAGAGTAAAGGTTTTATCCTAGTCTGCAGTTAGTCTCAATCTTATTCTGATGGGAGGATCAGAAGAGCAGCTGTTTTTACTAAAAGTCTCAGCCTTTTCAGGCAGCCTGATAATGCTTATTTAACTTCTGTTTGTCCTCAGCTGTTTGAGTTCAACCTTAAAAATAATCCATATTTATCGTTTCTGGGCCTTTTATATCAGCCTGGATGCTACCATTGCTGATTTTATTTCTTAAACTTTTTCTTTGAAATTTACAACTTCTTATTCTAAGATCAGACCTTGTTCTCATAAATTAGCAATTGCTTATCTTAAAAAATTATACATCTATTCTTATAAAATAACTCTTTCTTACCACTTTATTAATTAAAGTTACAGCTTAATTTTTCAAACACTGTCCTCTTATACTTTTGACTTTTTTCTTATAAATTGACATTTTCTAGTGAATTCACAACTCTTCTTTAGCAGCTTTTTAAAGATAATTTTTCTATGATATTATTCCAGAGAAGTGTATGGCTTTTTCCCATATGAATTTGTTACTTGTTTCTTTGTATGAATATTTGCTGTGAATTTACAACTTTTCTCTCCTAAATAAATTACCTTTCTCTTACATTTATTTACTTAAGTTGCAACTGTAGACTGTATAAAGAATGGACGTCATCTGCCTCCTAGCTGGGTGAAGCCTCCACGAGAACAGCACCCCCTGGTGACGGACTGCAGTATAGGTCACAAACCCCACCTCCTTCAGCAAAATGAATAGCGCTGTGGACAAACTTTAAAAATTAAACACAATTAAACTCATACACATTTTTCTTACCCCTGGTTGCGATGTTGACATGAAGTTATTGTAAGACTGGTTTGTGCTCAAGTCATTTTTTTCTGTGCAGCTCCATTTTTAAAAGTTATTAGGGGGTTAAAAAGACGAAATATGACTTCATATTTTCTAAGATTGACACTGCATACAGTCAACGGGCTTGAGAGAACAGAGTGCCATCACAGCAATTCACAGTGCTTAGAGAAAAACACGTAATTACTGAGAGCAACTTGGCTTTAAATTTGCACCATGACAGGAGGCGGAGTCATGTTGTCCATTCCACAAACTGTTAATGGTTGTGACTCTTCTCTGACTAATTGATTTATTTTTTCTGATGCCTCAATTCCTGTAACTTTAGGAGTATTTCATTGTAAATTTACAACTTTTCTATTGCAACTCTTATAAATTAATCATTTTAAAATGACTAAACTCTTGTAAATTATCTGTATTTTTTTTTCTGTAAACATACACCTTTTCTTTTGCAACTGTTTTAAAATTTGTAATTTTTTCTTAGGACTTTCTACTTGTAAATTCATGATCTTATTTAAGAAATATATATAAAAAAAAGATCTTTTTTTACACATGTATTGCTCAAACTTAACAAGTTTTTCTAAAATTGACTTTTTAACACTTTTTTCTTGTAAAGTCGTTACTTCTTTTTACCTCTTTTTCTGATTTATAACCTTTTTCTTGATTTTTTAAACATTTTTTCACTATCTTGAAAATTATTCTCATACATGTACAACGGTTTTCTCTTACAATTTCATTCTCATAAAATTTTGATTAAAAATAAATAATTTTTAATGTGGCCCTAAATCATTGTTGCTCAAGATGAATTCCTGTCCATGCAACAACTACTGCAAATTAATTTGAAGTGTGTCTCGTAAAATTAAATATTCTTGTAAGAAATGCAACCCCATGCATTAATTCATCAGAATCAGACAGCAGAGATATTTTTGTAGCTGGTTTTACATAGACTGCATCCTGAGACACAACAGAGTGACATTAAAACAGTTTTAGTTTTCCTCAGGAAACAGGGAGTCAGGGGAAAACAGCTGCCATGTTTGAGTTGTGTTGATAACCTGAACTGGAAAGTCAAGAAAAAGAGATGATGTGCATGAATTTTTTTGACATTATGACACATGAGAAAAAAAACTTGAGGCTTGAATATGAGCGAGTGTAAAAGAAAAGAGGAGCTACAGTATGATACACTCACAGATGAAGTATGCAGGATGGTTCAGCCTTCGCCTTCATTATCTCTAATCATCAACACTGTTTTTCATATTTTGTAAAGGAGAAAATAAAATCTGAAACAGAAGCAACAAATAAACCAAAACAGGCTTTTCTTATTTACACTGAATATAGGAATTTCATTGCATCATCAGAGCCCCAGTTCACTCCAGCCTTCCTCCTCCTCCTCCTTCTCTTCCTCAATCATTGTATTAGCAGAGTTCAGTCACCGGGGGGCATGTTGGAGGCTGAGGGTTGTATTTGGGGGTTAAAAGAGGAGCTGAGGGAGCTGTACAGAGCCTTAAAATAAGTCCAGACTGGGGAGGCTACACAGTTTATGTTCCAGCTCTGATTCAGCCAGTCCTGCCCCAGCCTGCAGACCTACACAGGACACAAGCGGGGCTCAGGGGCTTAGGGGGTTCAGAGGTTGTCCCCTGGCTGGTACTGAGGCTCGGTGGCTGTGAAATAGTCCTCCAAGAAGGCCTGCAGGTACTCGAAAGTGGGTCGCTCCTCAGCGTCTTTCTTCCAGCACTGCAGCATCAGCTCGTGCAAGGAGATGGGGCAGTCCTGAGGACAGGGCATCCTGTATCCTCGCTCCACCTGCTCAAGCACCTCGCGGTTATTCATTCCTGAAATTCAAATACACACACACAAACACAAACACACACACACACACACACACACACACACACACACACACACACACACACACACACACACACACACACACACACACACACACACACACACACACACCGTAGGAATTAGTTCATCAAATAGATCTGACAGCTCTGTGGGGACCAGCTGCTGACCTCTTTCTAACACCTCAAAGCTCAAATGCAAACTCTTCTTCTCTTTTTCTTTCACCATCCTGAACAACTTCTATTCCTCACCTCTGTCCTCTGAACTCGAGATATAAATGCCACTTTAAAGAGATATTCCGGCGTAAAATTAAGTTAGGGTCACACACACCGTAACACTGAGTTAGACACCCCGTCAAGAGATGAATGTTGCCGACCATCTTGCTTCTCTAGTTTTACCAACTTTAGCAACGACCGCACGATAGCAATACAGAGTGCCATGCGCTCAACTAAAACGCCATTCTATAGCCAACACAACTCACCCACTCTCTTCCAACAGCCGCTTGTTTGTAGCCAGACCTCGGGTGAGTCCAAACTGAGTGCAGCGGAGTTTCGCAGCACAAGGAAGAACATTTATGATTATTTCCTCATGGAAACGCAATCAGACCAAGTTGCTAAGGCAGAAGAACTACCGCATCTGCAGTGTAAAATTATTAATATGGTGATTATTACTTGAGGGAAATGATAAATTAATGATTATAAATGTTCTTCCTTGAGCTGTGTCACCCCGCTGCAGTCGATGGACTTGCCTGAGGTCTCGCTACCAACAAGCGGCTGCTGGAAGAGAGTGGGTGAGTTGTGTTTAGTCTCTTTGATAAAGAAACCAGGCAAAGCTAAAAAGATGTTTGGTGGTTAGTGCTATCCCTTTCACAGTCTATCTGACTCCAATCAGTGAGCAGTTTGTGTTTCACGCTCAGCTTCTTTTCGTCATTTCTCTGATCTCCTCTTAAATGATGGTTTTAAACCTGTGACACGTCTTGAAATTTCAGATCTGAAATGTCAAAGCCAATTGGAAATTAGATCCTCAGGTTGCCAATGGCTGAGTAGTCTCAGCACCCCATGTTCAGAGGCTCTAGTCCTCATCATAATGGTTACAGTACGTCCTCCTCTGCTCTCCACACCCCATATTTCCTGTCTTTCTTCAGATGTCCTTTCTTATCAAGGAAAAAGTGCCCCCATAAATATATTTTAAAAATGTCATCTCCAGTTCCCCCTGCCTCCAAACTGTGTCTACACATGGGTCAGAGTTCGCTTACCTGTGGGTACATTTTCACATGCTGCTTTCAGCCCTCGTTTTGGGGGTATGCAATGTTCTATAATAACACCCCAAACGATTCAGTCTCTCCTTTGAGGGCCTGGGTCGGAGTGTACCACCTCTTTCTGCATCAGTCCCATCTAGATAAACATGTGTTCCCTCCCTGAGACGAGCTGAAATCCCCTCCATGCTGTCTCTCCCAGTTTCTGTCTCAAACTCAAGCTGTCCTACCTACAGGCGAGCGCAGGTAATTAAGGGTTATCTCAGATTCTGGCAAGGTGAGAAGGTTGCTCAAGCATTAAAGGACCTTTTAGTCCTGTAGCAGGAGGGACCGCCTGTTGTTACAGAAAGAGCCCAGTGTGTTTTTAAAAACCAACAGGACAGGACGCTTTGCTTTCTTTATCCTGACTGCATTAAGGTGGGGGTTTAAACCCGCCTTTCTCCTCACCTGGGTAAGGCACCCGACCCTTGGTGACCAGTTCTGTCAGCAGAATGCCAAACGACCACACGTCTGACTTGATGGTAAACTTCCCGTAGAGCGCAGCTTCTGGGGCCGTCCACTTTATCGGGAATTTTGCACCTTTAAGACAGCAGCAATGATATGAGCGTTAATGAGTCTGCAGGGGAATTCTTCTTCTTCTTCGTTTGAATGCAAAAAATTAAAAATAAAATGAAGCTCATAATTTAAGTTTTTTTTTCCAAGGCTAACAATTCAATATACGGACAGAAGTACATAAATTGGTTTAACCTGGCCAGCCCTATCTATACCACACAAACAAAACATAATTTGATGATTCACAAACTATTTAAAGTTTATACTCAACTGAAAATAGAGCAAAGACAGAATATTAAATGTTGAAACGACAAAATGTCATTATTTTATGATAAATCTCTGCTCATTCTAAATTTAACAGCAGCAAAATGTTTCCAAATATTCGTTAGAGGAACATTCAAACAGGTGAAGAGTTGTTAAAGGAGGAAAAAGAGTGTGGAGCTCCACCTTGTCGGGCGGTATATTCGTTGTCTTCAATGAGCCTGGCTAGGCCGAAGTCAGCGATCTTGCACACCAGGTTGTCTCCGACCAGGATGTTCGCCGAGCGCAGGTCTCTGTGGATGTAGTTCATTCTCTCGATGTAGGCCATACCTGCTGCCACCTGGAGAGCAGAGGAAACAGCTGCAACAATGCTCGCTGAAAACATCAATCCGGCTTTCTGTGCTAAATATGGAAAATGAGATTCATGCAGGGAGAGCTCAAACTAGATAAGTAACATTAATTAGTAACAACAACAATAATAAAAAAAATATGGTACTAAAAGTTTTCTTATCAGGCCACAAAACCAGCTGTAGCATCTGTTATCACACACTGAGGCAAATCAGCCTGACTTAAGCAGGTCCTCAGTTTTCAGGTTCAGGTTTTAGGTACAGGATTCCTAAAGAAGCAGACCTTTTTGTTAAGGTAAGGTCAGTTGGCCTAACTCACCAAATAGATTTTTCTTGAATTAGTCCCTTAAACAGACATTTAATCTGTACTTGAATACATACTGGTGCTTTGTTGTTTTAACACAACAGAGATACACAGATGTTAGCATGATCCCCAGGCTGTTTCCCTGTCGTCAGTGAACAGTGTGTTTCAAGAACTTTGCAAGACCAGTCCTGAACAGGACAGCAACAGGGAAACAATGATCGACCATTTTCAAAAACAGGCTATCTGCAGCTGTCCACATCAGTCTGATGTGTCGTTGTCTTTGCATATATGGCGGCCAAATTTCTGGTGACAGACAGGTTTAACTTAAATGTGCAAACCTGCAGAACCTAATTGACAGAGTGTGAATGTGGTTTTCTTTGGGGAAGGTTCCTATAGAAATGTTTTTGGTTTTCATCACTTTCAGAAAACCCACATACTTTTTTTTTCTTCATTACAAACTCATCAGTACAGACCTCTACACTTTTAATGCATTTGATGAAGGTGTACCTGTGCTGCCATGTCGACCAGGTTCGGTAGCTTCAACCCTCTTCCTTCTCCGTCCTTCAGGAAGTCCAGGAGGCTCCCTGCAACAGACACAAAAATATGAAGATATCAGTGCATGAAGACATTTTCTCCTAGGATAAATAAAGTATTCTGATTCTAACTCAGTTTCCCATCCTCCTACAAGAACTGTTCACAGCACAGAAACAAACACTCAACAATGGGACAGCTGAATGTTTTGGAGACATGAAGTTTGTAATTTACACGTTCAACTCTGCTTCATATGATCAACAATAAGGATCCCTATTTTAACAGTTGGATTTCACAATAACCACAAATACTTAAAACAATCCCCAGTGCATGCTCTCTGTTTAAAAGACATTCCTCTTTCTGACCTAAATGAGACGGCCTCCGCACGCAGAGCCAGAGCTGCACATCACAGTTTCTATTCCTGTGTTTTCTGCTGTTTAATGTGCACTCACAGCTCATTGCTGTGGTTTGTGAGTCCCACACTGAATTGTTCTGAGGCTTCAAACATCTTCAGTCTCTTCAAAATGAAAAACACTACAACACAAGAGCGGTTTTCATCATTGTGACTAGAAAAAAAAAATTAAAAAACACTTGCATTCGACTGAGAACATTTACCAAAGCCTCCTACATGCACGCTTGTACAAAGTGTAAAAACACACCCTAGGACAGGAAAAGGTGCAGATACACTGTCTTTAATGCCAAGCTGAAGGATCAACCCAAAGTGAAGAAAAAAAAAAGCTGAAAAACTCTGAAGGCTGTGGTAAACTTTGACTCAAAAATTGATGGCACTATACTCAGCTTCACAAAGCCTTAAACGTTGTTTTAAAGTACCACTAAGGGAAAGTTCAGTCAATACTTCAGAACCGTTCAAAGTGTGCAATCTTTAATTTTGACTTCTTAATTTGTTGTTGACTGAAGAAGCTCTAAACAGATATGTATCCATCTATTTTATGATTGAAGTTTTGAGTTTTAAGAGTAATCTAGATCCTGTTAGTGTAGATATAGTCCTCAGAGCTATGATCTTCAATGTGTCTTTTAGCTAAATGAAGAGAAACTGTTTGGAGAATCAGCTGACTGATTTCAACCAAATCTATACACAAGATAAGACCAAAGGAGTGACTGAGTCCTGACTGGGGGTCACCGGTTTGATGATATGTGCTACAACTAATTTCAGTCACAACTTTTCATGTCATTATCATTAAATACAATAAGTTATATTTAGTAGTTTGGCTCTGTTCTGTGAGCTATGTATGCTCCACATGTTTAAGTGGAATACCTTAGGTCTTAAGCTTTGGGCGAGGAGAGCACACTTCCCCTCTGTTTCATACATGCATACATGTCTGCTGCAACAAATAAAGTGATATAATCTTTTTAAAACTGTAAAATTGTGTAATGAAAACCATTACTTGGTGCATTCAGCAGGTTTTTACAATAGAGGGACCCCTTCAGTAGGGGTGTCTCAATACGATATTGATATCAGATATCGGTCGAATTTTAACAAAAAAAAAAACAATATTGGATGATATTGGCCTGCATCTAAAATCCCCAATATCAGCACTCCGATACAACTAGTCCATTCCAGACTCCGCTCCAGCACCTCTATCTAGCAGCGCCTGGATCCAGCATGTAGAGCCCACATAATCACAACAACAGTGTGTACTAAGGTACTAACAAAGTACCAAGGAGTAGGAGTGATGTCGGCCCTGTGGCAGTATTTCTGTCATTAAAGTCCGAAAAAGGCGTTGCAGCTGAGTGCAAAACTTATCATGCACAAGTTTGTGCTAATATCGGATTAATATCGGTATCTGACAATACTGAAGGCTACAATATCAGTATTGTATAGGAGGCAAAAAAAATTGTATCGGGACACCCCTACCGTTTAGTCCTTCTGACAAGCATCTAGAGGGGTCCCTTTAATATAAAAACCTGCACAGTGCACAGTGTTTTAATCGCATCATATCTTTTTCTCTAATGCTTTCATTGCTCCATCGATTATAATTATATATCATATATGGTGCAGGGAGAGTCCACTCCTCCTTTTTTTTATCTGCATACATGAAAAGCCACGGCAGGAAGAAATCAAATCAGGCTGGTAAAATCAGATACAGCATGCTCATTGTGGATACTGATTGTAATTTTCAGACCCTGAACTTTCTAAATTTGTCTGGAAATGATCAGGAGTTATACTGTGAAAGGTGTTTCAGTGAGCATTGTAAACATGTTCAAGTTTGTGTCCGTCTACCTTTGCCCATGTACTCTGTGACGATGTAGATGGGCTCTTCGGACACTACGGCATACAGTTGCACCAGCTTATCATGGCGGAGTTTCTTCATGATCTGAGCCTCCTCCAGGAAGGACTCCGGGGACATGGTGCCAGGTTTGAGAGTCTTCACCGCAACCTTAGTGGTGCCGTTCCATGTTCCTGACACACACACGCACACAAATGCTGACATCAGTATCACAGGAAAATTGACTCACAGTTTGGAAATGATGGTTGGGGGTCAAAGAGGGAGGGAGGAAAACATGCAGGAGGAGTGAATATGATTTCTCATGCACTAAGGTCATGCTGAAGGATATGTAAAAGGGTTTGAGATTCAGAGTGGACCTGGTGTGAAATCTTTTTTAAAGCCAGGAGAGGGATCCTGCTGGTCTTTGATGGCCACGATACACCGACACAGGAGCGCACAATCCTAGTCTATGGGATGATTCCCAAAAGCGAGCATGTAAGCTCCTCGATGAATCAGTACCACTCACTGCCACACTGAGAGGATGTGCCATCAGGGTGCAGCAGCCTGCTGCTCATGTGTCAGAGCAGCAATAACAAGATATGGATCACTGTAATCACTCCAATGAAGAAATCCTCCATTTATCTCACCCTCTGACAATAATGGATGCAGGAACACGAGTGCTGACCGGGAGGAGGACATGCACGTCAGCTGACATTTGGTTTACATGTGTTAGTGGAGTGTGAGGGTTTAGTTTGAGGGTAAGCTCGTAAATCATAGCAGGTGCCCTTAATGATGCAACTGTGCAGACATTTGTGGAAGTGAGCAGATAACGTTCACCCGCGGGGGGCTGTGGGGTTGTAAATCTGATCTCAGAGGCTGGGTATCATCTGGAAGAAGTCCTGTACTCAGTATGAGACATAAGAGGTTCCTGCCCTTCAGTTTGAGTCTAAAATGAACAATTTGTGAATATGTGATTCTATAAAAGTCACGTCAACATTTAAACTAGCATCAAAATGAACTAAAATAATCCTTTTTAATGACAGTAATCAACTTTGACAGTTAAAACACATCAGACATCCACAAAATGAGGTCTTCATACAGCTTAAAGCTCCTCAAAGGAACTTTTAGTTCAGTGACAAAGCAGTTCATCTTGTTTCTTTGCCTTAACATGAGTAAGAACTTATTGTTTTTTTTTATAATAAAGCTCATCTTGCATTCCTGCAGTCAGAAACTGGACTTTTTGTAGCATGCTGTTCATCACTTCCTCTGACACCCAACAGAACAAGATATGACTCCAAGCTCATACCTTTGGGATGAGGCAGAGTGGTGGCTGTGATTTTACTGTAAAAGCGTGTTTTCTGTCATTACAAAGGATTCACTTTGATGCTAGTTTATATGTTGGAATGACTGATAAAATCACATGCTAACAACATGTTCATACCTCACACAATCACACTGTTTAAGAAAAAACCCTCAACATTATAAATATCTTCATTAGTTTGAATTATAACTTGGTGACTTTGGAGTTTTACTGAAGAGGTAAGCTGCTCTGGTCATGCTTTATATGAACCCACCTTTTATACTGCATCAAAGCAGCTTTCTAAAGCATTATAAATACACGTATAAAGCTTAATTACATAATCCAAAAGTGATTATAAGCATTCAAAACAATTTACAGAAACTTTTATGAAGTTTTACAAGCAGTGAACATAAGGCCTTCTGATTTGTTATGCATTATACCTTCTATTTAAATATTTTTTCAGAGACTCTGCTTGTATTGGGAGAGCACAAGACAGTGGATAAAGTAAGTGATAGGGAATGACAAGGAGCCACAGGCTGGAATTGAACCCGGGCTGATTGTTCATGGCATGACTTTTGCATTAAGGTCCCTTAAATTACAAACCATACCTTTCTTAAGGCATTATGCTCACTGCTTCTATCACTTTATAGATCTTACTATTTGTTGTTTTTTGTTGTTGATTCATTTTCGAAAACTAAAGAGTTCAATCGTATTATGAAAAGATTGTTTTCAGTCTCATTTAAAGGATAACGTGTAAAAAAAAGTCTGGTGTGGTATCTTCAGTTAATTATTTTATGTAATAAAAAATTAAGATTCCTGGAGGGTCCTCTTACCGTAGAACACATCAGCAAAACATCCCGTCCCCAGCTTTACTTCCAACTCAAGTGCGTCCCTGCTGATCTCCCATGCATCATGACTCAAGCCCACAGTGTCAGGGATGTAGTTCACACACACGCTCGTTAAATTAAAGCACAAACCATCCGCACTCTCTGCAGGGGGAGGGAAGGGAGGGCACAAAGGGTTAACTACAGGAGGGGACATGCAGGGAGGTACGTGGAGGGTGGCCAACTTTGGACTGAGGGAGCAGAGTCCCCTGACATATCCGAATATTTAGAAAGAAGGGGTCAGGAACCCGAGGTATTTCCCTGACTAAAGTCCCAATCCCCTCCCCAGATTGACATTTGTGTTTTGGTCTTGGTCTGGTGACTCTTAGAGCTCAGTGTGGCCCCCTCCACATTGCCTCCTCTACTGCAGGTTTCTGTATCCGTACCCATCCAAACCTCCCCAAACTGCCCATTCCCAAGGCGCTTGATGAGCTGCAGAGACTCCCGTGGGATCTCCCACACGTCTTTGGTTTTGACGGACAGGTCAGCAAGGCGGGGCATCCCTTTGTGGCAAGGAACCACCAAGCGACAGCAGAGCCCAGCGGCTCGGTCTGCACACATCGAACAGCAAAGCACAAAAAAAAAAAAGCAAAGAGAAAGATTCAGACCGAGGTAGAACATTCAGCAGAGAGGGAGGAGGACATAAAGCAGCACAGCAACTCTGGAGGACAAAGAAGACAAAGATTAAGACAGTTTAAAATCATCACTGCTGTTTGCATTTTCAGGTGATGTAGCAGTGATCAGTCTGAAGCGTCCTCCACAAAGCTACATTTGTTGATCATTTTGGCTGTGTTAATGCAAATGGGATGATTTTTTTCAGGGTTTTTTTTCTATCCAAATTTTAAAACGTGACCACCCATTATTATATCAAGTCAATATTCACTGTGTGACAAAAACACGATACGCTTAACTTCAAATTCCTTTTTTTTTTCATTAAAAATAACAGTGACGTCAACTAGTCAAACTGGCATTTCAAGGGTTAAAATTCTGAAAATGAATGAATATTTGGTAGTTATGATTAGGACTTAAGACCTTTTTTAGAAATTGGGCAATACATTAAACATAATAATGCAACAAAATTAATGTTGTTGTTTATTACTGACACATCATAGACCTTGATACAAAAAACAAAACAAAAAAAAAAACACAAAGCATTTCCTGTCCAGCATCTAATAAATGGAAAATAACTCCTAATTATTTTTTTTAATCAAAAATAACTTTGACATCATATTGTCAAACTGGCATTTAAAGGGTTAAAATTATGAAAATGAATTAATATTTGATAGATGTGATCAGGAATGAAGTTAATCAAAAGATTTAAGCAAAAAAAAAGTGGAAAAAATATTAATGTTTGATATTTTTATAGCACTGCTAGGAGATGGACATTTTTGTCCATCTAGGGACCTAAACGTAACTTTATTTAAAGGACCCAGAAGGTTAAATTATTTGATCTACAATCACTAGATCGGGGAGGCAGTACTTTAGGAGGTAGAGTGGTCGTCCAACAACTGGAAGGTTGGTGGTTCGATTCCCCCTTATCCCTGGTTTGTCTGTTATATACGTTGATTTTTTGTCCATCTAGGGACCTAAACGTAACTTTATTTTAAGGCCCCAGAAGGTTAAATTTTTTGATCTACAATCACTAGATCGGGGAGGCAGTACTTTAGGAGGTAGAGTGGTCGTCCAACAACTGGAAGGTTGGTGGTTCGATTCCCCCTTATCCCTGGTTTGTCTGTTATGTACGTTGATTTGGATAACAGCGTCTGCTAAGTGACCCCCCCCTTTAAAATAATAAGTATGTAAAGTGATAGCTGATAGGCAGTCACTCATTTGAGTAATGTTCATGTTTACCTCTGGTCAAACATATAGAAGGAGCTCAGGGACAGTGATAATGCTTGTTTAAGCGGCAGATCGACTCTCCAGCTGTTTGATTCTTTCTATTGGCTGTTGTCTCTTTAACAGTGACACCATGTCATCAAACATCTCTGCCTTTTACTCTGGAGGAAGTGATCATATTTGTCTCTCATTGATTCAGGCTCTGGATTGAAGCTGAATTTATATTGGTTCTTCCATGTTGATGTCTAATCAGACACTACAGGGACAAAGCGACCTCCCCCTGTCCCTCCTCGCCTACAGAGATAAGGCTGGGTTGTTTGCGCGGGGCAGTAAAGCTGAGATAAAGGCCTGCGACTGACCCGTAAGACTGTTCAACTTGCAGCTTGGGCCATCACAGCCCATCTGTGCATCCCGCCTGCTGACTCAGCTGCTGCACCCAGACATTAACGCAGCTCCATGGTCACCTTGCTGGCAGTCATAAAACCCGTCAATATGTGGACGGTATCCAAACACTTGCCATCAGCACAGCTTGTACTTCTTAGAAAGACGTGGTATCTTCAATTTTTTTTATGTTTTACTCAGATCAGGTTTCAACCTGTTATTTTCACATCACAGTTTGTGTTATACTGGTAGAGAGAAGCTGCTATGACATGTAAACCACCACCTTCTGTCTCACGAGTTCAGACCCGGTTGAACAGGCATCATAGGAGATCAGTTCAAAGGTGGTCTAGCTTTGCTTTAACATGCATCAGAAAATATATCTCCAACAAATCCTTATGATCAGATCTTAGCTTCATGTTTTGGTTGCAAATAAACAAAGAGCCTTTTTCACCTTTGCTGGACTTTGAGTGCAAACTATATAAAAATTGTGATGCGAAGTGATGGCAAAATATAAATCCATGGTTCTCAACTGGTGGGTCCCGACCCAAAAGTAGGCCACGAACACGTTCTGGATGGGTCGCAAACAGCAGGTCAAAAAAGTAAATATTTAATGCGCATCTGATGTTTGACATGTCTTTTATTTTGGAAAATAGCTTATTTTGAAAGGCGTGTGTTATGTTGTGTTCCTCCTTGGTTTCCTATTAATGAACCCTGTATGCAGTAAGGATAAATGTTTTTTTTTGTTTTTTTTGTTTTTTATTTTCTGCAATTTGATATTTTCTGTATATGCAACTTTAGTAGTTGTCATCCTCAGTTCATGTGTTCTGAAATGCACTTTACCCAATACCATAGGTGTATTTATGTTAAAGATTCAAGTCTTTAAAGGTTTTTTTTTAATTTAATAATTAAAACTAAATTTGCTTGTTATGAATTTTATAAAAGTGGGTCATGACTTCAGGAACATGGGAAAATGTGGGTCCCAGAGTGAGACCAGTTGAGAACCACTGATATAAATCATAGTTTGATAATAAAGCCTGATGCACCTCTGCAGGTTAGTGAAAACTACACTGTAGGGTGGAGGTTAACAGAGAAAAAACAGGCATTAAGATCTGAGAGACACACAGATTCATTAAACATCTGTATCCTCACAGCTCTGCATTGCTATTAAACTACAGGACAGATGGACTGCCTGAATGTAGGACAAACGCTGTGACCTATCCACACTATATTTGATGGGCTCCTCTTTACTTTTTAAGTGTTTAAACTGCCTTATCCACTGTGTGAGATAAAGCAAGTGAGAATTTGTTGCTTTTGAATCCACCTTCATGTCTAAAAGGAAGAAACTATTTGTTCCTTTAAACGTCACAGTTTGACTTCAGACGCGTTTGATATCAAGGTCCCTCTTCATCCTTTCAGATAAAAATGAAGAACAACCACATTACATGATTCAAGAACAACACTCAGCGACTCTTTCAAGATGTAAAAGACAGAGGAAAGCAGAAAGCAATTGAAGCTGAAGCCCTGAAGAAAGTGAAGGTTATTCACAAAGACATGTTTCCTGCTCCACTTGTCATCTGGAGAGCTTGATAAACATGGAGGATGGTTAATGCGGCATGACACAAACACATACAGAAAATCCATACTGTTGATTTCGGAGCATGGTGGGGAAAAAAATATCCTTTTCTGCATGAAAGAGCTAACATTCAGGTTATAGGACACAGATTTAAATCATTAGATCAATGTTACAAGGAGAGGCAAAGGAACACAGACTGCACAAGCCTCATCCTGTAAATCTGTGAATAAAAGATGTTAGTCTGATGGACAGGTGCAGAAGTCATCTCCTGAAAGAAACACAGCATGCATGGATAATCTCACACTAATTTCTCTCAGTCTCTGTGTTTCTACTTTCAAACTGCATCATGTTTTTGTTCACTAAAAAAGAATAGGAGTATGAGAAAAACTCAACCATGTGAGTGAGGCAGCTAATCTGGCGTGCATCAGCTCTGAATGTCTTTCTACGTGTGCCTGATGATCAGTGCCAGCTTTGATTTCTTAATGTGTACATGTGCAGCAGACTGATGTGATTACAGAGTATCAATGTCTGCTTAATGCACTCTGGATCAATCTGAGGAAATGGACACTGGGTTGCAGAGGAGCTCCGATGTTGCTGTTTGAGCTTCTGCAGGTTTTTAATGCAACATCTCCCTCACAACAAAAAAACATGGATTGGAACTGATTAAAATGTAATCGAAACTGACAAACATTTACATTTGTTGCCTGAAATCCAGATTTCTGATGGTTTTAGTGTTCATACCTGAGTAATGCTGCACCAGCTGCTGCAGCATGTCAAACTGAGCCCTGGTGGTGATGTAGTAGCCGCCGCTGTCCAGCTTACGGATTTTATAATGCTTGACATGATCGCCTTTCACGTCATCCCAGTCCCGTATGGACAAGGAGAAGGCACCTGCGGAGGACATGGGAATGAACATGTTGAGGAATCTAGCTTTTAGCTCTCTCTCAATCCTGTTTTTTTTTTAACATGGGCTCTACATTTTTACAATGAACTGTAAGTATCGAGAAATTCTTGTACCTGCCTAAAACTTGGAGGGCACAAACATATTTGAGGATCATCTTGTCAATATAGAAAGCTCTGTGTGGCTTTACCCTTTGTGGTTTCACTCTCCCTGATGAGATAGGTCCCTCGAGGATTTCCAGTGGACAAAAGCTGCCTCTCAGCATCTTTGCGGCCCAGTTTACCAAAGTACCAGCTGTGATTATAGAAAACAACATGTTAACCCCAAAACCTCATCCCGTGTAAGGAAAGATTGAAGTTATCTAATGATCTACAGGGTGTCCTTTTTATGTTAAGCATGCAAAAAAAAAAAAAAACTTTGATTTGTGATTCAAGGGTATTAATCAATCTGCAGTTCTCACTTTGACATGAATATTTAGAGTTTAAATCTTCATACTGACCTCCAACTTTTCCATCAGAAACTTAAAAGGTCAAAATCTGCACTTGGCAGGAAATACAAGTTGTCTGAGCACAGACATTCAAACAATAATGGAGTGTTTTTGGCAGGCTGCTGTGACCTTTATCGAGCATTTTCATATCCCCAGGAGGACACACAGTTTTTTATTTGACTGGTTCATTTCTCATTTTCTAGGAATACTCTTAGTTAAACACATGCAATATCAAAAAGGCAAAAAAGCGAGTGTTGGTAGGACTGCAGCCGTAGGTGACTCACTCCTCGGCCTGGATGGAGTCCACTGGAGCCACATAGTTACTAGGAATGTATCCACTGCCACCGGTGGTGAGCGAGCGAGCATCCCACCAGTCCCCTTCACTGAAAACCAGACAGACAGAGAGAGAGAAAAAAAAAAAAAACACATAAAACTTTATTCTGCAATAAGCCTTAACACTTAAACAGCACATTATATGACAGCTTCAATTCAATTCATGCTGCCCATGCTGAAAACAGCTTTTAGAGCTCTCTGATTTACGATTTAAACACCAGGGGATGCTTTCAGGTGTTAAAACTAGGGATGGATCAGATATCGGCTCCGATATTGACAAATTAACTGGATCGGATATCTGATGAATGCACTTCATTCATTCAACAGTAGGCTTGAATCGGTGTCAGATATCGACTGATACGCTCAGCCCAGGTATCGGTATCGGATTGGAAAAAACTGATCAGTGCATTTCTAGTTCAAACAGTGTGAAGGGTTGGTATAAGAAGAAAAAATTTTGTTTACTTAAAATACAAGTTTTAATTTTACATGGACAGAGAGAGGATCAGAGGGACAGGAAGATTGTAAAATTTGCAGATTTTCCATAACCTGATGGGAGGATTTGATCATTAATATGGTTCAAGTTTTTATCCTGTGCAAGTCACTCTTTTGATCAGATAACGATCCTGATGCAGCTTCAGAATAAAACCAGGACAGTACACAAATAAAACTGATTGGGCTTTTACTTTGAAAGTTATTCAGGAAGTGTCTTCATCACATATCCTCTATGCTTAAGACATAAACATAACTATTAGAGTACATACGGCCTTGAATTGATCATTTTTATGTTAATTCTTGCAGAGACCTGTGAGTGAATTGTTGAAAAACTTTGCAGGACCTCTGATTCAGCACGCCAGGTTACAGTCGTTTGACAGTTTGACGCTACAGTCAGCCACAGTGGCCGGGGTTTGCAGGATGCCACCACATAAAGAGTGAGGCTAAGGCAGGCTGCTAGTGCTGGTGGTGGGATTTCTGGTGGTCTTGCTCCTCTTGAGCCCCCGCCTGCTCTGGTACCTGTCCATCACTCTGTGCAAGCTCAGGAGCGGAGGATTCCTACCACCGTTTGTCCAGCAGGGGTCAGTGTGGAGGAGCCCCAGGATGTATTTGAGGCTGCGTGAGGCAGTGGGAAGGAGGTAAAAATAGGGTGGAAGATGCAGCTCTGTCTTGCCCTGCTGGAGGGGAAGAGGAGGTCAGAGCGAGGAGGAAGAGCAGGAAGTCTTGGCTACAATGTCACGGTCTTCCTGCTTCGGTGGAGGACCTGCAGAGACTGAGGTGTGCACTGGAATGTGCGGCACGCCAGCTGGACAGGATGCTGACAGGGTGTGGTGACAAGGAAGGCTGACCTTGCAGGGCCACAGGCAGGGGCGATAAGGTGGCCGACGTGTTCAGTAAAGACCCTGCATAATTCATCTGGAGATGGCCCATATGGCTCAGACATTAACATTTCATATCTAACCTGCTGCAGTACAGTTTGTGCCTGTAAGGAGGAAGGTATCGGTACATTTCCAAACACCAGAGCTGCATTCATTTGCATTATTTTGACTCAAGAGTTTTGGATTTTCTTCTGCAGCAGCCACAAAACAGGCTGTAATTTCTGTCAGAGGCCTTCAAGTTAAAGTGTTTCTTTTCTGTAAAAAAAACAACAAAAGATCCTTGCAGGAAAAAAAAAGAGAGTAAAATTATCAAGGGTCATCATTTTCTCTTGAATTTATTAAACAAAACAGCTATTTTTGTGTCGAACAGAAAAATCACAGGCTTACTCCTCTTTAGCGTCAGGGTTAGTTAGGGCCACAGGGTAGACGCACTGAGGCACTATTGTTATTCTGTGTTATTCTTTGCTCCACATGGAATCATGTTGCCAAATTCTGGTGTATACTTAATCTTCAAGCACATTATCACCACCACCATTGGGCTTAGGAATGCACGATCCCACATTTGGATCGGATATCGGCTCCGTTATTGACAAATCAGCTGAATCCAGCATTTCGATCCACTTTTTTTTCTTTTAAGTAATTTTTCCTTTAATACACAGAGGTCTTCTTTCTTTTTGCTGTTGCTAATGTGCAATTTGTTCCCAAGGCTAATGTCAAGTCTGATGCCTTCACTCACAGGGCAAGGTATACAGTTCATTCATTCAACAGTAGGATTGGATTGGTATCGGATATTGGCCGATATGCTCAGCCCAGGTATCAGTATCAGATTGGAATAGAAAAAAATGGATTGGTGCATCTCTACTTGGGCTGCTGTGGCTCAGTGGTAGATTCGCACCACTCCTAATTGGAAGGTCTGGGTTTGATCCCAGGGCTGTCCACATGCCAAAGTGTCTTTGGTCAAGACACTTGACTTCACCTGCCATCACCTGCCGTGCCTAGTGGTGTTTGAATGGAATTACAACTCCACAATATCATTTAGCCGATACTTTTGCCCGAATCAATGTACATTTCTGAGTAAATACAACACAAGCAACATCTAGATAGAAGGAAACCACACTAGTAATGCAGTAAATAAATAAAGTAATGCAATTTCATTTTCATTTTAACTAATGCATAACCACTCCCAATTCATTAACCAAAGTATGGAAAAGTAATTTGATGAATTTCCAGGTCTAAGAAAGTATAGTAAATAAAAAAATAAAGTAGATTATGAAAAAAAATATTTATGTTTCCAGACTATCACCACAGTAAAAAAAAAAAAAAACTGTTTTCTAGAATAGAAAAGAAGGTATTTTCAAAAATAATTCTAAAAAGTAGGGTATGGAAAAGAATGGAAATTCTGTGTTGGAACCCTGACCAAATAAAGTTACCATGGCACCATCATCAACGTCACCATCTATCATCATTATTATCGTCATTGTCTGGTGAACCAAGTGCAGAAATATTCACAAAGAGCTGGGTTAAGTGTTTCAGGGCGAAGCTGGAGGATCTCTTTAAACTGGTAACTAGTTACAGTATGACTTTAAAGAAACAGAGTCAGAGCTCAGAGCCTGCAGCCTCCTCGCATGTCACTGCAACAAACTAAACCCCACACACACCCAGAGAAATGAAAACCATCCACAAGCTGGGGGCGGGATGGTTAACAACAGGATAACACAATGATGCTCCTCCAACACACATACACACATACAAAGCCAGTTTGCTGTTGTGCTGACTGGAGGAAAGAGGGGCAAACATCTCTGTGGGTGTAACAGGCACTTCCTCTCCCAGCTTGGAGGAACTTCTTGCAGGAACACCGCACTCATGTCTGCATTCTACAGACTCTGCTCCACCCTCTGTAAATCTAAACTACACTGTGTTTACTGCTCAATCTCTAATTACATGTTCAAGTGAACCAGTGTCACCTCTTTTAGTGCTTTGCACTCTTTAATACTGCAGTCTGTAAAAACTCAAAGCCAGCTCTGTGTTGGTTTGTTTTCTACTGTCTGTGTTTCCAGTGCGCTCCAGATTATGAACCATAAACATTTATTCTCCATGTGCAGGCTGAAGATTTCACCCCAACTCTGCCCATCATTCCCCTTGCTTCCACCATCCTCTCTTACACAGAGATAAAATGGAAAACCTGCACTCCTCCTGAGTGTGTGCTGGCTGATAAGCGGCTGAGGAGACTTACGTGCTGTTGATAATCTGGAACCTTTCTCCTTTCCTGAAGCTGAGGTCGTCTTCTGTCCGTGCCTCGTAGTCATAAAGTGCCACAAAGAGGGTGACTCCTGCAGGACGGATGGAAACACAGTGTCAGCACTCAAAAGATTTGTGAGAGAAAATGAAGTTCACCATAATGATACAGGCAGCTGCTGCACACTGACTTTAATGACTGAGTTTAATGGGAGGAGGAGAGGAAATCAATGCAAAGCTGTCACAGTCAAGTGCTGTGAATATTAACTTCTGTTAGAAACACTGACAATGACTGTGCTTAATTTGCTGAGTGCGCTTTTGTTTGTGGAACAAACTGCTACTTTCTCATCTAAACCAGTTTAGTATTTTGTCTTCTTCAACATCCTGTCAATGATAAAGCTGTTTTACATTGCGCCCCCTACAGGCATGGAGCCCTTCCTTTGAATAAATCTTGGATATCATCACCTTCTTAAAATAATAGCCTTTGTCACTTTTTTGACAAAAATTACTTTTTTCAAAATAATGCAGCCCTACGTGATGCTGCCAATCTCTGGAAGAATTGCCTAAATCCTCAATTGAACAGATTATGGGATACTATCCTTATAGTATAATCCCACTGAGCAATAGACGGCTATTGGATGTCTAGTTTTTTTTAGACCTAATTTAAACCGCCTAGATTCTGTATATTTTTAAACGGAATTTAGACGTTGTACTGTAATTGATAATTATTTATTTCAAAAAGCAACTGTGAGTAACATAACTGATCTCCATGTACTTGACCAAAATAATTATGATAGCCCTTGAGCAATATACAGTATAGTGTAGATATAGCCCAGATTAAGACTTGGTCTAAATTCAGACGTCTTAAAAACTTTCATTTTTAGACCTGTGGTAGTCTGATTTTAGACCAGTCATCGACGCTACATTTAGATGTCTATTAAACCTTTCTTTGACCAAAAAATGCTCAGTGGGATCGTCTATGTAAAGAGTGTGAGTTAAGCCATTTTCTGAGAGTATTCAGAAAAAAAAAAAAAAAAAACTTGATCATTGACTTAGGTCATTATTTTAAGAGGGTGACAATAAGCCTTTTTATGCTTTCATTGGTTTGTGTATTTGCTGTTTGCACAGTTATTTCTCCTTTTTGAAGCAATTTTTTCATCTGCAGCACATTTTTACTGTTGCATTTATTTTGGACTTTTTGATGTGTCATTCTGCATTTACAATACATTTCTCCGAATGCAGATTGCTCAGGCTGTTCGCCTGTGTCGACCACCAAAGCTGCGTTATAATATAAAAAATAATATTAAAATTGTGGAGTGTAAAATACATTATGGACAAATACAGGAATTTGAATCAGGTATTAAATCTGTCCCACTCTATCCAGCCCTCTGACAGCAGCTCTGGCACCTGCATGGAAAAGGAGGCATGGGGTGGAGCAACATGCTGTTACATAAACTTTACCAATAAATACAATCAATTGACCCACACATAATCAATCAAAACTTACATCCCTCTGTGGTGCTGTTCGCTAATTGGTCTGTATGTGTACCCTCAACATTCATGAGCATTAAGCTCTCATTGCACCACTGCTATCGTAGCACAGTATGATTTTCTTGTAGAATTTGTCACATATATGTCCCACTGTACCGCCCTGACAGGTAATATTAAAGGAAAAGAAGAAAATGAAAGAAGCTCCTCTCTTAAATAGAAATATCTGTCAGCGGTCAGCTAAACATAAACATGTGAAAAAATAGGGCAAAAATTGCAAAAAAAATTCAAAAAGGCCAGACTTTGCTGCCACCACTCAGTTTGAGTGCAGAATCTAGTATAGAAAAAAATAGAAAAAAAGAAAAAGATGGCACTTTATGATCATAAAGATGGCAGCCTCTACCTACCACAGTCAGCTCACAACAGAAATGACAGTATAAAATTGAGATTAATCTTTAAATCATGATAAGATACCTGCCTGACAGTCTCTAAAATATAATAATAAATATGTAATATAAAAAAAAAATCTTTAAGTTTGCTTCATGATGTATCTGAAAGTGCATAATGAGAAAACTTTTCACCCCTCAGAATTTGTCTCATCCCTTTCTCTTATTGCCACTTAATTTGTCCACATGCAGTGTGGATAATTGACTCCACCTGCACAGAAGAAACAAAGTGACCTGACTTACAACCACCATTCAAAATAATGGGATTAAGAGAGCAACTGAAGAAAATAAATCCATCCATCCATCCATCCATCCATTTTCTAACACTAATTCACGTTCCCAGAGTCGTCGCAGGGGGGGGGCTGGAGCCTATCCCAGCATCTTCGGGTGACGGCAGGGGACACCCTTGACAAGTCGCCAGTTCATGGCAGGGCTTACATACATAGAGACGAACAACTATCCACGCTCACATTCACACCTACGGGCAATTTGAAAGTGACCGATTGACCTAACCCTACTTCTGCATGTTTTTGGGAGAACACAGGAACAAACCCACGCAGACACAGGGAGAACATGCGAACTCCACATAGGAATGCCCTGACCCGGATTCAAACCCAGGACCTTCTTGCTGTGAGGCGACAGTGCTAACCACTACACCATTGTGCCACCCACCCAAAGAAAATAGACACTGAAAAGTTCTTATTGTTCTGTAGTTGTACTTGGATTTGTACTCTTTAACAACTTCTGATCTCCGACTCCCAACAGAGTCTGTGAGTGTTGAGACAAAAGGATCTTTCTCTTCTTCTTCTCTTTGTCAGACTGCAGCTGTTAAACTGTTTGATGCATCTGAGTGTTAAACGGATGGGATTTGAATAGGCACTTCTTCAGAGTCCACTTAAACTCTTTCAATCGCATTTATTCAAGTCATTTCACTTCAGACGCTCTTAGTAGGCAGAGGCTTTCTGGAAAACGGTGCTGACATTGGGTGGCTGCGTGTGATGGCGCTGCAGTTCGAGAGAACCTGCTGCTGTTCATCACAGCTGAGGCTGTCTGGATGTTCCATTAGGTCAGCAGAGGTGGGAGCAAGGTATAAACTGGTGCATTGACTCATCTGCTGGGATCCTGCTCGATACAGTTACATAAGGTCGCTGTGAATATTTCCATTTGGGAAAAATGACATAAGCAAAAAGATCAACTGATAATCAATAAAGCATCTCCTGCCAACTGCAGTTTGGGCTCTGCCACGCCAGAGCGAGGGGGGCGGATAAAGCTCGACAGCTGTGTTATAGCAGAGTTTGAGAGGGAGAGGTGGCTTATGTCCGAATTTCCCACCAGGAGGAAATTAAAAAGCTAAACCCTTCTCTGCTCCTCTGCCACAGTGTGGATTTGGATTATGGAGCGAACAAAATAATCCAAACTTTGAGGGAGAGGTCTCCTGCTAAGTTGAGTGGAAATGCTGAGTTCCTCTGCAGAGCGATCGGGCTCAGTCAAACAGAAAGGATATCCTGAGTGAGAATATCCGTACCCAAACAATGAACCCCCTCGCACAAAGCATCATGTTAATGCCAGCCGGACGTTCCTGACAGGGCCAGGCGAGGTCAGCTGTGGAGCAGTCTCAGGGCAGGACGGTGAGGATAGTCTGGGTTTAGAGGAAGTCTTTAACTGCACAAAGAACTTTGAGAAGGGTGTTCAAGTGTCAGCTTTCACTACTAGGTGCACAAAAGGTTTAAACTTTGTAAAACTAAAGTAAAAAGAGACAACCTTCAGACTGATCTATGTGCTGCAGATAGACTCTCTAATCAGTCCTTGAAGAAGATGGACCTTTTAGATGAATAATTTCCTCCTTGTGCATTCATGACAAAACATCACTCATCCCCTCGTCACTGTCTTATTAAATAGATGGCCCTTCAAACATCTGTCTTTAATTTTCACATTTCTGATCGATATACAATTTAAAAACAGCTTTACTTCAGTCAATGTAGGGCTGGGTGATAAACCTAAAATTTACAGATACCGGAATTTACAACAATAACCAACGTCATTTTGCCTATCTCAATATATTCTGTATCAAAAAAATAAATAGATAAAAGTTGGTTTTGGATGTGTGTGGGTAGGCTATGGTCTCATGTCTCTTTAAGACGCTGTCCTACATTAGAGACATGACTCCACTCCATCCAGTCCGTAACAAAGAGGGAAAGACAGGTGAGGAGATGGAGGATGGTTCAAAAGTTGTAGCTTGTGGAGTAGTTATCGTCCATTTATCATTATCGAGATGAACTGCTCATAATACTGTGAAATCTATTTAAGGCCATATCTCCCAGCACTTAGTCAATGTGTGGTACATTTTAAAGGAAGACTTTCCCAGCAATTTTAATTTCATGGCCAGTACACCCTCTTTGAAAAAGAGATATTTATTTTCATGAATTAAGTTGTATTTGGTGGTATCGCTCTATTCTGAGAGCTCCCTGCCCTTTAACGTGTCTGTATAATGCAAAAGTCTGACGCTGAGAGCACACACCTCCTCTCCATTACACATGTGTACATATAGGCTGAAACGAATTGTTTTTAAATCAACAAATTATCAAATGAAATAAATATTTTGAAGCGAATTAGAGAAAGAAAGAAAAAGAGCAGTTGGCAGGTTTTCACAGAGAAGGAACTGTCCTCTGTAAAAACCTCATCAGTGAGTGTGTATTCTCAGCTAAAGCTCCATGTTTCTCGGTGGTTGCATTGTTTTGATTCATATCTGTGAGTCCATTAAAAAATGCTGAAGTTACTGAAGCGATATGTCTGTTGTGACAGCAGCATGATCAATGCCTGATTAAGAGTTATTGTTTGACTATTATTAAGACGGGGCTGTTCTGTCTGTATCCACAAATGCAGTTACATTAATGTTCTTCAAACCTTGTGTCCTTTTAATGCACTTTTAAGTTTTTGATTAAAATGCAGCTAATTGAATGTGAAAGGGAATATTTCCCTCTGTAGCACCACTACCTGTGGGTCAATTTGGTTTAACATTTAACAGTTTTTTTTTGTGGTTTTGCACATGGAGAAACTCTGTACTGTCTCCCGTTCTAGCTGCAACATCTTTTTATTAAATAAATGTGAGAAATTGAAAATGTTGCTTGTCGTAAAGAGGTGATGGTGGTCCCTGGAGTTAGACCAGTAAAGAATCACTGCTCTAAATCCATCTGCTCCTTACCTGTCCCACCGCGAGTCCTCAGCGTCCCAGTGTGAGAGGAAGTGCTGACCCCACCAAAGACGGTCATTCCCTGTCCGACAGGGGCGTGGAAGTTATTGTAGTTGGGAATGGCGGTGACCCCGAAGTTGGGGTAGTGCTGTGGCGTGGGGTCTGCCCCATAGCGGTACCCAGCTCCCTGGGAGATGTTGGTGTCTCTGTCGTCTGTGAGTTTGGTTGCTTCCTTATCCTTGCATTGCACACAGCCCATTATCCAAAGTCTGTGGACGATAAGAGGAGGAAAACTTTAGACTGAGTTTAATGAAACTGGTTGTTTGTGACGGTGAAGTTACGAAAAGCGTATGTTCTATTGAATCATGTGATCATAGCATTGTGGGTCAAAACAGTTTCGCCATCCAGTGGAAAAGTCCATCAACTTCACAAAAGGCTCAGATTGATCGTCTAAGTGTCTAAGTACACAGAAAAGCTCCAACAGAGAGAAAGAAAGAGTTTTTGTCAAAGATATAGAGGATTTTTTTTTACCACATAAAGCTGACCTGGATTCCTAACCCCAGTTGGATTATAAAGTTTAGACTCTCCTACAATGCTATGTTGCTTCGCTGTCCCTGCTGATCTACAGAGGTAATATTTAGGGATAATCCTTACTACAAGTCTAACTTTCTTTGTGTGGCTGCTATGGCAATGATTATTTTTCTTTGACTTGTTATTTTTATGGGGTAGGGTTGGGGGGAGAGTGGGCCCAGTCCCTGATGTCCTTAAGCCTAAGAACAGACACTCAGTTCCCGACTCTCTTTAATGATTTATAGAGAAACACTACTACAAAAGGTCTCGTTAAATATGCTCTCTCACATAACTCCATACAAGGATAAAACAAGGTTTGGACTCTGAGCTGTAAATGGTAAAAATGTAAAAGATTAAAAAGACTCAATAGATAGCTGTAACCTGATTCAGGTGTCGTAAGAAAAGTTTATGGAAATGAGGGCGAAGCATGGAGGAGGGCTGAGTGATAAACTGGAAATTTACAGATACTGAAATTTACGCGAAAAACCAACGTCATTTTGCCCATGTCAATATATTCATTGTCAAAAAAATAAATAGATTAAAGTTGGTTTTGGATGTGTGTGGGTAGGCTTTGGTCTCATATCCCTATGTTGGAGACATAACTCGTAACAAAGAGGGAAAAACAGGTTAGGAGATGGCGGACGCTTTCAAAAGTTGTAGCGGCTGAAACAGCGGCTCAAGTAGACAAAGTTAATGTGGGGGGTTGTGCAGCTTTTGGAGTAGTTAATGTCTATTTATCGTTATCGAGGTGAACTGCTCAATATATCGTGATATTGATTTGAGACCATACTACCCAGCCCTAGCATGGAGGCAGAGAGGATGAGGGTGCGCTTGTTGCAAAGAAGTGATAAAATACACAACACTCCTTAACCGACCCAATTACCTCCTTCGCAGTGAGTGGCAATAAGTATTAATTGGAGCTATTGTGCCAACCAGTGAGCGTGGCAGCATTACAGCTGAAACACAACAAATGACCAAATTTTTTAGGCTTACAGTGATAGAAATATCTATAATTAGTTGAACTGACTAGTAAATCTGGTGCTGATTGAAGAGGGTGATGATTTAGATTTGTAAATTCATCAAATTCATCAGGGTCTTGTCATACATGAAGACAAGAATTTGTGGAAAGAGGATAGATTTTATTTAACCCAACCAAATTTGCCGCCATTTCAGTACATAAGGTGAAAAAAATGTGGAATAGCCCTTTACCTGTAAGCAACAGTAGGAGAATACATCAAGCGTATAAGACCTTATAATGTGAGGGAGAAATGAGCTCAAAATCAGGCTGAAAACGTTTAAATTCTTGCTATGAATTCAAGTTAAATGCTCCAGACTTTCCTCATGGGATGATAAGATAAAACCTGCTCAATAGAAAAAGAAACAACTCGACTGAAATTGTTGAATTCTTCATTTCCTTTTAGGTCTCCCTGGCTCCACACTGTTTTCTCTTCAGATGACATCTTCCCACTGATCAGCATGCTAGGAGGCAGGATCCTTTTTTTACAGCCTGACACACAGTTTGCTCTCCGATGACTCACACCAACAATGAGTCTCTTTCTTTCCCTTATGTCTGCTATCTCACTGATGTCAGGGGAGGTCGACTGGCCAGCCGGAGAGAAGGGGAGACAGAGGCTCAAAGTTCGGCTGTCAACATTACCCTGTTGATCTTAATGGAGATCAGTGGGTGGACAGAATCGGAGATTGGATGGAAGTTTTATCTCTGAGCCAAACAGTCTGATCACACCGTGCAGCCAAAACAGCAGCGAAAGAAGACAAAGAAGAAGCATCTTCACCTGTCCTCCATATGTTGGACACTATCAGAGGAGCTCTATTCTTCACTATCCATCCTGTCAATAAATCATTCCTCTAATCCCCCTTCGATTCAGTGTCCCACTCGGAAAGCCGCAAATTCAAACTTTATACTGCATGCACTAGTTTTCCTTATTTTTCCCTCAACCTTTCTTTAACTCATAAAAACAAGCACTTAGAGTGATTTAGACTTGGTCTGACAGCTGTGATACAGAGAATCGGCGGGAGTAACACTTTCATTGAGTTTTTTATATAACAGTTTCGAGTTTCTTTTCTTGAACATAGAGCTAAAATCAAAATAGAAAGTTTTGCTCAAGCTTTGAAATTTAAGACTCCCAGCAAAAGCAGAAAAATAAACTGATGACACTGATTTTAATATGAAGTGAAATATAAAATGCTGAAATACAACTTAGCTAACTGTGTTTTTATTATATTATTTTATTTTAAATATTGACAACAGCACTTCATACGTCTCTTATTTGTGTGTGTATGTATATATATATATATATATATATATACATACATATCTGTATGTATGTATGTATGTATGTGTGTATGTGTGTGTATGTATGTAGATATATGTATATATTTATGGATATATATCTAGGTATGCATACATATTTATTTATGTTGTAAAAACTATCTGATACTTGCGCGATTGCACTCCTGGTTAGATGCTAAACTGCATTTTGGTGCATTGTTTTGAACAAGTGTAATGACAATAAAGTTTAATCTAATCTAATCTAATCTAATCTAACTCAGAGTTGTATCAGCAGGATTATCACATGATTTACTTTTGTATCTTAACTGATGATAGCGGTGAAGATCTCTCCACCCCTACTCTTTGGGTTTTTGACAGTAGAAAAATATCTTGGTGTTCCAAAAAACAATACATTCCTTTTAACCCTCACTTTACAATGTGAATTCACCGAATTGGAATCAAACTGTGTCCTCTCTTTTAGAAGTAAAGTTGTAATAAGGAATGAAATTTGCAAAAAGGATGAAGAAACTTTGTCAAATGTAAAAATGTATTATTTCACCATGTAATATTTCTTGCTGTCAGCATTATATTTGGCTCATCTCCTGTTCTCACATCCAGAAAGTTTGCATACACTGTATGTCCTGAATTAACTTAACTGTTGAGGTGAAACAAGGCAAAGCTTCTGCTCTGTTATTGGAAATTTCTCCGCATTTTTAACACCTCAAGGAGCCGAGTCCCTCCAAGATTCGATCTTCGATGGTTCCTTCGCAGCCCTGAGTGAAATGCCTTGACCATTCTCTTTCAACATAATAACAGACTGATACTTCACAGAGTATGCTGCTGCAGACAGAGGCCGACATGCTGCCCAACACAATCAGAGGCTGTCACAGTAAGTGGCGTGTCTGAAGGGGAATAGTCTCGCCATGTGAATTCTCTTTTATGAGCACATTTCAAGCATCTTCTCCATGTTACTGGATGACACAAACGAATGATGTACCATCCAAAATTGTTTGGGGAAAAACTATTTGTGTTCCAAATTTCTCATGCAAACTTTGAGATGTTATTGACGGTGATTCAGCATTAGTACAGTGTGAATTAGAACATGAACCTCCTGTTGGCAGTGGCTTTAAGAATGAGTGCAAAATAATCTTGGTGCTCCTTGTAATTGACTTTTTGTGACCTTTGTCAACGACCTGGCATCACACCAAACAGGCAGTGTGAAATGTTCGGCTTGCACGTGAAGCTGTGCTGCAGTAACACACACTACAAGAACTCTGTCAGCAGGCAATGTAATCCTGCGTGACAGGATGCTGAGCAGGCGTGAGGCCAGGCGGGAGACCAGGTGGGACTCCAGGCGGACGGCCAGACAGCAGCGGCGGTGGCGATGCAATGCAAGGTGCAAGACTGCAAAGCATCTCTAATCGTGTGTGCTCACAGCAGACGGCGGCACTGACAGAGACCACAAACAGCTCTGTAGCCTCGCTCTCTCCGCTAACCCTTGACTGGTACAGGCGGACTGAAGCGCTTTTCAGAGGGGAAACAAACGGATTGATCCCTCTGAGCCTGGTGCAGAGCTGGTCCTCTTCAGCTGTTAATCTCCGCAGCACGGATCAAGTTTGTATCATCGAGCTCTGGCTTATCTTCACAGCTGCTCATATCAAGCTGCTGTTAGGAGTTTTCACGAGTGAGGACTACAAATGATGATGACACACTAGCACAGACACACACACACACACAGCACCTCTCAATAATGCGACATGTAAAACAGCGTGTACGCACCAGGAAGTCAGTAATGACTGAATTCCCTAACAGGTATGTGAAGATTATTATCAGTTCTGCAGAAACACCTGATGACATACCACTGACATTTTACTTTTGACCTCTGACACTATAGGTGTGATCTAGTGACGAACAAATCAATCTGTAGCCAACGTGCAACTCTAATTGTTAATGAAGGTGTCATGACCTGAGAAAAAATACATTGATCACTGCAAAATGATGAGAAATAGGCTTGGTATCAGGGTCTGGAAATGTAAAATGATTTGTTTGGCTAATAAACAACACCAAAGCAATGTTTATTAATCTTTTTTTTATACATTAGATAAAAGAAAGTAATTTTTTGACTATTTGAAATATAATAACAGGTATTGGACAATGAGGATTATTTAAAAATGCCGCTATTAAGCCCAATTAACTAACCTATCTCCACTGGAATTGATAAAGAATCAATTAAGAACTGGATCAATAAGCAGAAATGATAATGTCATGTTTTTATTAATATCTCAGTGAATAAAAACGTTTTTTGACAGGATAGTTTTTGTTCTCTGGTAAGATTTGTTTCAGGATAATAACCCAGGTCCAAAGGATGAAGTGACAGTGATGGTCTTTGTCCTGACTCA